TTGGGATGTCAGACCTTGTTCAGCACTCAGTGTGACCCACATTTAGCATTTACTCCTTCTCAGCCCCTCTGCAGCAGCAGGAGGTCTCACCCTTCCCACCACCTGCAGTGTCCTGCCGAGTGCTACGGAAAACCCCAAATATTATCTCCCAATCCTCCCACAGAGTCTTTTCTGCTGCCACCACCTCTTGGAGTCTCCAGATGCATCCTCCCCATCCCAGCTGTCACTGCCTTTCATATTGACAGCCAGAGCAAACCCTCCAGCCCCCAGCAGACCCCAAACCTCCTCCTGGGGTGGTCCCCACCGCCCACCCCGGGAGGGTCCGAGGGACACGAGGGTTTTCTCGGCTGGAGCGGGTGCAGACAGAATTCTTGTAAGCATCAGTTTTACTGTCTCCTCCCAACATAAACTGGACAAATTGATGGAGTCCTGGCCCCCAGGATAAACACCATCTGCAGTGTTTAGAGGAACTGTCTCTAGAGAGGAGCCACCTTGAGCCCACACCCTGGGAGCTCCCCCGGGCACCACCCTGGCAGGAACCTTCCCTTGCTCTCAGATGTCCCCAAGAAGGATAAAGATTATAAAAAGTCTCCACTCAGGGACTAATAATAATCTGAAACTTATTTTGCAGGGTTCCAGAGGAGTAGCAATCAGCACCTGAGGCCCCTGCAGCAATCCCTGTAGTTCCAATACACCAGCGTTGCAAAATGCTCAGTTTGATGGAGTTTTCATATTTCAGATTAGTCTCAGCTTTTTAGCTGTTTAGGAATGGTAAACCCTCCTGTGGTTAGGAAGCATTCCTGGCTGTTATCTCTAAAAAGAACCTTAATATTTCCAGTCAGGCTAGTACTTTCTGAAGGAGACTGAGATTAGATAAGCTCATTAAGTCAAGCGTTCTTTCCACACCTGCGCTCCTCCCAACAAAATCATAATTCTTCAATTTCAAGGCTGTTCATTTAGAGACAGATTTTACTTGTCATGCTGATGCAAACCTGAACCCCTGGCACGCTGCATGACTAAAGCTGGCTCAGATGTGCACAGGCTGCCCTCCCCTTTCAGGGCCGTGAACACAACTGCAAAATCCTTGTCTCCTAAGTGACACAGCCTGGTGCAGCTGGACTACTCAGAAAGCGTTCAGCAAGTGTGGCATCAGTATTAGAAAACTAAAATGCTATTTATTTAAAAGATTTGAAGTATCCTAGTCCTATTCCCACCTTTGTCTCCTCTGTAGCACAATCAAGCCCTCATCTGCACTTAGGAAGGAGCTGGGGGTGTCTGGAGCAAGCAGTGAGTGACTCTTCTTCCAGCTCCACATCCATTCTCTGCACATCCATCCAAGCTGGAAGGAAATAAACCCAGGGTCATTAACCCTGTCCAGCTGATGGGCAGGGGAGAGGCAGACAATAACAATGGTTTTTAAATTAATTGATTTGCTGGCTTATTCATTGCATTTCATTCATTAAAAGCAAGGCTTTAAGGCTCAAAGATTTCTGGGTTTTTTTCACAATTCTATCAAATAGTCTAACAAGAGGCTGTTGCTGTTCTTAATGACCTGGCCGTGTTTGTAACTTGATTGCCTTGGAAGTGCAGCCACAATTACAGAACCATTGCACCCCCACTCCAGGCCATCAAACACCTTCCCTTCTGCCTCGCCCGGGTCCCGCAGATCACACAGCCTGACCAGAGGACAGAACCATCAATTTACCCCTGAACATCTCAGAATTATCTCCCTGTACAACTCAGCTATGGAAAGGCTTTTGATTGCTGCCCTTCTGGGCATGCCTTATGGCTGAAGTATTTAATCTAAGGAGAATGATTAGGAGGAGCACAAGTTCTCCACAGCCTATGTGAAAATGTAGCTACAGAGCCAAAACGTGTTTAACTTGTATTGAAAGTGATAATTTTTGCAGCGTGCTGGAATTCACTGCCCCGCAGCCATCGGGAGGTGCTAAAGGCGCTGAGAAAACAAAGGCCAGAGGTCTCAAGTTCCACTTGTTGAGGGGAAAAGGCTCAGAGGCAGCAGCTGAGATGAGGGAAGGCTTCACAAGGCACTAATAAATAAATGTGACACGAGTGAGTCTTCAGCTCTCTTACTTACAGGTCTAAATTCTGCCTAGTTTCAGAAAAAGTAAAATAGATGCTAATCATATATCACCTGAAATGCCCCTCTCCTACAAGAGATACATGCAGAGCAAAGATTAATTCATCATTTCTTAAACAGGTGGATGCACCATGACAACTTCTTTTAGCATACCCAGCGTTCACTGTTAATTCAATCAGAGTGGACAGGATAAACAGCTGAGGTAAATGGTACTGAGGAAGAGGTCCTGTTGGAAGTTTTATGGAAGGTTTTATCAGCAAGAGCTTTGCTGCCTGACAGCTCTCAGTTTCCAGCTCTTTGTCTGATCTTCTAATGAACCAATAAAGCGGAGTGAGGAGGAGGAGGAGGGGGAAATGTCAGTTTAAATTGACACAGACGTGTCAGTGTGGGAGAAACCTCCCGCAGCTGCTCCCTGCTTAACACAGCCTTAAATTTAACTTACCCCTCTGCTTGACTGACTTCTGCTGTATTTCTGTTTTCATGCTAATAAAGCACAGGTTATTTTGATCCTATTTGTGCCTGTGGAAAGGGATGACTCCCAAATGAATTTCTTCTTTTCCTTTAAAATAAACCGATAAGAAAACACACATTTTTGGCCCCTGGTGAAGTAGAAATAATCCCAAGTGCAAGATCCCTTCTCTCTCTGCTTTGGTGTTGAGAAGTGCAAGGACTAAAGGGGCTCAGGGTTTGTTATTTCACAGCAGCCTTTTGAGTTCTGAATCACCTGGTAAAACGTGGCCTTCTTTTTATGAGGTTATTCAGTGAGTCACAATTAAAGCCCTTTTATGCAGGGAGGACTCCCAGAAGATGTCTCCTCCTCAGTAATATAAATCAGAAATAAACACATTTGTCTGCTAGAGGGGATGGAAGAAACCACCATCCAGAGCCAAGACATGCAGAACGACTCCATTAGGACCTGCCTTTGTTTATTCCCCCGAGATTTAATGGTCTGGCTGGCAAGTTAATATGCTGAGGAGGTCACCTCCAAGGTAGGAATCCGCCCAGAGCCCTTCCCCTGGCAGTGAAAAGCACTCTCAAAGGAAAACAGCAGGGTTTTTTTCTGTGGAGTCAGCAGCAAAGTGTCCAGGCACCTACATAAACAGCTTAAAATAATTGTGTAAACTGAGGAAAGAGACAAATCCTCAAGGTGTCTGTCCAGAAAAATCATGCCCCAGGAACCTGGCTGGTGCTTTTTTTTTTTGGTTGTTAATAAAAGAATAGGAAGGGTATCCACGTCTAAAATGAGGCTTTTTTTTGAACACGGGAGGCCTGTTAGAAGAAATTCCCAGAAATAAGTAACATGAGCTCCACAAATCTCAGCTTCCCTCTATAAATAGAATATTAAACAGAATATTTCTTTCCAAAAGAGGTGCTGTGGTTTGGGGCACGTGCTCCTTCTGTGCTTCCCATCACTGAGCTTCCAAGTCTTGGGTGAAGGTCTCAGTGCAGCTCCTTCTGATCAGTAAATCTGCCGTGGCAATTCACGGATTCCACCAGTGCAGATCCCCTGGGGCAGCCTCAGGATTAGTCAGCCCTACATCCAGCTGCTCTGATAGTTGCCCTTTGTTTAGATGCATCTGAAGGTTACAAAAACAAAAAGGGGATGGTAGTTCCAAGCTGCTTTATTGACTCCACAGTAAGGACTATTCAAGCAAGGCACTCCTTTGGTCCCAAGGTCTGCCCTGCTCTCTGGAGCTTCTGGTTCAAAATTCCTTCCTCATTGTCCATGAGGTACCATGGAAGACAAGAATGCTCAACAACAGGCCCCTCCCTGGTCATCATTTCAGCCTTACAGGAAAACAGGTGGGATGGAAAGAAGTATCTCAGAAATAAAGGGTGGTGGTTCCAATATGGACAATGCCTGTAATGGAAGAAAAATAAGAGAGTAGCTGGGAAAAAAATGAATGCTGAAGAATGAAAAATCTCAAAAATTGAGTTAGGAATTCTTCTTTAGCCCCCATGGGGGCTGAGAGGGTCAGAGGAAAAAGCCAGCTCCTCTTCAGTCCTGGCCAGACAGTCAATGGATAAATAATGGACTATTATGCCTCCTGCAGTTCTTGCTCCAGGTAAAAGCTGAGCTGTGCTGGGAGGGAAGTGAGATGTGAAATGAGGGATTGGAGGGAGATGATGCACACAAAGATGTGCACTTTGGAAGTAGGATGGTTATTTCCTTTGCACAGTCCAGCCTGAAGTCACCAACACTCACATGGGAAGATAAAAAATGCCCACTCAGATACCTTGGGGATAAATTAACAGTCAGTAAAAGAGAGATGACTGGCAGGTTTCAGCAAACACCATCTAAAATTAGCTTTCAGATGTTTACAAAAAACAGGCAGAGATGTTACAGCCCTTCCTGGTGTTTCAGAAGGAGCAGCAGAGGATTCCCCAGCACTGCAGTGGAGTCTGAGCTGGGTTTCCCAGGATTGCTGATCTGCCTTCCTGAAGGAGGCTGAGACCATCCTTGTGCCAGAGCCATCTGTGGTCCAGAGAGGAAATAACTCTTCTGCTGCTCTTGGAATGTTGGCTTGGATTTCCACACAGGAGACTCAAAAAGGAGAGACAGGAGTTGGGAGATATTTTTTTTTTTTTTTTCTTTTCTTTTTTTTTTCCTTGGAGGAGGGAGGTTGGTTGTGTTTATTCCTCCCCACTCAGACAGCCCTGACCTCCAGCAGCATCTCCTGGGTTTATTCCTAGACAAAAATACTGCACAAAGCTCCACATCAGCATGTTAGAAAGAACCAATTCTCCTATAACCACTGTGCAAGGATATCTGGATGTGGAAGGAACATGAGGAACTATTATGTTAAAAACAATGTCATCTTCATTTACCGGGGAAAGGAAAGCTATAAAGGAGAAATTCAAGGGTACTGAGAACTGCAATTGAAGAAACAAAACCAGATTTCCATGACAGCCCAGCCATCATCGATGCCATTTCAGCTACATTTATTTTAATGTGCACCTCATTACGTGCTACAGCCTCAGAAAGCACCTGGCTGAGACACTGATCTTAAAAATAAATAAGACAGGGAGCTAAATTCCTGCTATAAATCCAAATTAAAATCTCTTTGTAAATAGATTACCCTTGTAAACATTTCTGGACTTGAAATTCATGAAGATGGAGCGCAGGGTATTTCAGGGGGACAATACATACTCAGGAAACTCTCAACATGAATGTGCCTTTCCAAACCTTCAGGGCAATTAAAACCCCTCATTCCACAGCTGCTTACACAGTGAAAATGTGATACAGGAGAAATGGCAAGAAATTCCTGGAATGCCACAGGACTGAAAAGGGGGTTTACACAAAAAACATCATCTGATCACACACCTTTACATTTTTCAAAAGTTCCTGATATCCCTGTGAATGGAAAATCGGTTTTGGAGTAGTTCCTGTTATCTGCCAAGAACTGGGAAGAGAGACCCTTCATAAAACATTATTCAGGGTATTTAAGAGGCCTAAAAGAAATGAAGCCAAGTTTATCTCTAATGATCAGTGAGTTCTGCAACTTCCACTCTGCCCCAGGAACATCAGCCTTTCTGCAATTACTGGTTTCCTGCTGGAGGGTGCTATTCAGAAACTTTGAGATTACATTTTACTTCCTCATTTGCCATTTAAATTCTTCCAAGATCTAGATATTGCTTTTTGCAGTCCAGATATTGAAGCTCCAGACAGAAGAAGCTCAGTGTTACTAAAACATCCAGCGTTTATTGTGGAATCACTGTGCTTCTTCCCAAAGAAATTCCAGTTCCTTGGAATAAACAGGCTTTGAGACAAAGATTTCATGAACAAAGATAAAGCCCAGTTGGCTTTATTATTTCCTTACATCCAGCCTTTTTAACAATCCTTCCTCGTTAGCACAGACAAGGAAACCTTTTTCAGGTTTGAGAACAATCTTGCTGATGTGCCCAGTGAGAGCACTCACAAGGCCAGGTGTGCTGTCATCAATCTGCAGGGTAATCCCCACCAGTACTTATTATTTCCCTAAAAGGGTAGATTAAGGAATCAAAACTATGTATAGAATTTTTTAAAAAATTAAAACATCAAAGCACATTCCCAGATTTTCAGTGTTTCACAGAAATTATACACCCTAGGAATAAAACAGATTTGCTTCAGAATATGATTGAGAACAAAATTTAGGTTTTCCTACAGTTTATTTATCAATTCCCTGACCCACAGAAATCTTTGACTGCAGTAAGAAACCAGGGTAGTTGGCAAGATCACACTTTTGCTCCTTTATCTGCACTGCAATTCACACAGCTCCTGTTCTCTGAAGCCCTTGCAGTTTATTATCCAGGGAACACCAATGGTCTGAGGCAACAGAAAAAAATCTTCATACTGAACTGAAAAAGTCCCAAAATAGCTACTGAGAGACCTTCTGAAGCAAATAAAACATTGCTTTGGACACAATTCAGTTGGAAGTGCACACCAAGTTCCCTCAGAGCCCACAGGCTGAGGGGTTTTGTGACCCAGCACAAGCCAGGCTTGACAGGACTGAGTCTAAGCAGGCCAGAACTGGCACATGGCAAACCCCAACAAAACTAGCTTTTTTCTCAGCTGTTTCCCTCCCAACCCACTGCCTTTCCTGGGAACTGGGTCATGAGGAATTCTTGGATGAATCCAGAGGATTGGTCACCTCTGCCCAGCTCTCCTCCTGAGTTTTGGCTCAGTGTAGAGGGTTACACGGTCAAGCCATCTCCATAAAGAGCTCTTAACAACCCTAACACTGAGCTTCCAACCGGGACACCGACCATTTCCACGGAGATCCAAAGGAAATGAGGCGAGCTGGGAATGCTGCATTCGGATCACAGGCATCTGGTGCAGTGACATTCCCTGCACAAAGCATTTGTCATCCAAAAGCAGCAGGCTTTCTGGCCAGAGAATTGTATTGCTGACTTTGTATTAACTAGCCCCTGTTTGCAGCAAAAAACAGCAGTAATTCAGTTAAAACAGAGGTTGAAGTCAGTGCCAGTAGACAAGCCCCAGGTGTGTTGCCCACTCATGCCCATGGGTCACGAGAATCCATTGTTCTCAGCAGAAAGTGTGTTCAGAATAACACTCACCTTGCTCAACTGACTGAGGTCAAACTCTCTACATCCCATTAGCAACTGAAATGGTTAAAGAATTAAACAGGTTCACAGCAGCACGGGGAGACAAATCAAGGCATGGCCCAGAAGATGGGTTTGTATCTTTTAAACTGAAGAATTTTTAAAAAAATAGTAATAAAAAAAAGAGTGAAGAGCCCACTCAAGAACTCTTCTTCGTAGCCTGTCCCTCTGGGACATAACAAACCATTTTCAGAACGCATCAAATCTGAGCTGGTCCTGAGGGAAAAGGTCACGTGAAAACAAAGTTCATTACAATCTGCTGATACAGCCGGGCAGTTCTGATTGAATGTGAGGTTACAGCAGATGTTCTCTCCCTTTTTCCTCTCCTCTTGCAGGGCTTCTCTCCTTCCATTTGACCTCGTGCTCCACCCCCAGGGGAGTTACCCCAGGACTGGATCCCCGATGCCGTGCTCCGGGTTGCAGGTGAAGGAGATGGTGATGGCAAAGCGAGTGCCCCAGTGAACCTTCTCCACACGGTGCAGGTTCTCCGACCCCGAGGTGAAAAAAGAAACCCGGCCTGTAAAGACAAGGATTTCATCAGTGACGTGGAGTTTGCCTCTCAGCTCTCTCCACGCAGCCTTGCTGTTGTCTCAGTACCTGAGAGCCCGCAGGTCATCACACAGACAAACTGTTATGAGCTTATGCTGCACTCTGACAGCTTTATGGACTGTTTAAAACACACTTTAATCCCTTGTGCTGCGAAGCTGGAGATGTAATTCCACTGTATCTCATAGTTTATAAAAGGCAGGAGGAAGCCAAAAGCATCTGAAGCCAGTTCTTATTTGCCTCAATTAAAAGAGCGCAGCTCTAGTGACTGCCATCAAAGTGTATCGATTTCCTCCCTGCTCCCCTTCTAGTCTGGCCTCTAATTTTAGACCAAAGAAGGAGGAAGTACTAAAGTCTTCAAGAAGTCTTCAGTGACAAAATGCTCAGCAGGTTTACGAGCAGCTGTGGCAGTTTATCAGCATTGTACCAAGCATTTGCTATTGCTTTCTGGGCCTGCTCTGATCACTCACTGTTCAGTCAGGTTACAGAGTCATGTATCAGTCATGTACAAATTCACTTTCCTTAGAAAGAGCCACTCCATCAATGCATTGGCTTGGGAATTGTTTTAGAAATGTAAGTGCTTCCCGCTGTGCCCCATCCTGTCCAAGCCCTGACCATCGCCTGCCTCCCGTGGCATCCAGGTGAAATGCAGTGACTTTGATGTGACAGCAGAGGTGGTGCCTTGGCATCCCACTGCATGAGACAGCAGAATGGACCCCTCTGCACTTCCCCATCATTAAACTCTTCTGAGAACAAACAAGTCTGATGTTTAGCGAGTGACTCCGAACTGACGCAACTCCACAGGACGGCCCCGGCTCTCCTGAGGAACCAAGAGATGCTCACCTGCACAGCTGCTTTACCCCCAGAGCTTGTGTTCTCCCCACTCAGGCTTTTCTTCCCACTGTTCAAATTAAAGTTTGTTTCAAGGGTTATCAAAGGGAACTCCTGTTGACAATCTAAGTGTGCCTGGGATGCCATCAGGCAAAATGAAACACTTAAATGCCTACTTAGAGTCTGCACAGCAAGATAAACTTACCCATCCAACCCTCAGCCCATCTCCACTGCAGAAATGGGCATGTAGCTGGTTTTCTCTTTAGAGTGATCCAAAAGATGCAGAAGTTCCTCTGCACACTCCTAAGCAGCACATGTGGGAGATTGGGGCAGAGCCAGACTGGCTTTCTGGAGCTCAGCTTACCCCCCAATCTCTGAGTTCAGTCTGCTGGAGTCCCTTTACCACTCGGTTCCAGCTCACACCTAACCCTCATGCACTTCAGAGCCTTTCCCAGCTGCCAAGCACAAGTCACATCATACTCTTCTGTTCCTGTGGCTGCACATCAATAATGGGTAAAGCTTTACATACAGAAAGAGCAGAGTCATTCACATGCACAGCTCATTCCCACCTCGCTGTCCTGCTTGTCTGGATGAAAGGCTGAATGAAGGCAACATGCTCCTACCCTTTAAGTGTTGCAATGAGTGCAGCCCTCAAGGGTTTCACACAAAGTCCCTGTGTCATGGGTTTTTTTTCACTTTTAAACCTTATTTCAACATCATTAAAGTGTTATTGGTCCCTCAGCTACTCACTCAAAGCTTTGCCTTAAACTGACTTTTCAAGCTGTTTTGTTTGATCTCTTTCTAGAAGTAGTGGTGATTCAGAGTGAGACAAGGTTCAGTGTATTGTTTCAGCCAGTTAAACTGGATTTGTTGGCTGCACAGAATGTCTTTTAAGTCCTTTCTTTAATAAATATATCTTCATATATATGGTATCTTACAGCTCCTTGTGTATCTGGTCCCTTCTCCATCAGCTGGGATTTCTGGGTCACTGAACAAGGTTGCAGTCAATTTTCAAAGATGATTTGTCCTCACTTGGGAAGAATTTCTTTTAACCTTAATTTCTTTGCATGGTTTTTGAAGCAAAAGCACACTCTCTCCATCTACACTTATTTTTAATAGTGTAAATGTTCAAAATGAGGGTAGAGAATGTTAATTCCCATCCCATCCAACCAAATCTTCCAGGGATATCTGACAGTATCCTTATCCAAAGACTCCCTGGAAAAAGACATGAGATAAAATAAAGGTGTGCCATTAGTAGGAAGGGAGTGAGCTGTGCTCCAGCCTAGATCCCATGGAAGGGTGCAGCAATGGCCTGGAAGAAGTTCCTCCCCTACAAATGCACTTGTTTTCAACTTTCTGACTAAAAGAGCAAAAAACCAAAAGAATTGGAAAGATCTGTGGTAACCTCAGGAGCTGCAGGAGCCTCTCAGGGACCACCTTGCCTGCACTTGCTCACAGGAACAGAAGTAATCAATCCTTGCCTTTGATCTCCATTTGACACCAGAACCTTCAGCTTGTTTTCCTGTCCATGTTTTCTACACTTTCCAGCATTAAGTGCTAGAAAGTTCAGGATGGAGTTTGGCCAAGGTTTAGCTGAGGAGCTGCTGTTCCTTGCAGACTGCAGAAGGTGTTGTGGTGGTGCAGCTGTTCCCCCTCCCAGGCTCTGCTTCTGGACTGGGATTAGTCCAGAGCTCCATCTCCAGGTGGAGCTGCTTCCCAGTCCCTCCTTTCTGTGGCCCTCAGGCATCCACACAAGTTTGAAAATATTTAAGAGTAAGCAAAGGATAAATTGTATTTGGGATGAAAGAACTGCTGTCACGGAAAACTCATCGGAATGTGCCACCCTGGGACAGTCACCAAGGACTGGGAACTCTTACAGGCAGCAAGACCTTCATTGTATCAGAGGTCACCACTCATTCCCCTGACTTTCTGAGAATCCATTTCTGCACTGATCCACAGGAATCAGTATTTATGAAAACATGAAAGTGCCAGTCACAAATTCCACAATTTTATGTGATTCCAATTTAGATGAAGCAACACTGTTATTTTCAGGAATAATATTTAACAAGCAGCAAAAGCAACAGACATTTCACTGTGCAGCAATTTTGTCCCATTTAATTACTCAAACAAACCCACTAGAGGAATATATGTATTAAATATGAGCTTTTGCCTTCCCAGGTTTAATTCATAATTGCCTCTTAGCAACGAATTCTTTTCAGATGTACTGAGAAAACATCAGCACCACAAGGAACAGCAGACAGGTGGGAAAAAATGATGCACTCAGCAATGTCACAGTAAAAAGTCACTATCCCCACAGGATTTGCTCTCAGATTTTTGTCTGTCTCGAATTCTAACATTCTGTTGTACTTCCATAAAGAAGCTGCCTTCAGTTTGCTACTCAACCTGTCCTGAGAGGCAGCACAGACTGGAGGGAAGTACAAAGGAAACCATTCTCAGTGACATCCACACCCCTGATGTGTTAACTGTGACCTCAAGGAATCCATTTACTCTGCCATTTGTTTCCTTGTCTCTAAAATGAAAAGTTGTACTGACCTATTCTAACAAGGTTTCTGTGGAAATTAATTAGTAAGCACCAGTACAACACTTGGCAGTTAACACACGTTCTCTTTTACAAGTATGATAAAAATATTCCTTCTGCTGTTCTTATTCTGAAGGAAAATTGCTCAGGCACACCAGGTTAAGTTATAACAAGATGTAGGGAATATAAAGAAAGGGCTTTGAGAACCATTCAAATATTAACACTCCACAGTGCTCATGAGAAAAAATGCTGCAAGATTCTTATGCCTCCAATACTAAACATTCATTGCACCACTCAGGCTGGAAGAGACCTTGGGAGGTTGCCTGGTCCAATTCCCTTTGTCAGATCAGGGCCAGTTTCCAGATTATCTGTCTCAGGTTGCTCAGGGCCAGGTCAGACACACGAGTGCAGCATCCACCCCCTTCCCAGGGATGTCTCAGGCTCAAATCTTTTGTTACCCCTGTGTCTCCTGTGCCAGATTTTTGAGTGGGGGGCATGGAGCAGATGATTTCCAGAGGTCCTTTCCCTCCTCAGTTATTCTGATTACAGGTGAACAGGCCCCTCACAGGAACATCAACTTTGGTAATCACTCGCATTTGCAGCCTGTTTTGCCACTGGATCCCAATCCTCTTCATGCTCCCATCCTTCATGTGGTATTCCCCCTTCTGCTTTTTTGGCAGCATCCTTCTGCCCTTCTAGTTTAATTCACTGCCAGATTTCCTTGTCAACTCCTTGGGTCCTGAGAACATCCAGGAGAAACTGCAAATGTTGTGTCAGATGGTCTCGACCAAGTAAGGGAATGACAACTGTCCCCCTGCTCTCCTCCCTGGCCTGCTGGACACCAGGGAAGGGCAGAGGGGCCAGCCCTGCCTGGTGCCAGAGCCAGGGAAGGGATGCAGAGCAGAGCTGGGGGGATGGAAAGGGTCTCTCCTCCCCCCACTGTCCATGGCAGCTGGTTCTGCTGCTCAGAAGGAAACGAAGCAGCTCATCTGTCTGGTGAAAGGGAAGCAGGAACCGTTTGTTTGGCACCCCAGATCTATTCAGCATCTTCCATCTCGTGCACTGACAGCTTCCACTGTCTGTTTAACATTTATCAGCTCTAAATGTTACTTGGGAAAGGAGGAGAAACTGCATCTCATCTGCTGAATGACACCAGGACAGAAGCACCGCCAGGGAAACTGCACAAACACAACTGTGTTCTCATCCCTGTCATCTGGGAAGGATAATCACTAATTCATTCTCCTATCAAGTGTCCAAGGAAACCCATCAGATCATCAGGCAGATAATCTGATGATAACAGTCTCTGCCATCACACCAAATAAAACTTATTTAACAGATAGACTTACTCAGTTACTTATAAATAAATGTTGAATGGGGAGAACTTTAAGCAAGTCCTTTCAGCAAACCCCACAAAGGGAACATGGAATGACAGTGTCTGTGACTGCCCTGATATGGGGTGAAGAGAGCCCCCCAGAAGAGAGGGCACAAGCTTCTCTGAACAATTTTGCTACTTCTGTGTCAAGCACAGAAGCAGAAAGAAGCCAATGGCCTTAAAAAAACCCCAAAACTACCTGCAGTGGCCATCAAAACCTAGTCACAAATTTGTCCTGAAATTACTTGCTGTTGTAAATAAAATCAGTGATTCACATAGTGAAGTCTCCCACCTTGTAATTTGTAAAACTATTATCAGTACTATCGAAAAAGTACTTGCTTTTATTTTAAATTTAAAAAGACCTGGCATGAAAACTTCCAAATTACTGTTTTTAAAGAAAATTAATAAGTTTATTTCCTACTAAAAGTACATGAACATTTTTAGACTTCAACAGATTCCCTGCCTGCTCCTCTCACTATCAGCACAGTTGGCTGCTCAAAATCCCAACATCTTCCTCTCTGTCTGAGGGTGTGACAACCCAGGGGAGTACTTAGGAGTGAAAACTGATATGGAGAGAGCAGTTATGCAGATGTGAGACCTCTGGGCTCCATTTCTTCTCCCTGCAGCCAAGAGAAGGGCAGGGACATCACCCTGCTCTGCCTTCCACTTCTGCCCTCAGTGCTCAAGCTCAGCCAGCCAGGCTGCCAGGTCTGCTCTGCTCCAGTGTCAGAGCAGCTGCACAAGTTCTGAACTGGGCCCCTAAAGAAAGTTCTCACTCAAAACAAAGTCTTGCAATCACATTAAATAACCTCCAGATCATCTGTTTTCCTTTTCCTGACCTTCCCAAACGTGGCATGGGCAGTAGAGCTGTGGTCAAATCATGGGGACACACAAATTGTGGGGTCTGGACTTCTGCTAGAGCAGGAATTCCCCCTTACATTTAGTAAATCACTGGAGCACAAGGGTAACCTCTGCTGCCCACTTATTCAAAAAATGGCTTTTAAACAAAAAGGCTTCATGATTGCATCTATGGCACGTGACATTCACACTCACAAACCTCAGGAACCAAGCAATGAACGATCCTTACTGAACCATGCAGTGAAACACAGCAGGACCTGCAGTTATTTGGGATTTTGTTTTGTTTCACCTCCTTTCAGTGGCCCAGCCAGTGATGTATACACTGAGCACAGCTCCCCTCAGTACCAGCTGCCTCAACAGGACAGTGTATTTATCTGAAGTCATTAATAAAAACACCATGTTAAGTGCAGGTCTGACCTGCACTCCCAGGTATCTATTGCTTTATGGGCCTAATTAAAATAGCATTTCATTTAATGCCATAATTAACCTGTCATCAAGCACTGCTGGAATACAAAACCAGAGCCTGGCAGACATTTATCCTTCCACAGGTACCAAAACGGAAAGCAAAAGAAAGTCTTCAGAGTCCTACAGAGAAATGAGGAGCTTTTTTTCTCTGTATTTTTTTCCCCCAATTTTAACAGGTCCTCCCTCCTTTTTCTACCACTTCTCTTTGCAATCACCTCCCAGCCCCTGGTGCAGTTTGTGATGAGTATTGTAAATCATGGACTTTGCACGGCTGGTTATTACTGAGCTGCTGATGCCAGCTGCATTCCCTCCTCACCAGGACTGGCAGCTCCTTCTGGAGAACTTAAAAATCATTCTCATCTTTCAGCTGATACTGCTTTAACTTCAAACTGTGCTCCAGTTTTTACTGATTGGAGCAAAACTACAGCTGGGAATGGCAGGAGATCATCATGATCCAGACTGAACCTGGATGATGTGGCTTGAAAATAGAGAAAGATCAGAAAATCTCAGTGAGGGAGCAAAATATCCACTGTTCCATGATACCAGATCAATTACTAAATACATGCTTTAAACACGTTTTTCACACCTTCTGTTAACGCTGCTCTGAGAGTCCTGGACCTGGAAATGTGACTTTTCATATCACTGTGCTGCATTTCCTCAGCCTTTAGTACGGAGTTCCCTGAACCTGGGTTTTTAAAGATAAAGATGTGACAGATTCCCACCCCTTCATCTGGAATACTGCACTTATTATTCTCAGGATTCCAGGATCTGAGAGTCCTGCAGTATCTGAGCACTGCAGTAAAGCTGCACTTAACCTCAGTGAATGCACCCCCAGACCCCACAGCCCATTCCTGCACTGTGGGAAAGCCTCGAGTGCATTTGAACACACACTGCTTTCCATCCTAAACCAGGAATAATCCACCTTCACAAGTTCCCAAATACCTCATACCTTCAACTCAAATATTTTACACTTCCAAAAACACACTCCTGACAGCTGTGAGAATATGCTAAGTTTGATATTCAAGGGAGAGCCACGTTTCACTCTCCAAAGCACAGAATTCATTTGGCACCACAGATTATTTTCTTCCCCAAACACACAGAAGAAGTGACTGTGACCTTTCCTTCTACCCCTGTGTAGTAAACAACTTGTATGAGGAACAAATTCCCTTGTAAGTTGAAAATAATTGCAGCAAAACTGACCTTGAAACCAAATTTACCTGCAAATAATGGACACAGAACCAGTACTGAGATTTCACCCCAACAGCAGAGTTTCATCTACACTGTATGATAAAGTGAAGTCTGTGTCCTGATCTTGTCAGTCCCCAAATTCACACAAGACTTTGGGAAATTACGAAATTTTAAATATGGTTTACACTGACAGGTTTAGCAGCAGCAGCAGAAAGTATAGCAACTTTATGGCTGAAAAAGGGATGACTCAATGTCTTGCCATTTCTTCTCAATCCTCCTGTATCTACTGGAGATTACTAAAACATGTCTCAGCCCAGCAAAAAGCATGCTGAAAGGTTTCATTCTGAAGGACCTCATTTCAAAAGGCTGAACAAACCAACCCTGGTGCAAAGGGTGGAAAGAAATACCAGTTATGATAATTTTTGGCAAACAGAATTTCCATAGATATTTAAAAGAAACAGATACCCCTTTAGATCTGTTTCTCTGCACCAAAAAAATGTTTTCTTTTCAAAGGAGTATTTCCCTTGGCACTAAGAATTCTCTTGCTCGTGGCACAGTGAGTTTCTTGCAGCAGACAGAGGTCCTGACTGAAGTCAAAAGACACATAAAATACTTCTGCAGGCCATCAGGGCACAAGAAAGATGTGTTCCTTCATGCCAAAATTGGTTATGAATTAGCCAAAGGTTACACATTTCAACTGGCATCGTGGTGCTGGCTTGTTCACGTCTGCTGAAAAGAAAATCAGCTCAAAAGCCTCGAGGTTAATAAATTATAATTCCTTCTTAAAGCTAGAGGTGTTTGTTAATAACAGAACCAGGGGATGTTAAAGACCATCCTACAGATCAGAGTCTTTCAGTGAAATATGTGAGAGTTGAGACGTACAGAGCTCTTAGAGAATGCACTGAGAGAAGGGATGAGCATTTTAATTTAGGTTCCACTCCTAACAGAACAGTCCTCCCTGTCCCCCCCTGCCTGGCTAACACTGATCCTTTACCATTACAGTGCTGCAAATGCATCTGGAGCAGCAGTGGGACTTGCCCAGGCAGCACTTTCAAACACAGGCCATCCCACAGTGTTTTATTTTTAATTGCTTTTTCCTGTATTTCCAATTACTGCTTTTCTGCTCTGCTGCATCACTAACAGTGACTTTTCTGTCCCCTGCTGTCGAGCCTGACACTTGGACAAATTACTGCTCACAGAAAAAGAAACCTGCCCATTTGGGCACTCAGCATCAGCCTCCCAAAATGCAGCCTAAGTTTGAGACAACAAGAAGTGCCAGGTTTTAGGACTTAGCAATACAGAGAAGGTAAATTAGCTTAGTCAAGCACTAAAACTGACCCAGTGATGATGACAGTCATCTCTAAAAAAGCCTGGATCTCCTAAAGGAGAATTATCAACATGTGGATTTAAAAGTTGGGTTGGAGTGACAAGCAGAGCACCGAGGATCAAAAGCAGCATAAGCCAAAACAAACCCAAAAGCCAAAAAGACAGAAGGAGAGAAAGAAAAAACACTGCAGAGGAACATTCTGATCATGAAAAATACATCAACTTGTGCCAGCAACAGAAAACACCCTGGGGTCGTTCTCTCCCAAGCCACATTTTGTCAGCAAGAGCAAAAGTCAGTGCAAGTGCCTTCAGGTTGTGCTTCACCTCTCCTCCTTCACCTCTCCTCCCACATCCACAGCAATGATTTCTACACCTGTAAACACATGTTAATCTTACAACTGCATCTGGAAATGAAATAGTTTCACGTGCTCCCCTTCAAAACAGAGCATTTTGCAAAAGATGACACTTTCAGCTGAGGGTTTATTTCCAATCATAAAAGTCAAAATAATCAAACATATCATTCTTGATACCAAACCCAGAGTGCAGATACTCTCAGTTTATCTAAGCCAGCATTACTGCAGGTGAGTGGCTCACTGTGATCCATAATTCAAAAAACACCATCCCAATTTGCAGGCAGCAATAGTCTTGGGGTAATGCCTGTCAGCAGACAATTACTGAGGCTGTCTTTAAATGAGCAAATTTCCATCTTTTCTATCTTGAAAATAAAATACAGAACACAGTAGGAATATAAAGCTGCCCTTGGCTTTTTTTTCCCCCTACAAAAGTGTGGCTGGTCTTGCATTATAAAAGGCAACACTGCAGGAAGCTCAGCACTCAACCTGCCAGACAGATGAGCTGAGACTCAGCTCCCTCTCTCTGGGCATCCTGCCCCGGAGTAACTGCAGTTCCAAATGATCCACTTATTAGAAAAACCTTAAACCAGCCTTAAAGTATGGAGGTATAATTGACAGCCATCAGAATGCTCATCCCTGTCAGATCTCCTGGAAGCAGGGATGGACTTGCAGCTGTGTTCCAGCCTGTTATCAGAGCTGTGGTAATCAATCACCTCAGCCACCTCAGGGGACAGAGCCCACCTTGAACAGCAGAGGAATTTCAGGCCGGTCTAAAATGAATGGTTCATTTTGGATTTGCTGCAGCCACAGCTGCAGAGTGCCCTGCCAAGCTGTCAGCCCTGGATGGCACACACAGTCCCACCCCCTGTGCCAGCCCACCCAGTTATTAATGGCACAATGAACCCTTCATCCTGCAGCCACAGCCAGGCTGTACCTGCTCGGGGCTCCACCGTCTTGTTGGAATCTGCATCCAGGAACACAAAGCGGCCTCCCCCAAAATCCTGGCTGTAGTCAGAGAGGTAGAGCAGAGAGGTGTAGTCAAAAGAGCCGTAAGTCACCTGGGGGGGGAAGACAACATGACCAAAAATGACCAAATTCTTACTCTCACCTCTGCAGAGCACAAATAATGAAGCAGATAGATCTGATGGGTTTTTCTAATTATCCAGTTTTCACATAAGTTTAAGAAAGGGCTCTTTGAGAGCATTGTTTCCTACAAAGCCTCTGTGTTTATTAGTCTGTTTTATTACATGTACACACCTGCTCCATCCAGGACTAGCATGTTATGTCTATTATTACCACAGTTTCCATAACTAGAGAAGTGCTCCTGTTGATCTCCAGTGCCAGAAGTTGCACCCCTGCATTGAGTCCAAAGTAGAGCAGAGCTCAATCAGCTTACACTGTTTCAAGATAAAGGTTAATGACTAATGAATTCCACCCATTATCTAACCATGCTCAGAGATTTCTGGAAACCTCCCTTTTCACTTTTTCACCAGCTACCAGGCAGGAGCTTCATGGTAATAATAAATCAGACTTTTCAAATAAACACACATTTGTTGGAGGAACTTCTACTCTTTTCTATCCAGGTTTTGTTTAAAAACCTTCAAACGTGACTTGCTAAGTCTCTGCTCCTTCTCAGCCTCCAGACCAAACATCCCATTTTTAAGGCTAACAAAGTGATTTTTTCCTTCCTTGTAAAGCGTTATTTTCACTTGATATGTACATTGAAGATGGAGAAAAGAAATATTATATACTAATGCTCAGAGTGAAGCTATCTAAATATTTAACACTGAGTTTAGCTGATTCTGAAAATATTTCTTTTCGTATCTACGCGTCACCAGCAATTAAAAACATCCTTAAAATCAATGGCTGTATTCTCCAATTTCTTAGCAGTAAATCCCAACCCTGGAGTTCAGCATCACACTGTCAGACAGGGAAATGTGCAGCACAGTAGCACTGTGTAAACACACAGCACTTGCAGAGTGTTTTGACTGACCTGGTGACTGTCAGAGGTAGGTGCTACTTCCAAACTTAGAAGTTTTCTAAATATTTTCAGTCGTGTTTCAAGTTACATTCATTAGTGCCAGTTAAATTTCTGGCTCCAGAGCAGCTGTAAATGCTATCCTGCAAGGGCAGTGACTGCAGAGAACAGAGCAGCAGATGGAACAGGAAGACATTCTCTTTCTTACTCATTTTATTATTTTTGACCATAAGGGCTTAAAGGCAAAAAGCCAAAATCTGGTGATAAGCTGCACCACACAGCCTGAATCACAAGAATGAGAGAAATATCACAGTGATCCCCTTCCCCCCATGTTTTCCCAAACCTTGGTAGCAAAACAAGGCAGTCAATGGGAATTAATGAGCAAGTGGTACTGCAGTGCCTCAAACCAGCCCCTCTCATGCAAATCAGCCCTGCAAAGCCATTTTCCACTTCACTGATTTGCTGATAAAACTTCCAGTCAATTTATTCAGGAAGTCTTCCAGCCACTGAAGGCACGAGCACAGGGAAGTTCACTGAGCTCACACCTGCAAGTTCAAGGCATTAAAATTGTTCTTATCCACTCCATCTCCAAGGTGGCTTTACCAATTCTAAACTTCTAAAGAGCTGCCTGCAAACCATTTGAGCACAACCAAACACAGCTAATTGCTGGTAGATGACTAAATGTGCAGGGCAAAATGGCTTTTCTGTGCCTGCCCTTATTCATGACTAACTCTCAGAACAGCCAGGCCTGAGAAATGCAACCCTCTGGAAAGGAAGCACTAAATTATACTGAGTTAAAATCCTCCCATGCATATCCAATATATTTGTTACCCTGGTAATGATTTCCAGTACCAGACAGGTCAATAATATAATCAGAAGTTCAAACTATGTGAGAAAAGCTGTCATTAAAAGCAGGGGATAAGCCAGGCAGGCACAGCAAATCAATTTTCTCCAGCTCCTTATGAACAGCTCCACAAGAAAAATGCAGGTATTTCCATTCAGCCTGATGTGTCATCTAGTTAAGTGTGCTCTTTTGAGCACTCTTTACCCAAAAGAAGTCAAACATAGCTAATATTTAATGGCAGATGCTCCTAATGACGTTTATGTGGTAGTTCTTTAAAGGCAATTATCATAAATACAACTGCCAGAATTAGCCAGACACATTTTGCAGTGGCACCCTTGGGTTTCTGAGGATCAACTTCCTCTAAGTTCAAAGATGGTGCTGCTTTAAGGCACAAATAAGATCTCTGGATGTGTTTTAGAAATGTGTAACAACATCAGGGGAAGAAAATAAGAGTGAAAAGAGACTCAGCAGCCAGAGGGGGTGGTGGGGATGTGGAGAGCACATTGCAGGTAAAGGGGACTTGGAGGTTTGGCTTGTGCAGCTTAGAGAAAAAAAGGCTGAAAAGGGATCTGATTCCTGCCTGTAAATACAGGGGGATGGCAGGAGGTGGAAGTGGGAGGAGGGGAAAACCAGCTATAAATTGATCATGGCCAAGTTTAGGCTTAAAAAAAAAAAACAAACCAACAAAATAATTTCGAGCAAATGTGCACTGAAGTCCTGGAATAGCTCTGATAGAAGAAATTCAAGGAAAACAAGCCCAAAAAGGATCTTTCTGGAAGAGCCTGCTGATTCTGTGAAGGATGGCAGGATCCCTGCCCAGGCAGGGCACTGCAGAGATCTGCGAGTCCCACACTGCTTCTGTCAGAGAACGTTCTAAGACTGCTCTGCTGCCAGTGTTGAGTGTGCAACAGCAACTCCACTACAAATCAGAGTTTTTGACATTTGAAAGCCTCAGTTCCAAACAAATCCCGTCCAAGATGAAACTCCACATCTTAAACCAACACTCTCTTTATTTGATTTATATGCTTATAAATTCAACGAGATTAAATGAGTCATCTGGGTGATTTCAGGGTTTCCATTTCTGTGTAACTGCAAACCAAATAAATTTTAGGGAAAAAAAAAGAAACACCAAAGCCTCAGATGGAGACAGTAAATCTGTACTACTCCATTATGCAGTTAAAAACCTTTAAAAATCAGATTAGAAATATCATTGCAATATAGGGGAAAAGGCAAGAGGGGTATTTGTGTGCTCCAAGAAGCCAAAATCTTTGTAATAAGTGTCAGACTTTAAAATAAAAAAACACATGGGATTCCTTTTTCAAAGGCTTAATTTTACCTTTCTTTTGGAAAGGGGCAAGGGGAAAAATCCTGTTATCTTCTAGGAGTAACCTTCACTATGTATTTCTGCATAGTAATTTAAAAAAGTGACTTGTTCTGTTCCAAGGGAGAAGAATAAATAACAATAGAACACAAAAGCGTCCACCAAACTGTCAAGTTTCATTGACATTTCTTCAACCTCCTTGTATTCACAGTTGCTTTGGAGGCCACAGAAGAAGACTAATGCTCTTAACTGGGAGGCACTTCCTACCTCACATCAATAGCAATGGATTTTTTTAACTTGCATTCAGCTGCAGCCTGGAAGTGGTAAATGAAAACTTACTTTGTTGGAGAAAGTAAAATCCAAGCCAGATGAATTTGCTGCACTCAAGGCAACTTGTGAAGCTACAGATTCATCCTGTTTGGTCTCTGTTCAAACTACTTTTGATCATGAACAAGGTGTTTGGTAACTGCCCCAATGGGATAATTATCTCTTCATACATTGAATTATTTAGGCTGGAAAAGACCTCCAAGATCAACCTCTGTCATAACTCAGACAACCCCCTTATTCAGTATAGACACTGTTAAGGTGTAGATTATGCATTCCAAGTTTAAGGGAGCAGATTTTGTGTCTGTTTTGGTGTTCTGAAGCTGAGGGTGGGTTAGAAAAAGCCAAGGCCAATGAACTGATGTATCTGCTCCCTGACCAGACAGCCTGCAAGATAAACAAAACACGGACAAAACAGAAGGATAAAAACAGCAAAACATCTACCCCTGCTGTCCATCATGTTCCGGCACTCTCAGGATGTCAGGACAAAGACTCAAGGGAAAAAAAAAATCCTCTTTGTGGAAACCTATTTGCTTCTAAATGACAAAATAACTTTTAAGTTATATAGGAGATATTTAGGTGGAAACACTGAACTGTGAGGTTCTCCAACCACCTTATTCATTTCTCAATGCAAAACACATGCAGGAAAGAATAAAGAGCACATTGGCAAGCCTAATGCTTGGGCAGACACAAATCTCATTACAGTAATAAATCAGAGTCTGAAATGCTAAAATACACCTTTTTGGGGCCGAAACAAGAGTGGAGAAAATAGCCATGAGCTGTTGGAATTTACTGCTTTCTCTTCCCTTGTGGCAGTCAAATTTGATTCTCTAAAACTATGGAAAAACTACAGGGAGCTGATGAATTTACCGCACTTCTCATGAGCAGGATCACTGGTTTGTTCTGAGGCTCTTGGGGACGAGCGTGAGGTGATGGAATTGCTGTGAACCAGCACCATCTGCTCCCTGCAGCCACTTCCCACCAGCACCAGGCAAAAGAATGTGGCCCTCAAAACCATCCCTCTCACCTCTGGTGCCCCACATCCACCACTGTCCACTGGTCACATCCCAGCTTTTTAAAGCAGAAGCATCCAAAGCCAGGCCTTGTCTTTGCCGTGTCTGTGCCTGCAGATTCTGCCCTGCTGGATTTTCTGCTCCCAGCCCGCAGCTGGGGCAGGTACCAACCACCCCATCAGCACATCTACATCTGACCCGCTTCTGCTCACATGGCAGGAGCTCACACTAATGCTGGGAGCAACAACAGACGCTCCACTTCCCTCAGAGCGGCTTTTTCCAGGAATTATTGTCAGGCAAGGAATGTTTCTCTGATTTTTACATCTCAGACTTCAAAGTACGCTGCCCACTTAGAGATTCTAGCCCTGAACATAACTGGGGTTTTGATGGGCAAATTTTGTTTGTTTGGTAATCCATGACTCCAGAGTGACTCACTGATAAATCCTGAAGACATGAAATGTGGGTATTGTGCTGTGGATCTTCTTTGCTTATGGGTTTTTATATGTTTTGGGCTTTTTTCCTTTGGTTCTTCCATTATTTGTATTCTGCTATACTGCACAGAACCTTAAAATCCAGTTCAGTTCAGAAATTAACTCAATACCAAATCATGTAAGTCCATTAAAAATGCAAAGTACCAAGCTCTGAACCTAAAGATAGAAGACTGAGCAGTTAAAATAAAGTCAGAATACTTCCATTCTAAAAAGAACACAACACTAAATTATTGAAAAGGGGTGCCATGTCCCCATTGAAACACATACAGTAAAAAAGCCTCAATTCACACATAACTGAAATATAAATGCTAAGCCTTTACCAAAGGCTCAGATCAACAGCAGTGATCAATTGACCACTGTGAAACAGCTCCTGCCAGACCTGCCTGAAATTCAGGTCAATTTAATCAATATTTCTGACAAAAGAGATTGCTGAGTAGTCACTCTGGCAATTTATTAATCCTAGCAAAATCAAATTAGAGAAAATAAAATTACATGGGATGTAATGGCCTACGTTTCTAAAACTCACTTATCTCCCACTTAGGTTCATCCCCTGAAGGATTTTTTAACAATCAGCAATTTTCAAACATGTCTGACTGATTGTTTAATCCAAAATGACTTCAAAATGTTCTAATAATAACAGGAGACCTTTGAATGCCACCTCAGCCTGCTCCTCACCTTGTCCACGTGGGGGTGCCAGTACTCGTCGTGGGTTGTCTTGGCCTCCGTGCTGTTCATCCTGGAGAAGAAGGTTGGCTTGGTCAGGTACAGGGAGGAGGAGCTGATCCCAAACACCTGAGCGATCCTTTGTTGAATTCTCTGTCTCACATCCCTGCAAAGAGCACACAGAGCACACACAATGCTCAGTGAGGCCTCTCCTGCTCTCCTGAGCTTTCCTTCGTTCCCTGCTGGTGCTCCTTTGGAGCTGAGCTTCTTCCCCAGCTGATAAATCATGGGGAACACACAACCATCCCTTCTGATTTTGCCTTAAATAAAGAAGATGTACTACATCAAAAAAAAAACATTTTGGGTTGGTTGGGGTTGGTTGCTCTGGGTCTTTTGATTCCCAGAACATCAAGGTAAAAAAACCCTCTTTGTCTCCTGTGGTCAAGGTTTTACAGTTTCTGTCTGGGCAGGCTCTTTCCCTCACTGTTTATCAACTGCTGAAAACATTCAAGTCTTTCAGACAGGTATTTTTAATCCAAAGCAAGTAACTGTAAAGTTGTGCCTTCACAAAGGGTTGCCTCTGAAGAACCTTCAACTGCTTTTAGACTGATTTTGAACCCCCTGATGGTGGCACCATGAAATTCAGGGTTCTTGATCAACATGTATATTGGTATTGTTACCAGATTTCCTTTCAAAATGAATGCAAGATGTTTTTCCCAATTATTTTCAAAGATCAGACAAACTGTTTCTACCTTGGCTACTTTCCTGTGTTTCTTGGGAGGCAAGAAAGAACAGGACGGGGCTTTTATTTCATTTCAAGGCTTTTAAGGTTATCAAAATACAAAACTAATGGTCCCATGTGTGATGCTGTCCAGAGCTGCCTCTCCAGCACCATCCCTCTGGCAGACCAGGGCCATCTACAACTGCCCCTCTTGGTTCAGTGCCCAGCACTTTAAAAAGAAGAGATTTGTGCTTAATGAGGAGTACCACTGGCAAATCCCACACTCAGCTGGCACGTCAACTTTGAGGAGATTTAAAAGCCAGCAAAGAATGCAATGACACACAGTGATTAAATGAAAACATTGGGGTTCAAGATTTAATCCTGTTTCTTAAAACCTTTGTGTTATTTTCTCCCAGAATACAGCATGTAACTATTTTGAAAAGCAGAATAAAATCACTTAAGGAGAACACAGTCACTTCTTAGCCTATGAAAACTCTTCTGCTCAGCCTATTTTCCACTGACCTGGCCATTCCAACATTTATCAATATCATGACTGCAAGTTTTTCATTCCATTCCCTTCCCTGCTGTTCCAGACACAGCCTATGTAGGACAAACTCAGTGTACTGTGTAAATCAAGTGACAAGATAAGCCAAATTTCAGCTTAAAAGGTGCTATCAAGGAAGGAGTGAATAAGCCCAGGAACTTTGGCTCCCTTGGATCCCCTCATGGACCCAGAAGCAGCAGGAGCCTCCCTTTCCGTCTTGATCCTGGCCCACTGACTCCTTATCCTTTCTCCTCTGTGATGAAAAACTGTTGGTGGAGTTCTGGTGTGCTCTGGCTGCAAGGAGAAAACTTCTTTATGCTGGAGAATATAAGCATTTACTTCCATAAACACAGCAATTCTTGTCCCATTCAGGCTGCTCAGGGGGTACCCAGCTCTGAGCAGATGCACTGACAGAGCTCTCTGCCTGTCATCAAATAAATGCACAACTACAGCACCCAGTCTGAAATATCAGCAACAAATTAACCCCCCCCAAGGCTGTCAGCAGCAGGCCTTGTCCACTGGCACTGAGACACTGGATAATATCAAAATGCACAGGCCAGACTGAGGGAGAGGCAGAAGAGACCTCCATGAGAAGAGCACACGACCACCAGATTGTGTAAAAACAGTTCCTGAGATCTATTTTGGAGGTAGGGGGATGAGGCAGAAAATCAAACAAGCCAGTGAAGTAGCTGGAAGTCCAAGGAACATAAAACTTCAGAGAAAGGAAGTTCACTAGATTGAAAAATCGCCAGTTTAATGCAGCAGCAGCAGCAAAAAGGACTAAAAGAGCCACAGAACAGTCTCTGTAGGACACAGCTCTGCCCAGACCAGCACAAAATGCAGCTGGGAGGCACTGCAGAGTGTGATCCAAGCACAGTGACAGGAACACTCCAATCCTACACAACTTCCCTGCTATCCCACTTGTCAGCACCCCTGCTCCCCAGGGAACAGCCCCAGAGGCAGCTGCAGCAGACAAGGCCAGGATCTCCCAGCCAGGGAGCCTGGACACAAATCCAACACACAGAGAGCAAACCATCAGCTCTCCCCCTGCTCTGGATCTCTCCCTTAATAAGCTGGGAGGTTTTCAGAATAAATCTTGGATAGTGCTGTTTGCTGCTCAAAGTCAACCCTCCCACCAAACATCCTGATTTAAAGGTCTCTCTTTTGGATAAAGATGCATCTCTTCTGTGGAGGAACTGCTGTCATGTGCTCGGCAGATGGTGATTAAAGCATCAGCCTAGAAACCAGAATTGATTCTGAAGCAACATAATTCTGACAGAGACAGTTTAGAAACCATCCCCCTGGCTCAGGATGCCTACTCAGATCTGTTATTGTTGCAATCAGTAATGCTTAGACACAAATTACATTCAGTTATTCCTCTCAAGAGTGTATTTTTAAACTGACCTTGGCAGGTAAGGGAAAGTAATGAAGATAAATGCTCCCAAGAACAGCATAAAATCGTTCATTAAGGCCATAAAGTACTACAATCCATGGTAAAGCACTGCCATTGATATGAACAGAAACATTTAATAATAGATTTTGTATTAGCTTCATATCCAGCAGACTGAAACATCCCCTATATGGCATGGAATCCCAGTGGAATATTGATATTCCCAAGCAGCTGTCTCTTCTCACAGCAGAAATTCATTAGATTATTGAAAAATGGAATGCTTCTGTTCATGTGAAATACAAATTATATATTTTCTTTATATAATAATCAAGGAACCGTGTAATTTTTGCCATTTTGGGATCAAAAGTAAACACTTCTTAAAGAAGTTTATCTGTAAGGACAATGGTATCTAGAAACAGTTACTGAATAGAAATAGGTTTTAAGTGATTAATATTTTAGCATAATATTAATGACTATTTTAATAAAACTAATAAACCTACTTGACTACTTAAAACTCCTTCCACCACTAGAGGGAGGTCAGATTCCTTCACAAAGGCAAGTAAAAAAAGACACACACACACAAAAAATATTGCAGAGCTGCTTGGGAGGGGGATTATTCACTGCTTCTCCAGCCACAACATCAGTAATTTAATAATAATAAATCCTGCTTTACCATTTTTAATGTTTTGCTACATTTCACCCCCCGAAAAACCAGGTTCCTGATGTCATAATGGCACAGAATTGTCTCCATCCTCTAACACAACAAACAGGAGTTCAGGAGGGAGGATTTTACATTCCCAGCTACAACGTTGCAGCAAATCACCCCAGACCTCAGATAAAGCAGCTCCCCTGGCTCCCAGGGCTGCATCAACCCCCTGGGCAGGAAGGGAAATGTGGGATCCCATTGACACCACCAGAACTGCCCTGCCCTGCTCAGAGCAGCTGATGGTGTTGATCAAAGCAGTCACTAAAAGGTCCTCTTATTTCTCTTCCTCAAGCCATCTTATTGCTCAGAGATTACTATTTTGAGTAGATGTATAAATGCAAAGGACAATCCCCTCCCAACCTGCACCCTAAAAAAACAAAACCCTCAGAAATATGAAGTTCTGGTTTGTGATTCATTCAGCAGTTACTGGAAACCTTTACCGGTACAAGGCAAAATCCTCTTCGGTGAAGATGTCGTGAATTTTGTCCCCAAAGTACCTGAAAAGTTAAACAACAGGTTAAAAGGGGAGTTGCTGAATCAGAATCCCTGAGTTAACACCAAGATGCCTCCTCACCCCCACCTGTGATTTGCTCACAGAGAGGGAAAACACAACCCAAAAAATCCTACAGATGCTTTTGAGCGTGGTGTGCAAAAGAATTGCTAAAAGATTAAATGTTGAAAGATTAAAGGATCAAAATGCTGCAGCTGGTAATGGAATTCCCCAGGCATTAAAAAAAAGTTCCCTCCCAAATCACAAAATAAGCACATGGATTTGAATTTTTAAGAGTTCAGCCTACTTGATTTCTCCCCCTGCTGACAAACTAGATTATAACTGTGGAAAAAAATACTCTGACTTCCTGGTGCCAGAACATCAAAATAAAGATAATGGCAGCTTTCAAAGAGCCCACAGCTCAACAAAAGATCCCTTTTCATGCCACAAAAGCTCTTTAACCAGTCCTGGAGACCGTGGTGAATCCAAGCAAATTCCACAGTCTCTCATCACCAATCCCAGCCCACGGGGTGTGAGAAATTGGAACAGGGAGTGGGCACGGAAGGTGTGGGATGACAAGAGGCAGGAAACACAGTCCCACTTTACCTGTACAGATTAACAAAATGCTTCCCCAGGGAAAGAGCTCCGGAGTGCAAGTCCAAAATTGATGCCTGGCAAAGGAAACAGGAGGAAAAATGAGCATGAAAAGGTTTTATCATTATTTAACTATGTAACCTTTAATAACCGGCCCGAGTTGGCTCTCACTTCCCTCAGCCTCCCCAGGTGAAAATATTAATTTCTGGCATTTGGGTTCCCAATATAAGGTTTACTTTACAAACTGCAGACCTCTCTGAGATCACTGTATGGATGCACAGAATATTCAGGTACTGTGAAAAAAGCACAGGACTGCTATTCCTGAGATCCCAACCTGACAGGGAACTGCCATGGGCTGGGGGTAAAAATTCTGTGTTCCAGGATTCCCTCTTGAAGACATTTCCCTTCCACACAAGGATGACTAATTTTCCAGTATTTGTGAAGTGCTCAAGTAGCAGCACTAATATTTATCTTGCCCAGCATTTGTTATTAAAACTTCACCTCCACCCTGAGTTCCTGTATACTCCTCATATTTAATGTAGACATTAAAAAGGCTGTTTAAAAGAACAGTTAGAATTCTAAGGCTTACTAGAGTCACACTCTCCTTTCCTCAATTTCTAAACTGCTGTAAGAGAAAACCACACAGTGAAAGGTTTTTACATATGAAAATTCAATCCATTTCTTATCCAGTTCAAGCCAAACTCTTCTGCTGAGCTCCAGACAAGCTAAAAAAATTAGTATTCAGATTTGCCAGGATGGAGAGCCACCCCTCAGGACTCTAAAATATTTCTGTACATTGAATAAAGTACACTTTTGTATGTCCCTTGCCGTCCACAAAATACATGTTTGCTTTGCATCAGTTAAACAGTGTTTTAAAATGACTGTTTAATGGTAGCTTTTTTTTTTTTTACTAGAAAAATCAAATTGCAACAGTTAATTAACCTGCCTGACACCAAAGTAAACACATATTTGATACACAATATCCTGGCAAAAGCACTCATCTTGGAATTTGGCTTTTTTTTGATGCATCAAATACCCTTTACATTATTCTAACAAAATCCCAGCAGTCATAACATTTGTGATGGAGGAAAACACTCATAACAGTCCCTCAGAAAAATCTCTGCAGCCTCAGTTGCTCTGAGCTCCAGAGCTGAAGCCGGGGAACCCCACTGACACCTCCTTTTACAAGGGATAGTTTTATTTATAATAATCTTATTCACCCCTTGAAAAACACACCAAGTTACAAGCTATTCAAGTGGACACAGCATGAGCTTTTCAGCCCTGCCCTTCCCACAGCTGTCCAAAAGCTTCAGAGGGCTGTTAGGAAAACAAGTCATGTCCCACTCCTGCAAGAGCAGTTCTTGTAATAGCCAAGCAAAATACTTTCATTTATTCCTTCCGAGTTCTGGACAAAAATATGAGCCCCAGCCTGTGCAGCTTCATTAATATGTTTATGACCATCCTAAAGTAGATTATAAGTAGCAAGACACGGCTGAAAAGATGAATTTAATTTAAAACCAAATTGCCTTTCTAACTCTTTCCACGTCCTTTTCAAACTCAGACATTTCTTCTCAGATGATTACAGATAGGGAGGTGCAAAATAACCAAGTGAAGCAATAAAAGACACCCCAAGAACTGCAGGTACTCAGAACTGAACAGGTAATAACCACAATACAAAGCCTAGAAAAGCCAGATGAAGACTGAAAAGGGAATCTGAGAAATAAAGAACATTCTTTGGGGTTGTTTCAGACAGGAGGGAAACAACTTAATGCCAGACAGGGACTTGTTTACAGGTGAACACAGAACTATTTGTTTAACAGCTACCTGGGAAAGAAACCAAAACACATTCATTTTGGCCTCTGCCATTTCAGAAAATTAAACATTTTCAGCATAATTTCTGACACTGAGAAGAAAATCTTGGTTACTTCAAGCCCAGGTATCTGAGCCAGGGTCAGCCTGCAGTTCAGGGCAGTGTTCCCAGGTTGAAAGCTCTACAGAGATGGCAAACACACACCCACAACCCTATTTTGAGAGGCTGTTTTGGACAGAATTACCCCCCTATCCTGGTTTTCAGAACTTTGTATAGAAGGGAAATAAAACCTTCCTCTAAAAAATAAAAAGCACAAATAGGTGTTCAGTGTTGTTAGTCCCATACTCTCCACCCTCTCACTGCTAAAAGGATTCAAAAAGAACGTGTAAGTACCCAGCATTTCTCAGCATATGGCAAAAAGGAGCAATTTTCCCATCTTGGGAAGCATGACAGGCCCTGCCTTTGTTCCTCCCTAAAAGGGATTGCCAAGCATTAAATATCTATTCACATCTACACCAATTCCTCCAGCTCATGAGAGGTTTTCAGTGATACTTGTAAAAAAAACAGCAGACACACCACCTAAATGACAAGAATGCAAAAAACTTACTTCTAACTATCCACAGAGGAGCTGGCAGCACTCAAACCCTTCCCCACTGCTGCTGTGGGAGTGCTCACACACTCTAGGTGAGAGGGAAGAGCAGTGGAGGTTCTACCTGAACTCCTGGGCAGCACCAAAATCGGTGTCACTGCAGGGAACCCTGCACAGACTCCCAAAACAATCCCACCTGCACGTACCCCTGAGTCAGGAGCACACAGACAAGGGGTGTGGTCTCAGGGCATGCCTCTTAGATTAATTAGGTTTAATTAGGAAGCACAAGTGTAACCAGTGTGACTTACACATCAGTCAGACTGCTGGAGGGACAGCTTATTGTGGAAGGTAAATGCAATATTTGGCTACAGAGCCCAGGACAAATTTACAGCAGATACAGAGTGGACACAAGCAGTTCCTCCCCAGCCTCCTGGAGCTCAGCCCAGACAATCCCACCAGCACACAGCTGGGAGGGAGGCAAAGAGGCTGCCAAGTAGGTCTTTCACTCCTCCCAAGTAGGGGTTTCCTGAGGGCTATCGGGAGGTTAATTGGGAAGGCAGAAAACTCCTCAGCCTGTGGAGGTACCAGCCAGGACCTGAGAGGCTTTGGGTGCTCCTGGCAGCATTCTGAGCACCCCAGAGCTGGGCTGGGAGGGCTGGAAGCAGAGTAAGAAGGGGTACAGTGTGCAGAACCACTGCTCACGTGGGTTCTGAATCACACCAGAACCCCCTGTTGGGCATCACAGCCACATAGGCTGTTTGCTTCCCCCAGACATTAATTAATTAACTCTCCCTGCAGAGGGAGGGCTGCATGACCACTCCTGCCAGCCCTCCTGCACTGCAGCTGAGTGGCTCACCAAGGCATTTCTTCCCTGGGGCTTCTCAATAAATGCCAGTAGGTCTGATGGTAAATGAGTCGTTCTATTTGCACCAGGGACCTCCAAGGACTTGAAGGAACGAGTCAGGACTGGAGGGGTAACACAGGCAGGGGGTGTACAGGGAAAGAGCAGGCAGGGAAGAGTTAGAAAATCACAGGAGGCTGAAAAGGGAAATGCCTTCATTGATATGAAGAATTAAACAACTAAGCTGAGGCAAAGATCAAGAGAACAATGGAATTCACATCCTGTGAGTAAGGAACAGAGCATAAAACAACTGCAGGAGACAGATGCACAAGGGAAAGCAGGTAAGTGGTGGAGAAGATACTCCTGTTTGGGTTCTGTTGCAAGTCAGACCAGAAGATTACTGTGGTCTCCTCCAGCCTTGCTGTGTATGTGTAAATAAAAATAAATCCAGGAAAAATTAGGAAAGGAAGATCAGAGAGCTCAGCATGACAAGTAGGATGTGACTCCTGGGAGGCCTCAATAATTCAGGTGTTTGTCAACACCAAAAGATGGAACGGGAAACAAGTTTTTGTGCTGTGCTGGAAGGGCAGCCAACAAAGGGAGGAGAGAACTGACAGCCACAAACTGCAAGTTTAGGTCTTTAAATTAATAAATGATATCCAGACACACAGACACAAACACACTTCTGGGAATTCAAAACATAACAAGTGTGACAGACAAAAAATCCCCCAACCAGATATGTTGTTTAAAAAGGGGCTAAGAAGAAATCCAAGAGGATGAACGTGCAGTCTGCACCCCAACAGAAATCTGTAGACATTTTATTTGGAATAGTGGACAGATCCAAGTGGCTAAAGAAAGAATAAACAAATAATTAAACAGCAACAAGGAGTTATTTAATGTATTTTAAAAGAAAAAAATATAGTCTTAGAACAACAGGCATAATTGGACAGAATTATCCAGGCACTCTAAATTAAAGCAACAAGCCAGACCTAATCCAAGTGGCTTGAAGCTTGAGAGCAGACAGGCCCAGCTGCTGGATGAAATAAGACTGGAAACATTTTGTATGCTATGCAGGTCAGAGATTGGAAAAGATGAAAGGCTCAAATGAAGAAAGGCAGTTTCATCTAAACCCCCTCAGCACACACCCAGCAGGATCTAATGATGCCTGAGAGCCGAGACAGCACTGGGGGGAAAAGATTCACCCCATGAGCTGGGGAATACAAACTGGCACGTGGGAAAAGAGAGAGGGAAATGGCAGAGCAGGAGAAAGAGGTGTAACAGAAACCAGGTGAAGAGACTGTGTTTAAAGGCTTCTCCTGAAGATGATTCTTCCCTGGGAGGGTGGGCAGGCCCTGGCACAGGTTGCCCAGGGAAGCTGTGGCTGCCCCATCCCTGGAAGTGTCCAAGGCCAGGTTGGACAGGGCTTGGAACAACCTGGGCTGGTGGAAGGTGTCCCTGCCCGTGGCAGGGGGTGGGACTGGGTGGGCTTTAAGGCCCTTTCCAACCCAAACCATCCTGTGATTCCATGATCTCCCAGAAACACTGGTCAGCTCTTGTGTTTAACATCTTCCAGTGTTTAGCCACTATTTTGGGTAAGCTCCTGTTCCTGCCCCTTCCCCTAAGGATCAACAGCACACAACAACTTCCTCCCATTTACAGGGGATGAGCCCTGTCAGAAGGGTTGGCTCAGAGCCCAGACCTCTCCATGCACATCAGATTCTCAGCAGATTTATGTTATTGCAGCGATAGCATCCTCTCCCCCTCTCCCTCACTTCCCTCCTCTCTTAAAAACCTCTCAGTGACGCTTCCAAAATAACACTGATGATGGATTTGTATCTGTCTGATGCTCTGGCTTGCTGTCCAGCAAAGCCAGCTCAGCACCCCTGCCCAGCTCTGTGCTTTGGGGCAATAAATTTAACTCCCCCTCACGTATTTTCCAACCTTTCCCTGCCTCAGTTTTCCCAGTTCCCTGACCCCCAGCTGGACAATATTTTCTGTGGTCCAAATCCATGAGGTTGTCTGGGTTATAGCTATACACTCTTTGTGGAAGTGCAATGAAAAATCACATGTAGGGCCCCAAAAACACATGAGAAGAAACCCACTGATGGCAGGAGCCAAGCTGGGGGTCCCAACAGGCAAAGTGGCAAATTGTGCAACCACAGAACTGGAAAAAAATCCAAGGGATCCCAACACAGCTGACCACAGATGGTTAAATCTTTTAAACATGTTGTTTGAGATGGGCAGCACTGCTTCAGTTTCTTAGTTTATGTTTTTTTCAGGTCTTTCTCAGCAATCACAAGGACAGTAAAGTCTTATTTTTCTCCACTGACACCCCTCTCCTTTTCTGCTAACACATGCCCCAACTCAGCAGGGGCCCAAAGAAGTGCCTGTGTTTGCAAATACTCAAAAACCAGTTCCTGTTTGTACACAAAAACAGTCTGAGAACAAAGGCAGGGTAAAGAAATTAAAATAAATGTGCTCGTTAAAGATAAGTGGGATTGGTTTCATTTTAAAGAATATTATTCTAAGGTCTACTTAAGACATTACATGGCTTTTTTGTCACCACACAAACCCAATCTTTACCTGATGCTGTGAACCACTGTAATTCAGTGTCAGAAGTCAAACCACTGCACTTCTGCTACAGGAACTGTTTGCAGATGAAGAGAAAATCAGTTCAAGGGAGGTGCTGGAAATAACTAACCTGAATTCAAGGAAAGGGCAACTGCTAACAGAGGTATTAACGGGAGATAACTTTCCAAACAATTTTTTTTTTCCCAAGTTTGAACAGAAGGAAAGAATTCTCCATCTCCTCGACCCCCAAAAAATGCATTTATAATCTTGCCTTGGCAGTAAAAGAATGTAGAAAGTAACAGGACACTGCTCACCCCTCCATCAGATCCTCCCAAGGACAGTCCCCTCTCTGCTATTCTGCAGGCAAAACAATAATCTCAGATGAGAACTGAAGGCTGATTACTTTGTCCTTTAATCCTTATTTACAAGGTGTAACCCCTCAACTGAGTTAACAGAAGCTCCCAGTTATTTGAAATCAGATCTTGCAGCTAAGCATGAACAAAGTATTTGTTTTGCAGAACAAATACTTGAGCTTGCAGCTCCCTCCCATAAACGCCCAAAATACCCCCAAAACATTACCTTTTCAATACATTCTGGCCAAGTGAATTTAAACATAAAAAACCCCCCAGATCTTTATTCTTGGGGGCAGTACAGATAAACCTGTGCAGTGCAGAAAATCCCAACCAGGAGCCCAAGTGAATTGAATCAGAGAGGGAAGAAAGCACTCAGGAGCTGCACATCCCTTCAAGCACTACTGACACTCCCCACTCACTTGATTATCAAGTGAAAATCCCACTCAGAGAGGCTGATGACTTTTGAAACTGCACAATTTGACCCCTCCTATTTGATTAAAACACACCAGGTAGTGCTCACAGAGGACTACAAGGTCAGCACCAGTTCATTAATTCCCCTGAGAGACTCTGCTGGAAGGAGACTTCTGTTGTTTTCTTCTGCTTTTAAAGGCCAAATGAAACAGGAGGGCAAATGAAAATCCTTTCAAACTTATTTAATTCCATTTCCTTTTTCTCAGTGAAGCACTCCTGCCCCTCAGAGACTCTGTGAAAGAACTGCCCTCACTACAGCAAAAATGCAAAATGGTTTTAAACCCCTCAAATTTAGTGTTTTAATCAGTTTTAACCCATCCTGCTTAAACTACTGAGCTTTGTGCTGCACCTCAAAGATTGGCACAGTGTCATTAAAGGAAGTGCTTGGAAAAGCTGGAGCTAAAAGAGGAATTACCCACGGATTCTTTCAGCTTCTTCCCTCGTGATTATGGCATCACTCACACCCCTTCCACACCTCCTGGGAGTGCACCCTGGAACACAAAAGAGCAAGAAAAAAAAAGCCACTGAAACCACTTCAACCACCTGCAGGGCAGGTTTTTATAATGAGACTTTGCACACAAGTGTCTTAAAGCACACAGCTTGGACAAGATTTGATTAAACAAAAAAAAAAAAAATTCCTTGCTAAGAAATCCAACATTAAAGTTTAAAAGCTCCTGGGAATGAAAAGCCAGCAGTAAGAGTTCCAGGGGAAGAAGAGATGAAAGTTCTTGTGGAATGAGAAGTCTGGTCCACAAGAGTCTTCAGGCAAGAAGAAGAAAAGAAGATAAGATCAATTTTGAACCACCAGAGGCCTTGAGATGTCCCACTTGGCAGTTTTCTGGGAAAGATCCCCATACAGATGTAATGGCACAGAAAAGCTGGGCTGGGAGCATTTCCTGGCCCCTACCAATTCATGTGCTGCTCCTGCACTGAGTGTCTCTTCTAGGATTATTTGCCCCTCAGAACACAAAACTCCTGCAGATAAATCAATCAATTCACCCATGCAGGTAGAAAGCATCAGTGTGCTCTGATCAAAAGCAAATAATAACAATGACCAGGCTGGCAGAAGGAGAAGTTTTGCCACAGCACAAGTGCTTTGGAGGAATTTCCACTCCATCTTACTGGATATACCCCAGGAGTGTGTCCTGTGGGCCAGCCCTGACACAGTCTCAGTGTCAGACCTTTTCCTCCCCTTTCTTCACAGGCTTCTCTGCTTTCCACATCCACTGACCTCACCTCTGGAAAAGCATCTTACTATTGTCTCCCACACACGAGTTCCATCACACACACCCGTAGCCACAGCAGTTTTAAGCAGTCAACCATGTCCCAAGGCAGCAGAAATGGCCAAGATCTGGCCACAGCATCCAGAGTGCAGACGAGACCGTGCTCACACAACACCCTTCCCTCTGCAAACACGATCATTTCAGTGTTGGCCTCTGGGCAGTAGCACATTTCCTTTTGTATGGAGAATGTTTACAGGCAGGCAGTGCTGTGCAAATAAAACCTGCTCTGCCACCAGCTACCACATCATCTGAAGCAAACTGGAAGCTCAGTTGCACCAGTCCAGTTGGAAGCAGGGGCCAAGTGCATAAATCAATAAAAAAGCTCATCTTAGCTGTGGAACTTCCCAGCTGAGCATCAGACAGCAAGTGATGAGGGGAATGTGCCTCCTGCTGGCACAGCTGTGGGTGTCAGGCCAGGGGAAAAGCTGGGAATGAGGAGCTACTGAGTGACAGAAACCCGTTTCTAAAGTGGCCAGAGCTCCCGAGCTGGATGCAGTTTGGCAGTGACCACAATTCGCGTTCCATGCCTGGCTCCGCTGCCGGTAACACAGCTCGGCTCTGTCACAGCTCATCACCCCCCTCGCGTGGGGAAAAAGCCAAGTGCAGGGTTCGTTAGCACAGCCCGGCTTCAATTAACCAATTAACAGCTGCTCCCGCCTTTCTAACACCAATGAACTCCCTCTGAAGGCAACGCGCGTCAAAACATCTCCTAAAAACACAAATCAATCCCACGCATTGAGAAACATCTTAATTAGAAAATGAAAATACAAACACAAGATGCCTCCCCTTTGTCCCTCCTGGGCTGATCAGGGGGTCAATCGTCCTCACAAAGCCAAGAGGTCACACCTCACCCTGCACTCAGGACTCACTGCTGCTCCTCGGGACAGCCCCAAAAAATAGAGAACACATTCATTGCTCCTCCTGGGCACAGATACCCCTGGAGTTCCTGCCTTCCTTGAGATGGGGAGAATAACTGCCAACAGCAGTTTCTCCTCATAGTAACTATGCCAAGTTAACATGTGTTTTCAGGTGCTCTGTCAACGCCCCCCCCCCACAAGGAAGGTTCCGTGCTGGTGGCTTCGTGACAGCTCTTCATCAGAGACAATGAAAATCTTCCATTTTTCTTGAACAACCCTCCAAAGAAATAAATGGCAGGGGAAACAGATCCCAATTTGACAAAAAACAGGCTCAGCTAAAGGACATAAAGGCAGAGAAGTGCTCTGTAGGCAGCAGCAAAAGATATCAGCACATGCACATCCCAAAACAAGCGTGTCAGAAACTGGCACTTGTGCAATTACCACATGCTGGTGGTGATAATTAGACAGTGTCCTAAACCAGTTCCATCCCACACCCTGTATGGTACTGACCAGCAGCAAACCCATTCCCAAAGCCTATTTCAGGAATCAACAGAGTATGAAAAGAAACTGGAAACGGGCTCAGCAAAAGGTTTATTTCACAGAGGCCAAGAAAGCAGCACCAGAAGAGAATTACACAGGACTGACAGAGTAACCTCTCAGAACAACTTCTGGGCTGGCCCAAGGGGCGTGGAGGTTTTGGGGCTTTAAGCAACACTCAGTGACCAGGAGTGTGCTGGAAACACGGCAGTTTTGCAGCACGAGTTTGCTTTCACAGAGTCGGGTGTTAAGGCCCTTGAACAGTCACCCCACGCGGGACTCAAATACCTTCAAAGCGCCTGTGGCTGTCGTAGTCCTCCGAGCAGGGGATCTCCACGAACTTGTCCCGCAGGCTGTCGCCGCGATGTGCCAGCACCTCGGTGACCCCGTCCTGGGGGATGCCATCCGCGGAGAGCCCGTCCCGGGCGAGCAGGCGGCTCCAGAGCACGAGGCTGCCGGCGGCCGCGGCCGAGAGCAGGAGGAGCGGGACCAGGAGCGCCGCCTTCCCCCGCCATCCCCGCGGCTCCGGCCGGGCCCGGCCCTTCCTGGCGCTGCGGGGGGAGCACAGCACGGGCCGTGAGCGACGGACGGGCCGAGCGGGCCCGGCGCTGGTTTCGAGCACAAACACGCACAAATATTTACAAACACCCGCGATCCCGCCCCGCCCGCCCCCCACGGCAGCTCCCCCGGAGCCGCGGCACGGCCGGGCCTGGGCACCGCCGCCCCCGGGGCAGCGGGCGGGAGGTGCGGGCCGGGCCCCCCCCGTGCGGGTACCTGCTGTGCCGGCGGCCCCCGCGGCCCGCTCCCGTTCCCGCTCCAGCTCCCGCCGCCGTTCCCGGCCCGCTCCCGGCGCTCTCGGGGCCGCGGGGCAGCGCCCGGCGCTGCGGGGCCATCGCGCCTCCTCCGCCGCCAGTGATGCGCTCGGCGCGCCTCGCGCTGGCCTGGCCTGCCTGGGGAGAGCGCTCGGCCGGGCGGGAGGGTCCGGCACGGGGCCGGGAGCGGCGGAGGGGGGACAGCGGGAAACCGGGACAGCGGGGAACTGGGACAGCGAGAGCCGGGGACAGCGGGACGCGGGCGGGCAGCGCCGGGACAGCGGGGCCGGAGCGGCGGGACGCGGGCGGGCGGTGTGTGCCGGGGCACGGCGGCGGCAGCCCAAAGCAATCGAGGCCGGAGCATGCGGCGGCGCCTGGTGCACCTGGACCTGAAGGGCGCCGCGCCCCGCGCGCCGTACCTGGAACAGGTGAGGGAGGGACCTGGGACAGGTGCAGGATTTACCAGGCATAGGTGAGGAATGCGCTTGGCGCAGGTGTGCCTGGGGCAGGTGAGGGACGTACTTGGCCCAGGTGAGGAGGGCATGGGGACACCAGGACTCACCCCGTCCCGCAGGTGCTGCCGCTGTTCCGTGCCCTGGGTGCCACCGGGCTGCTGCTGGAATATGAGGACACCTTCCCATACACGGGGCCTCTGGAGCCGCTGCGGGCTCCGCACGCCTACAGGTACTGCCACAAACCCACAGGTACCACCTGCCTGGTACCCCCCGGGCACTGACGGTCTCTCCCCAGCCCCGCGGAGCTGCGGGCTGTGCTGAGCCGGGCGCGGGCGCAGGGCCTGGACGTGGTGCCGCTGGTGCAGAGCTTCGGGCACATGGAGGTGAGCGGGGCTGGGATGGGATGGGGGAGCAGGGTGGGTGCGCTGAGCCGGCAGTGCCTTGGGGGGCAAAGAGGACAGTGGGATCCTGGGGGGCGTTAGGGAGCACTGCCAGCAGGTCAGGGAGTGATCCAGCCCTGGGAGGCACATCTGCAGGACTGGGCCCAGCTGTGGCTCCTCAGCACAGCAGGGACAGGGAGCTCCTGGAGCGGGTCCAGCAGAGGCTGCAGAGATGCTGAAGGGCTGGAGCATCTCTGGGAGCAGGAAAGGCTGAGGGAGCTGGGGCTGTTCAGCCTCCAGAGGAGCCACTGAGAGGAGACCTCCCCAGGGTGTGTCAGGGGCTGCAGGGAGGGGGCAGAGGATGGATCAGGCTCTGCTCAGGGAGCACAGCAATGGCACAAGAGGAACGGGCAGGAACTGATAGGTAGGAAGCTCCACCTGAACACAGGGAAGAACTACTTCCCTGTGCAGTGACCCAGCACTGAACAGATTGCCCAGAGGGGCTGTGAAGTCTCCCTCACTGCAGATATTCAAAAACCATTTGGACACAATCCTGTGCCATATGCTCTGGGATAACCCTGCTTGAGCAGGGAGGCAGGACCAGATGCCCCACTGTGGTCCTTTCCAACCTGAACCATGCTGTGATTCTGTGTTGGGAAATCTCTGATGTAAATCCCAATGTTTCCGTTATCCAGCTGTGCCAGCTGTAGGATTTGGCATCAGGGTCACACTGCACCATCTCCTTCACCCAGAGACCCCCCAGCACCAAGAGGCACAGCCGTGTCCCCCAGCCTGTCCCACCCTGTGCTGGCCCTGGCGCTCACTCCCAGCCAAACCCTGTTTTAGCAGGAGCTGCTCTCAGAGCCCTGGTGACAGGGGACACCGCTGTCCCCTCGCCCCGTGGCTGCTCCCCAGGCTCTCCTTTCCCTTGCAGTTTGTGCTGAAGCACAGGGAGTTCGCCCATCTGCGGGAGGTGCCGGCGCTGCCCAACGCCCTGAACCCACACAAGGAGGAGTCTCTGGCGCTGGTCAAGGCCATGATTGACCAGGTCATGGCCCTGCACGAGGGCCTGGAATGGCTCCACATCGGATGTGATGAGGTGGGACTTCCCTTGAGCTGGGAATTTTTTCCCTTTGAGGAGTGATGGCAAGGGCTGAGACCCTGCATGGGCATTCACTTTAAGAGTTGGACTCGATGATCCTCGTGGGTCCCTTCCAGCTCAGAACATTCTGTGATTCTGTGACTCTGCATTTCAGTTTGGGTGGGATTTGGGGAGAGAAAACACAACTCAAGCCAGAGTAGAAAAGCCTTTTTGACACTAATTGATTCCAGTAACAAGGGATGTCATTCCAATTAATCTGAGTGTAATATCAAAGTATTGAAAGCAGCTTCTTAAATCTAAGTCAGCATTTGGGTTTAGGTCAAATGAGTATTTAAAGTGAGATTATCTACTGGAGCTGTTCAGTACAAATGATGTGAGTTTTATGTAAGATGTTGTCTCACTGTTCTGGCCAAGTTATTCAAAGTAAGCCTTTTGTGGTGGGAAACAACTTTTTTTATCTTGGGAATTTGTCTTCTTGAGAAACAGAACCTTGAGTTTTCTCCTGCCTCATAGTTTCTTAAAACCATCCTGATGGTACACAGATCCCTGGCATTCATTGTGATCACTGAACTGTACTGGTGTAAGTCAGTGGTTTGTATCCTGTTGCGTAGGAACTGATGGCAAGGTTAGACGAGGAGCTGCAGGCTTTTATAAAGCAAAATGCTATTTATGTAGAATACCTGTGTTGTGGATAAAACCTGCTCTAAAACAGCAAAGAGTTTAAATGCATATCCAGCTAAACAGGCCTGCATGCACTCTCTGCATGGACCAAGTATGAGGGGGCTGCACTAGGACATGCCCTCAAGTTGTTTTTAGACTCATACAGATTATCTCCTTTCCTGAGAGAGGAACCTCATTTTGTATAAGTCAGGACCTGAGGTATTGCCAGATTTGAAGGTAATAAATGTGGTGAGAGCTACTCCCAAGGACAAACCTTCCCAAGGCAAATCCAGCATTTAAATATTTTAGTTTCTATAGGAAAATTCCCTTCTGATCACAGGTAGTCACGGCCACAGTCTCCTGCACACTGACAGCACGGAGAGGTGCTTTCAAATGTGTCCACTCAGAGTGTCCCATCTGGGCAAAAAGTTTGGGATATTGGATGACTTAATGATACCATGTCAAACCCATTTTCTTTTTGTATATAAGCAGTCAGGATTCTTTGTTGATGTTTCAGGTCTACTACCTCGGTGAGGGAGAGGAGTCCAAGCAGTGGCTGCAGCAGCCACACAACACCCCAGAGAAGCTGTGCCTGGCCCACATAAAGGCAGTTGCCAGTTGTGTGGCCTCATCTTACCCCAGGGTGACTCCCATCGTGTGGGACGACATGCTCAGGGGCATGAGTGAGGAAACACTGGCAGGTGTGTGACCAGGGATGGGGTGAGGCATGTTTTGTGTCATACAAAAAGGCTTTATACAGCCAGTTAAAACAGATTTGCTGGCACTGAAAATAATGCAAACAAGAAGAGATGAGACGTATCTGTTTGACCAGAGAACAGGAACACTCAGGCCTTGGCTGTCACCAGACTTTCTGTGTGACTGTGGGCAAGTCTGAACACAAACACTTAAACAAAATGCTCATCCTGCAGTGGTTGCCATCAATTCTACTTTCTTAACACATTCAGATAAAAGAGCCTGTGGTCCAAGTCTAAATCTCTGTGTCTCTCACCACCCTCCAATGTTTGCTGTTGCTCTGTGCAGCACCTGGCCCCAGTGGTGCAAACACAGAAGCTGCAGCCCTGGGAACACCTCTGGGATCACGGAGCACACCCTGAGGACTGACACTGAATTGTGGGGTAGCTCCAAGACCTTGACATCACGAGTCTTGTTTGTTGAAAAATGTGAAACCACTGCTAAAATTTGAGCATAGATGGAGTTCCAGCATTTTCAGACCACCTCACATGTGCTGCTGCACCAATAATCTGTCCTTAGTTCTCCCTTTTACCTGGCTGTTTTCCATTACTTAGGAGAGCTCTGTTCCTTGCAGAGTCGGGGGTCCCCCAGCTGGTGCAGCCCATGATCTGGGACTACGCAGCCGACCTGCACGTGGAGGGCAAAGGTTTGTGCTTCTCTGCTCAGCTGGGTAAAGCAAAGAGCTGTTTAAGCAAAAGAGCCAAAGCAAATTTGTGTCATTAAAGCATACCTTAGTTGGACACCAAACTATTCTATTTTTGTTAAATTGCTTCTTGTTGCTTTAACAGCATAAACACAGCCCGTTGGAGTTCACAGTAGAGTTGCTATTAATAATTTTCTTGTACTATTTATGCTTCTTGTATGAAGGACTTGCATTGTCTGCTGCTTAATTCTTTTCAACACTAATGGGGCATTGAGAGGTTTTTCACAAGCACTGTTACATCAACTCTCCTCACACTGAAACCAGTGGGAGCGATAGCCCTGTCTTGAGCAGCTCTGCAAAAGAAGCTTCAAGGCTTCAGACATCTGCAGAGCTCAAAGGGAAACTCCTAAAGGCTCCAATCAGGCATTTAACATGCATGAAAATATTTCTTTGTTGGAAGAAGAATCAGCTGTCAGATGTTGAGCAGGCTTGTTACGTGCCCAAGGTTCCTTTGGCATTGTAACAATCCAAGGGGATGGAATACAGTTAACTGGACCCATGAAAACAGGAGGGCAGCCAACAAAAAGGCTCCTCAGAGAAGGTGTCAAATGTCCCATCCTTGGGACCTCAGCAACCCGTTGGAACTGGACCCTGGTTTCTCTTTACTCCAGCATTTCAGCCAGGGTTGAAATGTGAAAGGCTCGTCCTGTGAGTGCCCCTTTGTGTCTCATTGCAGTGCAGCTCATAGAGAAGTATCGGAGATGTGGCTTCTCCAAGGTGTGGTTTGCAAGTGCCTTTAAAGGAGCCACAGGAGCGAATCAGTCCCTCACACTTATTGGGCACCACCTGAAGAACCAGCTGGAGTGGCTGGAAGTGGCCAGCAGGACCCCCCCTGATGTCCTTGAAGGTATCGCCCTGACGGGCTGGCAGAGGTGAGAACAGCCCTTGGAATGGTTCCAGGGGGAACACGGAGGCAACTTCACCCCAAAACTCCCTAAGGGCTGCAGGGAGGCTGGGGAGGTGGAAGGGAATTTTGCAAGGGAATACCAGAGAGCTGAATTCCAATTTCTGTCTCTGATTTGCCTTGAGAAAGTAATTTGGTTTGTATCTGTTCTTATTAGTAAGACAGGAATACTTTGTGTTTCAGGGATAGAAAGTCCCTTCTCTGAGACAGAAGCTGATGTTTCTAAAGCTCTTTAATTTTAAGGATTGAAATATTAAAACTTCCCACTTGTTTAGTATGTTCTACCAGTAAAATATCTAATAATGGATTTTTTTTTTTTTTTACACAGGTATGATCACTTCTCTGTTCTGTGTGAGCTTCTCCCAGTGGCAATTCCATCCCTGGCAGTGTGTCTGCAGGCACTACAGAATGGTACAATGACAACTTTATTCTCTCTCAGCTAATGCCTTGCACAAGAGGGAGCTGACCTTGCCCTAAGGTTGGCACAGGCTTGTTGTGTTTTGAGGTGGTTTGAGTATCTGATCGTGGTCTGAATTATGAACAATAAATTACAGTTTGCAGTCATGGCAGCAGCAGAGAAGTCTCTTGGCCTGAGTATTTAAAAACAGCCATTGGATACTCATCATTTATTATGTTCTAACCCAGAAATGATGAGAAACTTCATGTTTATAATAAAAAATAAATTTAAGAAGCTGAATTGCTTTTTAAACTGATTTGAAACAATACTGACATATAAATGAGATTAATTTAGTTTAGATTTAGATCTTGTTTAAGTATAAAAGTTGCTTCAAGGAATCACTTTTCTTAAAATGGATGTAGGAAGGACACTGCCTGGTAAAATACTTCCTGTAGTTTCTGGTTTCTTTACAGGCAGTTGTCAACAGAAGGGGTTTTTTTAGTCTTGCTGCATTTCTTATTTTCAAAACAAAGCCCTGCAGCCTACTGATTTTTAACTCAGGCACTAGAAATATTCAGCATCCTGAATGGGAAGCTCAGAGCTGGCAAGTGCTTTACCAGACAACTGTGTGAAAGACCACGTGCTCCACTTCCCACCCACAAGTGTTTTTTCTTCTTCTATTCCCATTTTACCTTTAAAAAAAAATCTCCACCCGAGGAGAACTGCTGAGCCAAGGCAGAGAACTCCAGAAGAACCCTCCTGTGTGAACATTTTGGTCCCTCAGGCTCCTTTTCCTTATTTCCACTGTCTTCTGCCAGGTGGCTACTCTGAAAAGGTTAAAGAAAACGTGGAGAAGCTCCTGGGAATGCCTAACCTGGAAATTGATACTTACATGAGGTAAAATTCCAGCTGGAGAATTCAGGTGCTTCTCCTTCTGTGGTAAGTTCAGAAACGAATGGATCCTCTTTGTCCAGCACGAGTGTGGGGACCTTTCCTGGGAGCAACATCCTCACCCTTGTGACAGAAGTGAGTTTCTACCTCAAGTCATCAGTGGAGGAACTTCTCGAGAGGAACAGGTACTGAGGTTTCTGTTGATTCTCTGCCTGGCTGCCCCAGTGTTGGAGCTGCATCACCTCCAAGTGGGGCACAACTCCAGCAAAATGATTTAAACATCAAGCTCTGCATTTCAGGCATCATTGGCACCTCAGCAGAACATCATATTTAGAGGGCAATTTAAAATATTTCAGCAGAATTCCTAAATGCTGTGTGCTGCCTTTATTTCAGGCATCTAGTTCTATTCCTGAATTACATTTTACTGCTATTTAAAGTTGAAATGAAAATTTTGAACAGTGCAGTTACAAAAAAAGGAGCTCGAAACGAAACTTAAACTGCAGCAGATGATCAGTTTTTATCAACTGCCAAGAACACCCTTTTATAAGCTAGTTCCAAAGATAGACAGACTTAAATAAAAGCATTGTCTCTGTGCAGAAGTTCAGCTGCAGTCTTACCCACCTCCCTGCCATCCTACAAACCCAGATGTCACTGCTCTTTCCAACTCTGCTCCTATTGGTATCCATTCTCAGGTATGTCACAGGCTGGTTCAGCCCCTACCACAGGAAAAGGAAGATTATTCACCCTGTAATAATGCACCTCTTCCAGCCAGATGCAGTCAGGTAACACCTCTTGTTTTGCATCACATGGGAAGCAGCCTGTCATATTTTGGGCACTTAATTACAGAGTTTTGAGTCCTTGCCTCTTTCTGTAATTATCTCAGAAGCATCGGTGGGAATATTAAATATTAAGTATTCATATTAAGTATTCATAATATGGTTTTAAACAGAAAATGTTGGGGTTGGATTTAGATGATCAAAGTTCCCTCCCAACTCAAACCATTCTCGGATTCTAATTTTATGTTTGCCTGCCTCCTGTTGAATAAATTCTTTGAATACAAGTACAAAAATGGTCTCCAAAAACCTCTCCCTTGTCTACTCCTGTGCAGTGGTTGGCCTTGGTGGAGGATTTCACCATGGACCAGCTTCCAGACAGGGACTGGAATAAAGCCAGACCCTCCTCCCTGCTCCCTGTCACCACGTGCTGTTCACAACTTGTCCTGCACATTTTGCCAATTCATGCTATTTTATTTTTTTTTTTTTGGCTGTGATAAGGTGAATATCCAACTGCATCTCCTCTTTCTGATAAAACCCAGAATTAAATTCCCACCAAGTCTCTCACAGCAGGTTTCAGTTACACTTAAAATGTGTATAGTGGTTTTTTGAGCTCACATCTCGGTACTTTAAAAGTCCTTGCATGAGAAAAGTGCCAAGATTATTGGTACTTAAACAGAAACAGCATCAACCTTTGGCCATCTGAACAAAATCAAGTGCTTTGGGCTGTTGTAATGGATGCTTCTTTTCCTGTGAAGTCATTTTAAGGGCAGCACTCCCTTCCTCAGGCCAGTAAGCCAGCCCTCCCCTGAGGCAGAGCTCACCTGCAAATGTCACTGTTCCTTCCTTCTCCCTTCTGCTCAGTCTCCTCTCCAAGTGGAATGCTGTGGTGCAGGACCTCCAAGCAGCCATGGAGCAAGTTTTCCACCCGTGTGCCATAGAGGAGTGGATGGAGGAGAACGTCCACCCCAGCCTACAGAAGCTGCAGCAAGTGGTGGATGATTTAGATGAAGCAATAAAAGCACAAAATTAGGGGCACTTCAATTAGTCTGTCTCATTCCATGGGGAAACATGGCTAGTGAAAACCAGCAACTAGTCATGGAGCTGGGGTTTGTCACCTGGAGAGCTGAACTGTGATTAAACAACAGTGACCCGAGGGCAAGAAGGAATTTATTGGTGTAATAGACTTCAAGTCTATTTTAATCTTCCTGTCTTAACACACTCTGAGCCTTAATTCACCTGCCCTGTAAGTCAGGTTTGCTGCCCTTGCATAACAGAAGGCAGGAGCGAGTCACCACCCTGGAGAAAAACCCAGTCAATATTTGCAGCAACAGACTTTCTTACTTAACAGTACCTGGAGAAGTTCTCCAAGTTCTGCTCCAGTCAGTGCCCAACATGTCCAGCCTTTGCAATGTTCATAAAAAGAAACATTTAGGATACTTACACCGTGCTTTAGGTCCTTTTGTTCTGTCCTGCCACTGCTCCGTGTGTCAGCTGTGTTGTGTCCTGCTGTTCCATCACCAGTCCTTCCACAGCAGGAGCAGTTGGTTTGTTGCAGATTTGGGGCTGGATTTTTTCAGTCTTTGAAACACATAAAAGTGTGGGGCTTAAACCCTGCTTTGATTAGCCTGAGGTCAGGGATTAGCAGGGCCTGGCAGGGGCTGCCAGCTCTCAGCAGAGGCACGAGGGGACCGTGCCATCACAGAGCCAGAGGGAGCCCCAGGAACGATGAGCTGGGACATGGAAGGAAAATGCCAAACACAGGGCTGCTTCCCTGGCTGCCAGAGCATCAGCTCAGCTCAGTGATCAGGTCCACATGCAGGTTGTTATCTAAAACTAAGCAATTGTTATGCATACCTTAATTACAAAAGTTACATACCTTGAACTAAACAAGATCTTAACTTATTTTTCTTGAATAAATCCTTTGATACTCAAAATGTTTGTGGAATTGTGCTTCTTTTTGTGTGTGTGGCATGTTGGTTTGGTTTAAAGGAGGGAAGATGGAAATATATTCACCAGTGGAGAGTTGGGTCTCCATTAACTCCTCCAGCAGGTCTGTGTCAAGGAGTAATTTAGACAGCCATTAATATTTTAATAATTTTAATTAAAAACAATACAAAATACTACAGTGATGCAAAACAAGTTATCAAATTTGATTTTATCAATGCACTTATTTTAAAAAAAGACAGTATAACAAGGCCTTGCTGCAATTCTACTTGCAATTTTACAGTAAAAAAAAAAGGCAATTTCTGAACAGTTTCAAGAAGCATTTTTGCCTCTCAGCAATCTATGACAGTGTCAGGACTAGCACTCTTTACTATTAAGCCAGCTGAGTTTTTGGTATCTGTGACTTCATAAATACAGCCCAAGAGTCAGATATCAACTAGACAGTTTAAAGACTTTGATTTTCCTTTGAGACTTGCACAGCTGATCCTACTTCCCTGTGAAACATCCCAACATTGGATTACTGGATTATTACCTAAAGCAGTGTTCTCTGTCCAGCAGGCACTCCGAGCACTCTGGTTTTGTCCCTGCAGCACAGTCGTGGTACAGGACATGACAGGGTTGGTTTATGGGGCAGGGTGTCAGGTCTGGTTTTCAATAATTTCTAAGTCCTATAAAGTACAGCTGTCCAGGCACAAGTCAGTAGATGGCCTGATATGCAAAAAAGACAACTCCATCTCCTGTAATGCTGTCCCAGGAGGACCCAATTTCCTAACAAAACTAGCCTTTCACATCATTCTTTGAGCCCAAGCCACTTCACCCCAGGCACACCTAAGGCTACATTAGGAGTGAGGAAAACCATCCAAAAAAACTTTTAGCAAAACGGTGAGAAGTGGCAAACGAGGAGCATGAGAGGACAATCCAAAGAGGGAAGAACAGCACCTGTCCTGAGTTAGCACCTGCTGTCCTCAACAGTTCAAGCTGCCCCACATCACTGAGGGCACACACACTGCCACAACCAAACCCATGTTTAAGGCCATTTGCAAGTTAAATTTACACACACACAGTTACTGCAAAACATGAAAGTGGGGTGATGTCTTCCAGCTGCCAAAGATCAAGTTTTTGAGGACAGGAAGCAAACGTGGACCAAGAGAAACAGGATGTTCCCAGGTGTATCAGCCCAAACACACCAGGCAGAACCCACAGTAAGAGACAATTCCCTCAGTCTGAGCTTCCCTTTAGGTCAAACTGTGGAACTCAGGTTGCCATTGGAGCTGTACTTGTTTGTACACTGGCAGAGTTGCCCAATGCCAAATGGAAATGGCACAAGAGGGGATGGCTCAGCTGCTCTGAGAGGCTGAGGAGTCAAAAAACCCCTCCCAGACACAGTGGCAGCTGCCACCCCTCTCCTGCCACCACAGCAGGACACTGAGGGCTGAGGGGGACACCACACAACACCTTCAGAGAGGTGATCACTGAACATAACCCAAAAGGCAACTTACTCCACAGGATGTACTTCCAGCCAGGTTGTACCTTATTAGAGGTTGTTCCCCTTTCCAGGGCTTCTCAGTTTTCCTTACATTGTTTCAGTCTTTGTGTGAGACGTTGCACAGTCCATGAGTCCATCCATTACTGACACCAGGAATGCACAGCAAGCTGGATACACAAGAGCTCAGCAGAGCAGGGCACAGGATGCAGCTCAGGGTTACACCAGCAGACGTACCTTTCAAAAGCTGATTTTAACTAAGCATGGTTTCCATCTTCCATGGAATGGCAGCTCTCATGGGAATACAAAAGAAGCCCAGTATAGCTGTGACTGAATGCAGGTGGTTTTTCCTGTTTTACCCATGGGCTCAGATTGTAAGTGCAATGCACACCACAAATGCCCTCTGCATGTCCTTGACACAGAGCAGCAGTTACCACAGGCTGTGCCTACACTGTACCATTAAACACTCTAGGTTTTTTCAGTATTTCTTACTGGAAGTCCTTAGAACACTCACCACTCTCATTTTACACTGTGGGGAAAGAAAGAGTTCTTCAAATCCCCAATCTCATTCTCCTCTCTCTAAAATGAGCACCACTTGGAGTATAAATTACAGTGGATTTAAATGAGGAACTCTCCAAGGTCTTACACCCTGCAACATTTAAACGGGTTTGATGACTGTGCTCAGCTTACAGCTGTGCTTCAGAATAAAGGCCAAATTCAGCTAACTGCCTCATTTTCTCCCATTCACACACAGCACCTTCCCAGCTGCAGTGATGTGGGGAAGGGACTGAAAACCACATGATTATTCCATCGACTCAGAGAACTTCACCAACGTGTAGTGGCAGAGGTCTGCACTGGTACCTGATGTGATTACAAGTGTCTTTTCCTATTTAAAGCAAACATCTCCCTGTTGCAGGGAGATCACCTCCACACTGGCAGCACTGAGAGCCTTTGCCTCCCAGCCACATCCCAGGGCTGGGCAGCTGGAAGGCAAACCTTGGTACAAGCTGGGTTTGGTCAGAGCAGCAGGTGCTCAGTTCCAGCTCTGTGGAAAACACAGCAGGACGTGGCTTCTGCTGAAAGCTTTTCAGAGCCTTCTCTCTGTCGAGGTAGAGCACCTTGAAACACAAACACAGGCTCTTAAGTCCTGAAGGAACTGCTGCCAGGAGACATTTGCTGCTGGCCAGTGGTGAAAGCAGACAACAGTTACCTTGTACCCCGTTCACATTTCTCACGAGTAACTGTGTAAGCATTTTCTAATTCAGGTCTTAAGATTCCTAAATAACACCTAGTGAGCTTCAATACAAGCATGTTGAAGGAACTCTCAGCTCTTTACAATTTTGTTCTTGTACTGACATGCTGATGCTGACATGATGGAGTTTTACTTCTAGACAGAATATGATGACTTAGAGAGGTAGCTTTGACTTCAAAAAATACCTTGAAAAGTTATTATTTTAGCTCTTTGTGAAATCATTGGTCAGAACAGAGGATGCCACACACCTGGAGTAAAACATGGTACAAGTCAAACATGGAATCTATCCCAGCTATCTTAAAAAAATTATTATTTAGCACTTCGGTATTTCAAGTGAGGAAATACTAAACAACTCTAGGCTACCACGGTGTTTGACATCAGACTTTTCCCTACCTAAAGTAAGAGATGTCTGTCCTTGCTTCCTTTCTAAACACACAGTTAAAATAGTAAACATTGAGGTCTAGGAAAAGGTTATTCTGTCCTGGGGTAGTGAATGCCCAGAAGGGAAGCAGAACAGGGTTAATCTAGAACATCCCACAGACAGTGAATCATCAGCATGATCACTCTTCCCTTTGCTATTCATGGCTCCTCAGCCAGTCCCAGGGAATTAAAACAATGTTACAGATTAAACAAGCTGATCTTCCAAATTCCAAGACAGCTACTCAGACTTAAATTTCCATGGGTATCTAATGGCAAGTCAGTAGTAGAGAATATAAAAGTGCCACTACTCTGCATCACCTAATTGCATACATTAAGCTGCTTAAAAACCGATTTAGCAATATATTCAGTCATAACATTTCAAGACAAACCTCAAAGCATTGCTTCAGGAGTTACAAATCCAACTCCTCTACACTTCATGTACTGTACCTGCAGCAGATGTTTGCAGCAAGAGGCTGTTTGCATCTGCATCTCCGCTTCACTAATGGGAAAGCAATTATTTCATACTGATCCATCAATAAATAATTATTCCTAGGCAAGTTTGTCAGTGGCGAACTGACAAAGTTCAAAAGCCAGCAGTGTCCACGTGCAGGAATTAAGGCAGAAGAGCAACTGAAACAGAATTTGCTTTGGACTCTACAACAGCAATTCTTGGAACGTGGGTCTTGAAGCAGTTTAGCACTAAATGAGGTGCATTAAGACACATTCCTCCCATTGCAAATTGTAGAGAAATGCCCAGGCCGAGGTTGTGAGGGATTTCTTTTTCTGCAGAACAAGCAGAGTGTTTTCCAGATGTGTGAAAGCCTCTGCTTGCTGCAGCTCATGATGACTATTAGTATTTATCCTGTGGTTCATCTGCATCACTCGCCTCTGTTTCGCTGCTCTGAGAGAAATCTTGTGGGCTTTCTACTCTGTGCAGCTCCAGAAAACTAGTGATGAGTTTGGCAACTGCTTCCACATCACTGTGGAGAGGAAGAAACAATGGAAGAGTTAGTGGAACTGTGGTGCTGACAAGACAAGATCAAGCACACTAATTCTTGGGAGTAACTGCTCTACAAGACACAGATCAGAATTGACAGCATCACACACCAAGCCATTACTTCCACATCAGAACAAATCAATCCTTTCCCCAGTTCCTGCTGCAAGGGTCCTTATTATCAATGCTTAAAACAAATCCCCTGTTAACTGAATGTTAATACACTGAATGTTTGCAAAACAGGATGAATCCCCTCTGCCATTGTACAGCTGAGGAAGGCAAGTCCAGCAGACAGAGCAGGACTAAAGGGATCTTAGATATCTAAATGTGATCCTGATAGATGGTGTTACCCAAACATCTACAACAGAAAACCTTTAAGGTTTAAAAGGTTTCCAAACTGAGTAACACAAGGTCACAGCAGCAAGTCTGAAAGCTGAGCTCAGGCTCAATGACTGGCATTTCCCACCTCACTCAATGTAATTTAACAGGTCCCCAGCTCACCTTCTGCAGCCCAGCACGGCACTCTGGGTCAGGGGGTGGGAGAATCCAGTGACAAAGCGCAGCACCACCAGGTAACCCTTCCCAAAGTAGCGCACGGTCTCCTCCTCCACGTTCACATCCCGGATCTCGCTCAGCAGAGCCACCACTGCAAACACACGTGGAGAACAGGGCAGGCTGTCAGTGGGGATGGAACCCTCAGCACTGAGGGACCTGGTTCATGGAACCCAAAAGAAATGTTTATATCACCAAATATTACAAAATAACCTCTCAGGAAGAGATGTGCTCACACCTTCTAAAGAGAAGCTGAGAAACATTAAACATCCTGCTCTCCACATCTCTCATCTTCCACCTCCAAACTGAACGGCTTAAAAACCAGGTCAGCTTAAGGATGTTCCAGATGTTGCCAAGTTTTCTAAGCACATTGAGAGGTGCTTTGAATAAAAGTTCTGACATGGAAGAGGATCCTACTTTAGTTTGCAACAAAACTCCTGACTACACTGCAGGTTCTGTTAATCCAACAGCAAGCCCAAAAGACATCAGGTACTGCATTAAACTGAGCCCACTGAATAAGCTGCTTTAATTGCATATTATATATCTGCAGGATGCAACATTTCTGCTTGCATAGATCTAAATGTTTGCCTGCTACCAAAAGCAGATTAGATTACAGAATCTCAACTTCTGGATGCAAAAATGAAGTTTTTCCACCAGTCCCACCTGCCAAGCAGGGTGATCAAGGGAAAGGTCAACCTGCACGTTAGCATCCCAAAGGAATGGCTAAGATTGCTCTGGAAAACAATGTGCAAGCCCAGCTACCTTGGATTAAAATAATTAACAAGATGCATTCAGCACATGCAAAAAGCATTTGGGCCCTGAGAGGCAGATTGTTACATCTGCTGCTTGGGAACAAAGCAGATCTGGAAGCAGATGCAACTTAATTGGAGTACAGAACTCCAGAGAAGCCATTAAACGGGCACACATCCATTCCTTCTGCTGCTCACATCTTCCACCAGATGCTGCTTTCTCACCTTGTTCATGGCCTCCTTTGGACAAAGTCAGTATTTTTTTGTACAGATTGAATGTTTTTAGGCAGACTGTTCCCTTGTTCTTATCAAATACAGCTTCCTGTAAAATTGAGAAAGAAAAAACACGATTTTCTTCAACACACCATCAATAGCTATGCTTCAATGTAAAATAAAAATAGTTCTGTGGGAAAATAACTCAGTTACACAGAAAAATACATAGTTAGTTTAGAGATATTCCTCTATTATTATTAGACTGTGAAAATCACAGTCTTGCTCTTGGTTTTAACAGACTTTACCATATCTCGTGTTACTTCTAGAGGGGAGTTAAAACTGGGTTCTTTGCCCCTCTCGCCACATTCCTTGTGTCATAAAAACTTTGCATGGAATCAAATGTGAACACTAACTTTGTAACTCCTGTAATTTTCACTTCTGGTATCTGCACTTGGCATTCCAGAGCTGTGCTCTGTGGGCCAGGCTTACACCAGATTCCAAATATCCCTGACAGTCCATGAAGAGAGGATGTCTTGTGTGTGAGTTGCACATTCTAATCCAACTCAGCTCAGCAGGGTGACAATCCTATATAATGGCTTATTGCTCTCATTATAAACCAGCTTACACCATTCTTGTCCCAGAGGAAAACAGATGAGCATCCTGGAGGGTCAGAGCTCCCCTATTTAATGTTCTGTCATTGGCTGGAAGGGCAAGTACAAAAGCATGTGGTGGCAGCTGAATGTGCTGGTCATTCACTCTCTCTTATATAAGACACAAAACATTTTGGGGCAAGTCTCCCCTTAAAAATACCCATGTTTAGCTTCATGTTTTCATGCTTAAATAGTCAATAAATTACTGCCCTAATTCTAGTCCCAGTATAGCAACCCCAGAGGGTTTCCCCAAAACCAAACTGGTCTGTTTGGACTGAGCAAGCGTGTGGGGCTGCTGGAACCAGCATCTGCCCACTGCTTCTTACTCCCACCACCTCATTTCTGAGTTCAGCATCTTACCTCCCACTGCTCCAGGTTCTGTGCTGCCACAAAGAAACACCCAGCCATATAGAAGAGCTTCCATGCCAAGCTGTCTGAACAATGCAAAAAATACACAAATTTAACTCTTTTTTCTCCCTCTTCCTTGGTATTCAAGCAGTTCTAAAAGCAGCAGCATGTTCCTTTTAAAGGTAATAAAAGGGAAAAAAGGTTTCTCTGGAGGAACATTTTTGCCTTTAGTTGTACTACAAACTATTTTACAGCTCTCTCTCAGGATGAAAATAGAGAAATTCTTCACATTTTTCAGAGATTTCATTCACACTGGGCTTCAAACCACATAGAATTATAAGCATGTGTTATTATTGGCAAGGTTGTAACATTGCAGCTTCCTCTTCTCTAAAAACAAAGGCATCTTAAAAGGCATCCACAGAACTGCCAACCACCAAATATTTGTGCTGCAGAGGACAAGGGTAAAGGGACAATGAAAATCCACTGAAGCAAAAGGAAGCAGTTGGCCCTCCTGACAAACAAACATTTGCATTTCACGTCCTGGAAATGTTTACATACAGCAGCCTGAGCAGTTTGCTTACTCAGGTTTTTATGTGAGGGCAGAGTAGAACCGTGCTCAGGATGGGTTCAGAAGACTTGGTTGCAATGTCTTAAAATAAACAAGGCTGGTTTAGCTGGTGGCTCAAGCAGCTTTCACTGGATTCTGCTCGTTCATTAACAATACATGGATTGCATTGGCAGCGTATTCCTACACACCATTAAGTTTTAAAATTTGATGTTAACAGGATGCAGCAGGAGAATGACAGGGCAGCTGCCAGGATAAATCCCAGAGCTGGAAGGAGAGCTGGCATTTGGTGCAGTCTGCTCTCCTGCAGGGGGGGAAGCAGCAGGAGCTGTCTGAGCTCTGAAGGTGTCTGAGTAAGCTCTGCCAGTGACGATGTGACAGTTTCCAGAGAAACAGGGCCCTTCTGTCAAAGGCAAAGGAATCGTTTCATTACAGGGGCAAAGAATTACTGTGTGAGTCTTCCCAGGAGAGCTGTGAGGACCAGCTAATCACATTTACAAATCACACACAGTACTAAATAGCATTATTAGAAATACTCTTGTAAATGGAAAGGGAGGTTGAGTAAGAAATAGAGCATTAAAGCCCAGTAAGTCATACAGGCAACAATTAGTATTGATTTTAACATTCATGTCACAAAGTGGGACAGGTACCTCCACTGCCTGTGTAAGGCCAGGCAGAAGCTGCACAGGAGTCATCAGCATGAAAAACAGATCAACAGGAAAGAAATAATTCTTCCCAAAAAAATGATAGGCCATTACCTGCACTGTAATAAGCAGCAGCCAAACCTATGGAGGCTATTCCTAGGAGGAAAGAGGGGAGAATTAGAACAAAAAAATATCTAAAATTCCCTGATGAAAAACATCACTTCTCAAAAAAGGGACGAATGTGACTGCAATGTAAATCACTGAAATATATGAAAGTCAGGGTTTTTTTCCCTAAACTCAGTATAAAAAAATCTTGCATTCTGCAAAGGCACTACAAGCACAGGGGCTGAGTCAGAAATAAAAATGCCGTGACACGACTGGGCCCAGAGCCTGGGAGGGAGTCAGTGTAACCATTACACCACACTTCCTCTCAGCACAGCACAACTTGGAGCCTGCTGACACAAACACTGCAGCCCTTATTTGTCCTTTTAAGTGCCCTGTGGAGCCAAAAGAAAACTTCTGCAATTAAGTTGTGTCAGAAGCTGCCAGCTCCTTTCTCCCAGGGAGGGGGAAGCAGCTGAAGAGTCCCTCGTGTCCCAGAGGCTGCAACTGCAAAGATCTTGGCTCAGCATCACTGAAAGCAACGACAACCTTGCGGTGTCACTCAGCTGGAAAGCAGGATATGTCACATTTTCCCCACCAGCTCCCTCAGTAGAGCCCTCAGTAGTTTATTTTTCCTGTATATTAGTGTTTATAAAGATGCCTTTCAGAGCATCCTGTATGACTTCCCATTTCATACACAGCATCGTTAAGAGTTCACCACCAACCAGAGGTTGGTGGTGAACTCTTAACGATGCTGTGTATGAATCCATGATGCAATCCCAGCTGTGTATGAACCCATGAACCAACCCCAGCACGGCCACGCTGCAGTTTTCCATTTCTGAAAACTGAGATGTTTTTCAGCCTAAGGATGCAGCCCCTTCAGAAGCTTCCCATTTATATTCCTGCTCTTGATCTTTCAGGACTCCCTTGAGATTCTGTCCACGAGCCCCTGAGGTTCTGCAGATGAGCAGGCTGAGAAATGAGCCGTGTCACAGCCACGCTGAGGAGAATTCAGACTCGTTCAGTGGCTGAGCTAAAGGGAGAGTTCAAAGCATGATCATTCCTCTTCTGGAAAGAGGAGATGAGATGAGCAGAGGAGCACTGTGGTCTTACCAACACAGAGGGACCAGGAGCGGATGCCAGGTGACCTCTTCAGATGGAGGTGGGAACTCGTGCGGTTTTCAACCAACATGTACATCTTCCAAAGAAACTCCCAACAGCCCAGCGTGACTCATGAAACCTCACTGGCCAAACAAAACAAAAATAAAGTAACAGCTTTAAATCATTGAAAACTCCACTCCTGTCCCTTCCTAGCACTTTCTCAAGATTTATCAAGTCTTAATCTACATTATACAAGATGGCCAGGGGAAGAACACAGTCTTTTTGCACAGGAAGAGCAATGTGCACACTTGAAACAACCACAAGGAAAAACTGTTACAGGGAGAGTTGCATAACAACAACAGGAATCTGAACTCTTGGAGAAACTTCTCCTTTTGGGTGGAAGAGTCACTTCCTTTCTATCACAGCCAGATTCCAGAAGAAAAGTGTGGAAAACAAGAATCAGGACCAATGTTGTTGCTAATTCACACAGCCCTTCAAACAAATAAAACAAGAGCAATGGAAAGCTCTTGGACAGCACTTTTCCTGTCAGCTGAAAGGGCTGTGTGAAGGACTAGTCTGGGAGCTGGGGTAGGTCAGTGCTGCCTCCTGCACCTCTGACATCAGGTCTCTCAGCCCTGGAGACACACCAGGAGGGGGTCACAGCCACAGCCAGGCAGTGCCAGTGTCCCACAATGCCAGATGGCATTCCCATCTTCTAATCCAACTCAAGAATACAACCAGGAGCTTCCCAACAAGTGTATTTGTCTGTCCTCAACACCACCACGTCTCCAGCCTAGGCAGAAACGAACAGTGGAGATTAAAAAGGCAGGTACTAACTAAAACCAGAGCTGGGCAATCCCATGCAGCGTTTTCACTAAGTTTTTGCTACTTAGAGCATAAAATCATGGAGTCACTTAGGTTGGAAAAGACCTTTAAGATCATGAAGACCAACCACTAAGCCAGCACTGCCCAGTCCACCACCAAACCACATCCTTAAGCACCAGGCCCACCAGGGGTGGTGACTCCACCACCTCCCTGGGCAGCCTGTCCCCCAGAACCAGCTGCAGGAGGTTGGCATGAAGCTGCTGTTAGCTGCCCATGATAACAGGTTTCCAGAAGAATGCCAGCATTCAGCAGGTTTTCAGTAACCATGAGAAACACGTAGAGAGCAGGCCCAAGCACATCCAGGTTCTCACAAAAGAAAAGTATGTGATTTTCAGTCCTTGGATACAACATGACACTCCTGCAGTTCTGCTCTATTTTGGACACAAAGCTCCAGGGGAGAGGATTTAGCCAAGCCCTTTCAGTTAAACCAAAAGCACCCATGCCTTTGATTTTAATCTCTTAGCAACGCATCTGAGAGCATCTGAAACCGAAAGAGCCAAAACCACTTATGCCTGAGACACACTCTCATCTCCTCCGGATGTCAAGCATCAAATTTTAATTTTCAAATGACTCCTGCGAGTTGCTCTCAATGTACCGGAAAAATATCTCTGCACTTACAACTCCTGCCTGCAGCCTAAAAGATATCTAAAGGTTATCAAACGCACAGAGATCACTGCAGAAATCTGGGTGTATTTCACAGATATTACACCCTATTTATAATTCACATGAGTAAAATCCACTAATGCAAACTTTGATATCTCCCCCCCATATTCATTGAGTGAAGTCGTTAATCATTAACCATATTCATTAACCATGTAAATGAGTCTTGACATAATGTTGGATACTCAGCATCAATGGAATTGTCTCTCACAGGTTGCTGTTTGCAAGAGAGGGGCCCCACGGGATAAAAAGCACCAAAGCAGCTTCTTAAATTTACATTTAATAAATAAATCATAAACGTGGTTTTAAGCAAATACAAAAGTTTAACTATGAAAATTTTATGATTACAGACAAAGAGGTGTTTTTGAGCTGCTGTTTCAATTCAGTGCAATTTCAAAACCTCAATTTTGCTTGAATTTGTTGGGTTTGCCATTAAACCGATCTCCAGCACCAAAATAAACATTCATACGCTTCCTCCAAGCCCTGGGCTGAGGGCGAGCCAGCAAAAGCCATGGAAAGGAGCACCTGGAAAGCTTCACCGCCAATATCCATCAGGTCAGGGCCACACATCAGGCGAATTTTCTTTACAGAGCTCGTTTTTCTTCACCTCCCAGTCCTGCACCTGCTCCCCCCACCCACGGCGTGAGGGAGGCATGGGGGGACCCTCCCCACACAGAGACCAGCGCTGCCCAAACCCACCCAACGCGCGGGTTTTCTTCCCCCACGCACCCGTAACCGAGGCCCCGCTTCCTCTCCCCCCGAGCCCGCGGTACCTGCCCGGCTCCGGCCGCGCTCTGAGGGACCCGCGGCCGCCGCGGCTCCCGCGCCCTCACACAGAGCCCGCCTCAGGGAGGGCGGGCGCGCCCGCCGCCATTTTGAGTGCGGGCAAAGGACGGGCACGCGAACCGCCCCCCCCGGCGGGGCGAGGGCAGCGCCAAGATGGCGGCGCGCTGCCAGCACTCAACATGGCGCCCGTGCCCGGGGAGGCTGCCGGAGTAAGAGTGTCGGTGTTTCTGTGGTTATATTGCCTTAGCGGTGCTAAAAACGAGGGGAAGGCTCATGCGTTGGCGGAGGAGACGAGTGCAGTGATGTAGGGCGAGGCTGGGTGTGCGGGAGAGCCTTGCTGGGCACAGTTTGATAGACGTGGGTGAGGTGGACACGGCCCCGTGTGTGAGGGGCTCAGGGAGCACCGCTGAAAAGAGTCTGGCACCATCCTCTTGGCAACCCTTGGAGATATTTATATGCATTGATGAGATCCTTCTTGGTCTTCTCCAGACTAACCAGGCCCAGCTCCCGCAGTCTCTCCTCAGAGAGATGCTCCAGACCCCTCATCATCTCTTTAGCTCACAACCCTCTCCAGTAGCTCCTTGTCTTTCTTGTAGTGGCTTCTACACCTGGTAATACTTCTTATCTCTGTATACGGGCAGGAGGCTGCAGGAGGATGAGGGTTTTAGTGGTTTCTCAGTGTCACAAAGTTGTCTCAGTGGCTGCTCAGGGAAGTCCCACAGTGGGACCTGGATTCCCACTGAACGGACTGCTTAAAGTTTCCCAGTCTTCCAAATGTGACTCTTGATATTTGTGAAAGGTTTTGCGCCTGCTGGTGGTTTTTTTCATTTTTTCCACTAGTGAATTGTATCTGTTGCCAATATGTTGTTTTATTCCAAGTTCAGTAATACTTGGTATTTTTAAGCCTTAGCTTTCAGCTTTGATAGCTATGGTGGTGATGATAATTAAATGCAAGGCGTTTTTGTATGGCTTTTATAATTGTAAACAGAATCCTCAAAAAAATCATGTCATTGTTCAAAAAAATCTCAGGAGGATTTGCAAAGCTGAATTTATCAGATAACCCTAAGATTATCACTGATAATAATAATCAGTGATAATCTTAGGGTTCAACACTGGTGTCATTACTTTTGTGAACTGTGTATCAGCTAAAGGACTGGGTTTGAAAATCTCTTGTTTGGAGAGGAAAGTTTCTGGCTCATTTGAAATACTGAGTGGCTTTCCTGTCGAGAACAAGTAGGCTACATTTGGAAAATCCTTTGTGTTTCAGTTATTTTTCCACCATTCTCATGGAAAAAGCTGTTCCTGTTCAATCCATTACAGCAACTGCTCACGGCAGGCAGAAGGGCTGAAGTGCAAACATCTGTAGTTTCGCTTAACTTCTTAAAATCCTGTTATGTAAGTTGGTGTATAACTTCACCTACAAATGGTATTTGGTCCTCTCTCCGTTGCACAGGAATGTCCTTCCTGGATAACATCTGATACCAACTGATCTGCATTTTTTGTGTAATTCTGTTAATGGGAAAAGGCACTGAGGAACTGCAAGAATGAATTGGCCTCCCTGTGAGTCACGAGGTACCAGCTGCTGGGTTTGGATGGAAAATAGGAAGTAATAAGTATCACGTGTGCTCAACCCAAACAAGCAGCTGACTGAGTCTTCTGGGAAGAAATTTATGTCTAATCAGTTGTCAATCAGCAACTGGTTTCCCTGGAAACCAAATATTAAGCCATTTTGAGTGATACAAAACAAAAGACTTCTTGTGTCTAGAGCAGAGCGAAATAAGTAAGAAATTCATCTGTCCCCTGCACTCAGCATAGACCACACAACACATCACTTTGTTTTAATCTTGTTACTAAGTGCAAAAATATTGCAATTCTGCACTTCTCCAGTTCTGCAAAGGCCATGGGCAGATAACCTGATATGACTTAGGTTAATTATGAAGTTAGAGAGAAATTATTTCAACCACGGGAAATGCCACGCACACGCTCAAAACTGGAATGTGGCAAAGATCCTTGTGAGCTTCTGCTATCTGCTAATGATTCTTACAGCATTTTTTCATAAAATGCACATTTTGAAGCAGGTGAGTGGTGTTATGCCTGCCGAATAAAAAAAGGGAGACGAAACACATTTTAAAAGCCCGATCTTGGGCTTGAAGAACAGCATGAATTCCACAACGTGTTGCTGCAGAAACAAAAACTATTTGCCAAAATAAACATTCGGGAATATGTAATTGACTATTTGTAGACTTCTTGCTCGATAATATAAAAATAGATTCCCTGGAAGTATAGAAATGCAATTTGTGGAGTAAATCCACTTGTAACTGTTAATTCACTGATCTAAGCCCCAGAACATGCAAATATAACAGAACTGGCCTTTATTTTGCATTAGTTTGACACTCCTGTATTTCTGGTCCTTTTTCAGCCCATTCTCCTAAATATTCCTTTCTACCTCCTTACACTTCTTTTTTTTTTCCCCGTCCAAGGTCTTACACTTAGAGATTCAGCTGTGCAATCAGCATGTGATCTCATCAGTATGCCAGGAGAAATTCCCAGAGCACCTGACCCTCAGCAGTTGTTTGGAAGCACCCCCAGCCCAGGGTTGTTTTGTGGCGGGACGGAATTGGCTGCGAGTCCCGGTAGAAATGAGCTCATCCCAAGGAGTGAGCTGTGCCTGGGGTCCCCTGACCTCTGTGGGAACAGTGTGTGTGCAGCCTGCAGAGCACTGATTTCATGGAGTACGTATTTACCAGCTGCAGCCAGGATTTAGTGCCCAGTTCTGAGTGCTGCCTGTGCTGTCACCGAGGTGAGGAGGCATTCACAGCTGGCAGTGCCTGCAGGACTGATGTTCAGCCTGTAACACTTTCTTCAGTCGCTTGCAACAATTTGTTTTCACAGGAAAATACTTATTTCTCCATTTTATTCAGGTTGTAAATCAGGCACAGGGAGAAATGTTACATGGAGGGATGGAGGCCAAATACATCAAGAGTGGCCCTAAAAGCAAGTAATGCCTTTAAGTGCTGCCTACTGTTGCCATAGGAAAGCTTTTAGGGGGTGAGGTTTTTGGGAAGTAGCTTTGCAAAGGTGGTAACTGTTACCTCCCCAGGGCACATTAAAGCAGGATGGTGCTCTCTTGTCTCAGGTTGTCAGGCCTCGTGTGAGGGTGGGTCAGGGATCTGGTATCCTGTGGGAAAGTGGCATCCATAGCTAATGGAAAGCAGAGGGTGCTCTTGGCAATAAAGTACACGGGACATGTAATTATCTAATGATTACACAAGTATGATCTTATACTGTGCAATGAAACAGAGACTCTTTGCACACCCTTCAGTGTGTATCAGTTTTTGCTCTTTTTGCTTGAATCCTTACATTGAAAATAATTCAGTCCAGGTATTCCTAAGCCAGAGGATGAAATAGGGATACTTAAGGTTTGTACCTAAGATGTCTTTAATATTTCTGCAGATGTTTCCATTTCCATGCAGTTATCTGGCTTTCATTGTGAATATGAAGAAATATGGGGGGAAATTTAATCTACTGCCCTTTGATGATGTGCAGAAGCACAACCAGTGCTGTAATAGATGAGTAAATTGGTTGCCCAGAGAGGCTGTAGATCCCCATCCCTGGAAGTGTCCAAGGCCAGGTTGGACAGAGATTGGAGTAACCTGGTCTAGTGGAAGGTGTCCCTGTCCCAGGTGTCCCATGGCAGGGGGTTGGAACAAGATGCCCTTCAAAAGTCCCTTCCAACCCAAACTGTTCTGTGATTTTGTGAAATAAAAAATACTTCAAATACGATCTGCCCAGTTACAGCAACATCCAAAGCTGTTGTGTCTTTTGAAGAATCACAATATCAATTTTGGATAATAAATATAAGCATAATCATCAAAATGTGAAACAGAAGGATTTTAGCAACACATTCCTAATTTAGAACTTTCTTCTGTGCTTTCTCCATATTGCTCAATGCAACTATGGCTGTTGTATCCAGGTGGAATAAGCTGGGAGGTTTGCACAGCTTTTTAGTGTGAAAATACTCATTCAAAGGAACAGGAAAGAAGATGTCAAACAATTCTGCATTCCAGCGTGGAATTGCTAGGAAATGCAAATTCTTAGGTCGAATAAGGATTGCTCTGGAATGGTTGTGGTGCTTTTAAAAAGCTTGGTTAATATGCTAATGTGAAATATGAGAGTGTTTTGAATGAAGAGGACGGAGACACAGAAAATGATTACCAAAGCTATTACAGGTTCTACCTCAAGCCAGGATTAGTGATATGTTCCAGGGTATATGTAAATCATCAGCAGCTTATTTTTCTTTAAATGGGCAGTAAGAAAATGTTTCTGTTTGCTTTCACTATGGTAAAGGTAAGGAGTTCTTGGTTTCTTTGACCTCAATGACAACTCACCTGTAGCCTGTAAATTAAAGAATAAAAGCCCACATTATTTTTACATTCTTCTCGGAGATTATCTTTAGTATCCTTAAAACGACAGAAGTGGTTAGAGCTGTGTCCCTGGGTGACAAACCCCTGTGGCTGTGCCTGTCTCCAGCCCTTGTGCCCAAAACCTGTCTGTGGATTAAGGCGTTGGAGCTCCCTGTAACAGGAGGGGATTTCCCGGGGGCTCTGGGTAAAGGAAAGTTGCAGTTCAGGCAGGAAATTGCACGTTCGTTGGAAGTTCTGCGGTTTGATTTGTATAATGTCATTTTACAGCGGAAAAACTTCCCTGCGCAGCTGTAGGCGTGTGCTGTGCTTGTGCTCACGGGGGTTAAAGGAGGTGCAAGATGGGCATTGAACCTTTCTGTCAAAGTACCACAACCCGAGGCTTAGAAAGACAAGAGATCATAAGCACCTTAATTAATATTTTGGGCCCTTTGAGGCAGTGGGAGGCTGATGTGTCCGTTTAATAACGCTGTACATAAAGGTTTGCGATTCCTGCCTGGGAACAGCATCGCTGGTTACTTGTGTTTTGTTACCGCAGCACCCCGGTTAAATAAAACGGTGATGGTGCTGTGTTTACCAACTCGCAGGGTGTCGTTTCATTTTAAAATTAAAACGAGAAAAGAGAAATCGGGGGAGGAGGGAAGCGGCGAAAATAACCCTTTGTGTGATAGAACTGCGGAGCGCGTTGTAAAAAATATTGCGGGGACGCTGGGGAAGCAGCGGAACCTCGGGCACCGCCGCTGCCGGGCGCGGGGGGCGGGAGGCGGGGGGCTCGGGCTGAGGATGCGGCCGTGGATCGGGATGCGGATCGGGAAGGGGGTTCCCTCGCGTACGTGCGGCGCCGCAGGTCCGCAATGAGCCCGGCGGGCGCGGCCGGGGCTGTGCCGGGGGAGGCGGTGGCGGAGGCGGGGCCGCCCCGCCCGCTCTGCGGCCACAGGCACAGCCCCGGCGGCAGGTACGGCAGCGGCCCCGCGCCCAGGAGTGCGTGCTCGGCTGCGCTGGGCTGTTTTGGGGTATTCGGTGGTTGTTGTTTTTTTTCCCCCCGCGGAGCTGACGAGCTGCGGGTCGTGCCCGCCCGCTCCGCCGCCAGCCCGGCGCGGGGGGCTCTGAGGGACCGGGGTGCGGTGGGGGGGTCCCGCTCCCCCTGCCGCCTGCGGGGGCCCCTTCTCCGGGGGGCTCGGCGAGCCGTGTCCGCCCCGCGCCCGCCCCGGGGCCGCTCGGTGCTCCCGCACCGCCCCTGTGGGGGGGCCCGGCGGCGTTTGCGGGGTCACTGCGGGCGGGGGCATTGCGGGCATTGCGAGGCATTGCGGGGCACGTGAGCGGCGGGGCCGCCCCGGGACCGCCCGGCGGGGCGGGCGCGGCAACAAAGGGCGGCGGGGCCGGGCCGGGCCGGACAGGGGGTCGGGTTGGCGCTGCTCGTGCGGGTCTCAACCTCGCTCCGCTCTCTCCTGTCCCGCAGCCCCGGCCGCCAGGACCGCGCCGCACCCGCGACAGCGCCGGGCTGTGCCGGCCGCGCCGCAAATGAAGTGCGAGAACTGCACCAAAAAGGTGAGTGCGGCGGCCGCGTCCTGCCCGAGCCCCTCGGCTGGGGAGGGGGGCACAGCCCCGGGGGTCGGGAACGCGGCCGGCGGGGACTCCCCAGTGGCGGGGTTACCCCGGGAGGCCGAGCGGCGCTGGCCGCCGGCCCCAAGGTCACCGCGCTCCGCGTCCTCCCGGGAGCCCCCACACGGAGCCCTCCGCTCCCCCCGGGGCTGACACACCGCCCGGCACTCCAGAACTGATGGAGCACGGTGATTCCTGCGGAGGAATCGCTTCCATCGCAGCGATTGCACTTCGAACACAAGGCCTCGCGTGTGAAGGGGCAGAACGAACGCTGCCAGAACGCTGCAAAGTAACGCACCATTAGTGGTTAATGGTACAGACAGTGTGCAGAAGGGCTGCTTACGGAACGCTGAACGGGCTTGGCACGAACCGTGTATTTTCTGTTTTGTTTCAGGAATGCAGTAAAAAACAGAAAAATGATGATACACAAAGCACATCTGTTGATGCATTGAGTTCAAACGATGGCTTTGAAGAGGTAATGTTCCTTCTGTAAACTGTAATGTGCTCTATTTGTATTCTTTTGTTGTTGTGCACCCTAAGGGAGGTTATGAGGAGACAACTTTCAAGTCCTAAACATAACAATAATCAACAAGCAGTTGTAAGCAATTTTGAGCTCTTGTAGAGAATGAAAAATCTTTTCAAAAGGTGAAATAAAAGCCCATTTTGAGTGTCAAAAATCTTAAGTCTTCAAAACAGACACAGAACTTGAGACAAATTTTGACAGTAAAAGGGCACAAAATGTCTTTATATCTAAGTTTCTTTCTTAGTGAGCTGCCAATGGTTGTCATAGCAAATGTATGACGTTCTTGATCTCACTTTTTTTCCCCCCCTTAGAAAAATGAGTTTGATACTCTGGCTAATGCTAAAATACTCCTTAGCGACTGCTTAGCCTGTGACAGTTGCATGACATCAGAAGAAGGAGCCAGAGTTTTCCAACAGAACCAGAAGGAGTTCTTTCGTGTTCTCAACCTTAATAAGGTAAAGTGACCCAAACAATAACACAGTTTTCTGTGAGGAGGAGGAGGCAGTTACAGAATGACTAAGCAGATAACGTGAAGATTGGTCAGGATGTGTTTTTTCCGAAGAGGAAGTGAAAACTTGAAGCAAGATGAATGATCAAGTAACTTAAAAATAATTTTGCATTAGAGTTGTGAGGTCACAGCGTTTCACCTAAATGCTGGAAGGAAGTTACTGCACCTGCAGAAGGGAAATTTATTGGAAATGTAACTCCCTCATTACTCTACTAACACATTAGTCTTGTAGTTCAATATTCATACCTTTATTACTAGGACTTCTGTAGACATTAGTTTACTTAATGTTTAAACATAAAACTTTGTGCATATTTGCTAGAACCTTTCATGTTGCTACAACATCATGGGTGCTGAATGTCTCTTAACTTCCCTTATGCCATGTGGAGACCAACCAAAGGATTGTCCTAGAGGACAGATGGATTATATAAAAGCAACATCTACAGATGATTAAACACTGGCAGAATCAGAGGAACACCCTGTCCTGCCCCAACTTGATGGTTGTTTCACAGGGTTTGTAATGATATGGCTCACTGAAGCATCAGACCCCAGGGAATAACTCCAGGAGTGGAAAAGGCAGGGGAAGCAAGGAGCTCTGCCCTGTTGTAATGACATACCTTTTTTTTCTTTGTTTTTGTTTACCAGAAATGTGATACCTCAAAACACAAAGTGTTGGCAGTGTCTCTATGCCCTCAGTCATTGCCTTATTTTGCTGCTAAGTTCAATCTCTCTGTGAATGAAGCAGCCAAGAGACTCTGTGGTTTCCTCAAAAGTCTTGGTAAGTTTGGGGTTGTTATGGTGGTGGAGGAGAAGGGGGGAATTGGTTTGGCTTTTTTGCTTTCCCAGCAGCTTCCCAGTACCTGAAGGGGCTACAAGAGAGCTGGAGAGGGGCTTTTGACCATGAAAGAGGGGAGATTTAGGTTAGATACCAGGCAGAAATGAGGGTGGGCAGGCCCTGGCACAGGTTGCCCAGAGAAGCTGTGGCTGCCCCTGGATCCCTGGAAGTGTCCAAGGCCAGGTTGGACAGGGCTTGGAGCAACCTGGGCTAGAGGAAGGTGTCCCTGCCCCTGACAGGGGGTGGAACTGATGATTTTTAGGGTCTCTTCCAACCCAAACCGTTCTGGGACTCTATTCCTTGATATTTGCTTGTGCAGCCAGAAGGTGCCATTGCACAACTTGGCTCAGAGTTTGAGCTCCTCACTCTGTGATGTTCTGGGGGGCACCAGGGACGCAGAGCAGCGTCAGACATGGACTGGAGACGTTCCCTGTTCCCAGCCAAGGTCATGGAATAGAAGGACATTGTAGAGCTGGCTCCAAAGCCTCCACTACCAAGAAATCAGGGAGGATTTATTCATGACCTTCAATAAGATTTTCTTGTATTTTGTAACTTGAGGGAGGAGGGAATTCTTACCCTAAATTCCTTCCAGTCCTTTTGACACATTAAATCTCCAGAAGATTGTCAGTTCTGGTTTTTTCCCTATAATTTGAAATTACATGCAAGAACAGTTGTATCTGCCTGTTTGATGTTAGAGCTGTATTTCCTTTGCTCATTATGCTATTTATATAAGTTTGGAATTTTTTTTCTTATTTTTTTCCATTGCAGTTATAAACCTATAAAGTGTTTCCATATATATATGTATTCATTTTTCTTAGTTTTTATGATGCATCTTTGTACCCGGTACATTTCCTTCACCTAAAAGCACTGCTGAGTTGTGGTGGGGCCCAGTTTTTTCTTAGAACATACTCATTTATCAATGGTTCCCTTGCTGTGGGGATGTGCTCAGTGTTATGTAGGCTCATAGGGCCAGCAGGTCTCTGCAGTGTTGGTGATATGCTCCTGCACCTCTGCAGACAAATTTCAGCAAATGGAGATATAACTGGATGTATTTTTTTTTGTGGATAATGAAATGTGACTTCAGCATGTCTTGAAAAGAACACTTCTTTACAAGAGTCCCTGTGAGTCACCCAGAGTCATGAAATCCCCTTCAATTAAACCAAAGCAATAGATGCTGAATGGCAAACTCCTCTGGAGGAGGCAGAGAACTATCTGAACTGTTGCCTGCAGCATGAGCAAGCTGGTGGTCCTTTGAAATTCATGACATAGAAGAGAGTTTTTCAGTGTATGGTCTTCATTTATTTTCTGAACATTTGGAGTGAGGAAAGAACACACTCATTGATCTTCCCAAGGTTTTCCATAGGCCTGGAACTCTGAGAGATGCCCCATTCCCTGTTCCTTTCTGCTTGCTTCCCCAGGGGTGCATTATGTGTTTGACACCACCATAGCTGCAGATTTCAGTATCCTGGAGAGCCAGAGGGAATTCGTGCAGCGGTACCAGCGGAGGAACCAGGAGGAACATGCCTTACCAATGTTTGCCTCTGCCTGCCCTGGTGAGAACTGATTTCCTCATCCTCCCTGCCCCTCAGCCTGCTCTCCCTGCAGCCACCAAGGAACTAAGGAAAGAGGGGCTTCATTTGGGAGCTTTGCACAACTTGGAGCATTTCTGGTTTGCTTCTGAGGGCTGCCAGGCACACAGTACCTGTTCCCAGGGTCACTGCTCGTCCTCAGTGCCTGGAAATGAGAATCAGAACTGCAGTGGAGGAGTTCAGGCCACACAGTTTAACGGGGCATTTCCTTATTGAAAAGAATCTTTAAGGAACTTTGATAGGATTAAACCACAACCTCTGTTATCCCGAGCCAAGTTTTGAACTTGCCACTTAAGCCTGGGGGTGAAGTAGCGGGTGACATCCCTCATGATGACTGTGAGGTGGTCATGTCTGACACTCAGAAAGTAACTCTCACATGAAATGGCACAGCCTTGACTCACTCAGTGGGAGTTTTGCACCTGAGAACGTGTTCTGTATGAACAGAACCTGCACTTACCCCAACTGAATGGATGCAGAACATTCAGTCACTGCTTCCCTTTTCCATTTGTCAGCACAACCTCATTTCAGTCTGGAAGTCACCTCCCTAAAAAAGAAGTATCAAAAAAAGAGGTAGAAGTAACTACATTGCCTAACATCCCCCTCAACTCCACCCTAAAATGAATGGGTTTCCTTTTCAAAAGGCTGATAAAAATACCAAAATATTTCTTGCTAGCTCTCAAGTAACTCAAGTGGCTTGCAGTGGTTAAAGAAATGTTAGTGATGAGAGAGTGAGTGAGAGTTGCAGTTGGTGATGCCCAGAATGAGCTGCTGTCATGGATCTGAAGTTTAAATACTACTGTTTGAATTATATTTAATAATTTAATACTCTGTGCATTCTGTGGTTGAAGTATCTGGGTTATGCTTTAGGTGCTACATATATATACTAGGAGGAAAAGTCTCCTTTTTTTCATCTTTTATCTTAGTGTAATCTCTCATCTTCAGGAGCAGGCATACTATAGATTGCTTTTTTTCATGTGAAACCTGTGAAGTTGAAACACCTCCCATTAATTAGGTTGTGCATGGTTTATGTAAAATTCAGAACCTGAGGATTGCTTTTAGAACTTGTGAGAATTTTGATTTTATTCATCTAGAAACAGAGCTCAGGTTATCTGCTGCTCTTATTGGAAATATTTTAAAATAACTAATGGAGCACTTTTCTTTGTGTGGCTCACACAAAATAGTTTCTGGTTTCAGTGCAGGTTGTGGTGTCAGCTCTCTGTACAGATGTCAGCAGAGCATGGGTGCTCTCCATTTCTGGGAAAGTGAACCAGAATATCACTGTAAACACATTTTAAGAACATGGTGTGTTTCTTGGACAGCACTTAGAGAAAGCAAAAATCATGACTAGTCGTCCTCAAAGTGAGATCATTGTGTGTACTGACCTTAACTGTCTGAGGGCATTTTCTGTTCCTTATTCTCCTTCCCTTCTCTACCCCCAGATTACATAAATTTCTCCCATAAATTTTCTGTGTTTATCACAAGATGTTTTTTGAACATTTGAGTAGGTAGAAGGTCAGTGTGAACTCAAGTAGAACTGCTTTGCTCTTGTTTATCTCAGGGTGTGACCCTGCCCAGCCCTATCACCCTGGGCAGCAGCCTGGGCTGGAACATCTACCACGAGCAAAGAGCAGAGCCCAGAGGGCCCAGAACCTGATAAAAAAGGTGGATTATTGGCCCTCTATTAATTGCTCACCTCCTGCTGCTCCCAGAGGAGAAAGGGAGCTGGTGTTTTTGTTTCTTGTTTAAAGTCCCACAGTGTAACTGCTGCTAGCACAGGTAACAGCTCACAGTCATCACTTGGGCTCCTCAGTGGACCAAGCTGGTCAGCAACGTGGAGCAGGTTTTGGAAACAGCCAGTTTTGAATGCGTTGCCAACCTCTGGGTACTCCCAGCAAAGCCAAGGGGTTGGGATTTACAGCAGCAGTAGCAAGACTGTAAATACTGAGGATTCAGATGCTTTTGTCCCAGTCAACCAACTGCCTTTTTCAGGAACGGGGTTTTACGGTAACAAAAGTTTTCGTAGTTTTCCTGCCCTTCCTACAGATGCACAGATACATTCATGGCATGTATCTGTGTGACCTTCTCACAATAACCACTACAAAATGTGTGTTCTGAGGTACCTCTGCAAGAAATGATGCATGGATTTGTAGGGGGTTCTTGCCCTTTGATGCCAAGACAAGCCAGCAAATGGCTGAGAATCCAGATGAGTTTGTGGAGGGAGTAGGTCTGGGTGAGTCCAGAATTCCAGAAATTACTTTGGGCAATAACTGTCAGGAATCTCTTGGGATTCAGTGAAGTGACTACAACAGCTGAAACATTCCAGTTCCAAGAACTCAGGGCAGGAGTGCTGGGGTGATTAATGGCAAGTACAGGGCAGAATGGTTTTTAAACTGTCCTGGTTTGGTTTGAAGCAGTTGTTACTCTCTTTGGACAGCATTTGAGACTCAATAGCTGTGCTGCATCCAGCCTTTCACCAAACACTAAGGAATGAAGTCCTTTGGTGTAGGTGCAGCTGAAGGTGGACATGAGGCAAACTTTCTGTTCAGAGTCTGGCAGTTCAGCACAGACCTGACGTGTAAATCTGCTCCCCAGCTTTTCCTACAGCTGAAATGAGTGCTTGTTGAAGATGATGTGTGTCTCTGAGGTTTTCCATGGAGACCACTATCTGTTAAGCTTGAAGTCTGTACTTCAACAAGAACTGGGACTATTTAAACAGCTGGAGGGGCAGGTTTTTTCTAATACTTACACATTCTCATTTTCATCATTCAGATTTTGTAACACTGCTCTGCCATAGAGAGGCAAACAGCTGAACACCACTTGGATCCCAGTTTTGTGCTGCTGTTTTGACTTAAACATTACCAAGTGGGGTTTTTTTATGTCAGTGGTAATTCCAAGCTTAAAAATTAACCTCCAGGTTTTACCCTTCCTGAGCAGCATGTACCGCACAGCAGTTTTTCTCTTATGTAAACACTAATCTGCTTGAAGATAAAAGACTTAAGTGTGATATTTCTCAGTATTTCTTAGCACCAAAAGCAGATTCCTCTTCCCTGGGCCTAAATCTCCTGCACAGTTTAGGTGTCATGTAGATGAAAAAATCTCTAAACCCTTGCTGTGAAAGATTCTGGGCTGTGGTTTCCAGCAAGAGCTGCAGTGCCTAAGAAAGACTTGCACAGCCTAAATACCTTGATCTGCCAGTTCTGCTTTGGAAGATGGGCAGTAATATAACAGCTCTGGATATTGGGAATGGTGTGAATATCCACAGCTTGCCTGAGCTGAGCTGAATGAAGGAGTCTGGTGACAGGGGGGTTCTCGAGTAACTAAGGATAGAATGTTGCACACAGAGGTTTCAGTTCATTCCTCTGTGTGTGTGGTTGTGTGTGTGGGTGTTCCTGAAGCTGTGGCTACTCCAGCAAGAGTAAAAGAAGCCATTTTTTTCCAGGCTTAATCCCTGTGCATCTGGTGATAATGCCTTCATGTGACTCCCCTGTTCCAGGGCAGGCGAGCTGGGGGCATGGCTGCTGAATTCAGGAACAGCAGGTCCCAGTTAAGCAGCCAAACAGTGCATCTGTTGTGGTCTGAGGTGATCCAGGGGCTGAGGTCTAGAAGGTCAAGTTACTCTTTGTTAGCTGGGGTGCTGCTCTTTCTGCTTTGTTAAATCTGAGCTCTAGGAATGGTTTAACAGGGCATGAAGTTCACAGTGGCTTCTTCTAGGTCTACATTAATGACCCAGTGAATTACTGATTAAAGCATTATTAACAGAGCCTTGGAGTTCCCTCCATTTCCCCTAACCCTCCACAGCAATGTCCTGCCTGCTGTGAAGGGGTCAAGGTTTTTAGGGGCTGTTTTTTGAGCTTCTGGGCTGCTCCTGTCTCTGACTGTGCTTTCCTGGCCCTGCAGGTTGGATCCGATATGCTGAAAGGGTGCTCACCAACCTGGTGACCTCTCACATTTGCACTGCAAAGTCCCCCCAGCAGATCATGGGCTCCCTAGTGAAGGGCTACTTTGCCAGGCAGCAGGTAAAGAATTCCCATTTATTTTTGACCATTATACTCTTCTAAAATAGAAAAGTTGGGCTACGGTGGGTTTTGATACTGAAATGCAGATCTTAGTTATTATTTGTCCTTGGAAAATGAAGAGTGCACTGCTGCTACACAGGTGTCATGATGGGAAGAACGTGCAAAGAACCTCAGTTCATGCACTGCAATCCTTGCACTCTCAGGGCAACCTGGCTTTAGATATTTAAGGATAAAATTAAACCCATGGCAGCTAAAGGGTTTCTTGTTGTGCTGTTCTACAGCACAGCCAAAACAGGAGCAGAGGAGTCATGTGGAAATTGCCCTGTTATCTGGGATCAATAAAAGCACTGTATCCTAGAAACAAACCTTTTTATCTTCTCCATTTTGTGTGTTGAAAAAGCTGCTGTTCTTTACATATCATACTGACATGGAACTGCAGCCACAGTCGGTAGGAAATTGTTGCTGTGTGCACATGGATGGATAAATAGATGGACATGAGTGAGGGACAGCCAGAAACCAGAACTCCTGAACTGTATGCATTTCCTAAGGCAATCAAAAGCTACAGAAAACGTGGTCTGAAGGTATAAGTAAGAGTTCCAGCCAGAAGACAGACTTGGGAAGTCTGCTGCTGATGCTTTGTGACTTCTGGCAAATCATTATCTGTGTGTGGCAGCCTCTCAGTGTGACGGGTAGGGACTGATTCCTGGTACTGCCTGCGTGGGGTTTATGACACTATTTCTGTCCCTGTCATCCTTCAAGCTGTCTTTTGCTCTTCAGGCAGTTCACTTGTGCTCCTTTCTGTGTCCCACAGAACTTGTCTCCTGAGAAAATTTTCCATGTAGTTGTGGCGCCTTGTTACGACAAAAAGCTGGAAGCCCTGCGGGAAGATTTCTACACTGCCTTGTCCAACTCATCCGAAGTTGATTGTGTCCTGACATCAGGTTCAACCTTTCAACTTACCACCTATAAATATATAAGTGAATCACCACTTTTAGCATAGCCTTTGTGCCAGACTTGGCTTTTTTTCAAGTCTGCTTAAAAATAAGTACGTGTGGTTTTGTGCTACTGGTAGCACAGGGGCTGTGTAGGGGATACTTTCCTTTTAAGTTGCTATTCATCTGAAATATCAGGCTAAGGATTTAAGCAAAGTTTGGGCAAGCTGGAAGAGGGGCTGGAAGTGTCAGGCCTCTCAAGATATTGGAGGGAACTGACTCTGGGAAGAGCTGGAGAATGTGACACTGGGACATGGATCTCTAAAACAGGCACAGCGTGTGTTTGTTTGTGCTTGGTGTTGAAAGTAAAATGTCTTGTGTTTTCCTACAGGTGAAATTGTCCAAATAATGGAACAGAAAAATGTGTCTATGAAAGATGTGCCTGAAGTAGCTGTAGATAGTTTGTAAGTAGCTTTGTTGTGGATTGTTTCTTTATTTTGATGACACCTTGGAGCATATTCAGCATCAATGTAAAACTGCTCAGAAGAATGTTTTTTCTTTTTAAAGAAAAAAAAAACCTGCATCAAAGCCTGAATATACCACAGTGACCCAAACCACTGAAATGTTATCTCAGATGTTCATGGCTATATATAAAAGTAATATAAAACAGATAATATAAAACTGTATATGCTGTCTAAATACAAAAGGGTCATTACCTCAGATTATATGCTATATGGTAACTACTTTAAAATTTATGCCTTTTGAAGATTTTGGAAGAATTTTGGAGATTGTGTAGCTCCTTAATTTTATTTGAATGCAGTAATATTAGATTTGGCTGCACTGAGCTCATGCCTTGCTAGTAAATGTGACTGTCTGGGGTGCTGAGGCTGCTCAGAGCTCTCCTGTGCTCGATCCTGTGTGCAGCCCAGCAGTCTGATGTGCCTCCCAAAAGCTGCAGGGACACAGTCGTGGGCTTGACCATCTGCTCTGTGCTCCCCTCTCCTTCCCAGCAGCATCTTGACAGTAAATTTCCACTTCCCCAGTGTGTTCCTGGAGAATTGCTAGAAGCAGCAGCCTTTCAGGAAATGGTAATTAGCTGGGTTTTGTACTGAGGACAGCAGTTAGTTATTCCAGATCAGCTCAGACTGAGCTGTGCTGTGGCTGAGAAGCACACAAAGCACTGCAGAGGTTTTGTTTCCACCCCATGTGCTGGCTCAGGGATTGCTGTGCCTGCTGTTCAGTTCTCAGGCTCAGTTACAGAGGCTGCTCCCCCTGCTCTCTGTTCAAGTGTGACAGCTGTTCCTTGGTGTCTTTCCAAGGGGGTGGCAATGGAGCAGTAAACGTGCTTTCTTGCACAAAATAGAAAGCTCTGTAAGTTTGGACAAATCCTTTTCAGTTCCAGTTAATATCCTGCTTGGACCTTGTGTAGAGGGGAGGAACTGGAGTGGTGCAGTGGGAACGTGTTCAGAGCTGGGTTTGTGGTGCAGCTCCTGTGAGTGCTTCTACCAGCAACTGGCACACAGTGAGAATGGCAGGAACAAAGCTCTTGCAGGCACAAGAGACACACAGAGACAGTCACTTCATCCTGGATCAGCCTGTCCAATGGAAGAACAGGCTGTTATTCAGAATATACCTGGTTCATTAGCTCAGTTTATAGAACTGCAGAATCTCCTGAGGTGGAAGGGATCAAGTCCAACCCCTGGCCCTGCTCAGGGCACCCCAACAATCCCACCCTGTCCTTGTGTTGTCCTGCAGCTCTGGCAGCCTTGGGGCTGTGCCCTGGGGAGCCTGCTCAGTGCCCAACCACCCTCTGGGGGAAGAACCTTTTCCTAATATCACCTGACCCTGCCCTGACACAGCTCCAGCTGTGCCCTGGGGTCCTGTCAGTGGTCAGAGGGAGCAGAGATGGGTGTTGTCCCTCCACTGCCCCTTGTGAGGAGCTGCAGACCCTGATGAGTCTCCCCTCCATCTCCTCTTCCCCAGGCTGAACAGACCAAGTGATCCCAGTTTATGTTGGAAAATAATGTTAACTTTTGAAAGGACTAATCTGATTCAAGCAGAGAGACCTGATGACTTAAATTTTTGCTCTTCTGGGATCTTAAAAATAGATCTTGTAGAAAAATTTAAATAACTTGGACTCTTCTTAAAATAAGTCCCAGCACAGCAGCAATTTGTGATTAAGTGCTTGGTATTAAAAGGTCCATGAATAAAGTAACTTGGGTTTGGGTTCTTAACTCGCTTGTGTAGCTCCAGCAAACAGCATTTGGCAAAAGTTGGGTGACAAACCATGAAACAGAATTGACTGAGGTTGTTAAAAAAAGAAAACAAACCCAAAAAAACCAACCATAGGCTGCAGTAGTTGTTCAGTAGCTGCACTTACCAAGTGTCAGAAGGCTGTCAGTGGGTGTTGGCTGGGGTGACTCTCACCTGGGCTCTGGGGCTGAGCCCTGTGCTGGGATCAGCTCAGGCAGGAGCTGCTGGTGCCAGGGAAGGGCACTCCGGGTGTTCTGGGAAAAGGTAAGGAGATTATCCCCAGAGAGGCCTTCACATGGAACAGCAAAGCACATCATCTGTGTCTGCTGATCAGTGTCTCCTGCTGCAAGTGGCATTCCCACACCCCACGTGGATTCCTGCTCTGCCAGAAGGGAACAGCACAGGCAGCCCCTCCTGCTGCCCTGACCTGGGGCAGAGGTGAAGCTCCAGGAGAAGGGCCATGTCCTTGGGTAGGAGCTCTCATTTCCTTCCCTGAGCTAGAGCACAGCTCTTACTCGAGCCTTTATTTTATTTTCCACAATCTTGCTGCTGTCCTGACCAGTTTCCATTTTTTAAGCTGTAATAACAATTGTTAATGTGTTCTTACTTAGTGCTACAAAACCCTTTTCAGTGGGGGAGACAGAGAAAGGGAAAACCACACTGCTTTACTGAAGGGAAGGGATGGAACTTCAGAGCTGATCTCCCTTTCTGTTGTTTTTCTAAGGTTTGCTGACATAAAGGAGGGAGATGTGGTGAGGCACGATGGGAAGAGGTCTGATGGGTACCTGGAGCACATTTTTAAACATGCTGCAAAGGAGCTTTTTGGCATGGATGTCAAGGAAATCACCTACAAAGCACTAAAGTAAGTCAGAGTTTTTGTATCCTTGTTCTGTAGGACTGGCTAGTTGGAATAGAACATTTTCAGTTGCAAGGGACCCACAGTGATCACCCAGTCCAACTGCCTGAGGAATTTGGGCTGCCCAAAATGAACCACCTCTCTGGGGGATTCTGTTCCAGGGTTTGACCACCCTTTTGGTGAGGAAAGGGTCGCTGAAGTTCAGCCTAAACCTCCCCTGGTTTAGTTGGTGCTGCAGTGAATGCAGTTACTGTTCTTTGTCTGACAGGCAGTTGCATGTTATAAACCTCTACGTCTGTCACAGCAGTCATTTTATTAATAGCTTAACCACACTTAAAAAGTTAGGTATAATTCTGTTCTGAGTTACACCTCAATTTCTGCTTAACACAGTTTAGAAACCGGAGGAGTTCACCTTGATCTCACTGTTCCACTTGTTCTGTTCTCTTTAGAGCAGCTGACCCCAAACTGACACAGTTGGGTTGTTCCTCTGGGAACACAGGGGGTTAAAACGTTCTCTGTGTATTTTGACAGGAACAAGGACTTCCAAGAAGTTACCCTTGAAAAGGATGGGGAGACAGTGCTGCGCTTTGCAGCAGCTTATGGCTTTAGGAATATCCAAAACATGGTCCTGAAGCTGAAAAAAGGAAAGTTTTTGTACCATTTCGTAGAGGTCCTTGCGTGCCCAGGAGGTAAGAACGATGTGCATCCCCAGTCGCTCCGTGCACGTCTTCAGTCTCACAGGAAAGCAGAGCTGCCCTAAGGCAGGCACTTCATTCCTTCCTGATTCCCTTCTTAATAATCTCAAACCTCATTATTTAATGAAGGGTCCAGAACACCAGTTACAGGTTCTGGGTTGGCTCAGAAATTGATTGGGTTTTCCAAAATTAGCCCCAGCGTTCCTGGCTCTCTTCTGAGCTGTCAGTCAGTGCTGGTGCAGCGCTGCCAAACCTCCAAGGAAATCCCCTGAAATGGTGCTTGTCAAGGGCAAGGAAAGACAAGATAATTAGGATCATAAAACCATGGAGAAGGCAGGGAAAGATTGTTGATATGGAAACCTCACTTCCATTGAGATGATGTTGATATCAGAGTCATTTGAGGTAAATACAAATTGTAACAGCAGCGGGGGAAGTTAATGTAAAGACAAGTGTGAGAAACGAGGAAAAATTTTTGTTTAACTCAAAATTCATCACCCTTGCAGCTTTTTTGTTCTTTTTCCCCTAAGGGTGCCTGAATGGCAAAGGCCAGGCCCAGACTGAGGATGGCAAGCCAGACAGAGCCCTGCTTGCCCAGATGGAGGAGGTGTACGCTGCCATTCCCGTGCGGCTGCCAGAAACCAACCTGCACGTGCAGAAGGTGTACCAGGACTGGCTGGAGGGCATGGACTCCAAGAAGGCCCAGGAGACTTTGCACACCACATACAGTGCAGTGAATCAATCCACGAGCAGTTTGGACATCAAATGGTAACAGAGGACAGGGCAGAGCTGTGCTGAGCTCTCGGGGTCAGCACAGGGACCCTCTATGCAACCACGGGCACTGAGCACAGCCAGGCTGTGAGAGAGGCCCTGCCCAGCTGGGACTGTTCTGGGGAAGAACCATTGCTTTGCAAAACCAGAGAAGTCTCCAAAAGCCCAGGTTCCTGCCACTGTCATTTAACTTGTACTGTGAGTGTCGTTCCCTCCGTGGATTTCTTCATCCAAAAACGTGACCTGGCGAGGCACAGAGGCCCTGTGGGAGTGGAAGTGCTGATGAAGTTCCTCCATTCACTTCACAGCATGGGCTCCTCCAAGAGGGTGAGATGATTCCACTCCTGCTCCTAGGTGTGCAATCCCTGGCACCACAGGAAAACAGTCCACAGGAATTTCAGTATTGTTGCAATTGGTGTGAAGTAACTTGGGATTTACTTGCCTTGCTAAAGAAAAAGCCCTTTAAAAGGACAAGTGAGTATATGAAGAGATGTAATGAATTTCTATATGCCTTGTATCCTTAATTCAGCAAAAAATACACAGTTCCAAACTAGCCACCATTCCTTCCTGATGTAGTGTCCCAGGATGCTCCACAGAAACTGAGCCTGGGAAGCTACTGCTGAATGGTTCCTTTAAATAGCTCCAAATAGGTTGGTCGGTACAAAAAGAAAACTTACTTTCCTTTTAAGTTTTCCTCAAAGCTTGCAGCCAGGAGGAATGGGGCTGCTTTGGCTTCTCTCTCAGAGTGAAACATACCCACATTGTTCTTTCATTTGTCTCCCATGTTGACAGACTGCTGCAAAAAAACAACTTCCTGGGGTGCCTCTGAGGAGAGAGCCCTGAGCAATGTTTGTGAGCTCATCAGAGTTAAGATACATCAGCATCATGAAGTTTGGTGCACTTATTTTTTTAAGTATGCTGTAGAGGTTTCATTTAACAGCCACTGTAAAGTGCTGCTGGCATGCAAGCTTGTCTGCAGTGTCCTGAGTTGTCAGAGGGTTGTTCAAGAATGTGATGGACAAAAAGAAGATTGAACTCCTGCCAGACTTCCTCAGATTTTCCTGGTAACATCCAATCCGTTCACCATTGCAAAGTTCCAGCTTTCCTTGTCCATCCTGAAAGTGTGGATGGGCTTTTTTAATCATTTCATGCAGTTTGAATGAATCTTCTTGTCCATGTCTTTAATATCACAACAGCTTGTGTGAGGAAGGTCCCATCCTGCAAAAACCTGGGTGTGTTTGTTTGAAATCCACATTTCACCTGAACCCAGTGGATGGGATAAAGCATCAGGGAAGGCACTGCAAGCCCTGGCACTGCTGGAAAGGAGAGAGACACTCAAGTGTCACCCTGATGACAAGAAATAGTTCTCTAAACGTGAAGCTGTGAATAATTGCAGCCTCCACCTAAACTAGAAACCATTGCACTTGGAGGGATGTTTTCTTTCAAGTGCAGATGAATTTGATTACTGAATGCACACAATGAGATTATCCCCGTGAATTAGCCTGAGTTGTCCCTTGTAATAAAAACGTGGTACTTAACGTGGTGCAATATCAGAACATCACCAGAAATCTACCTCTGTACAGACAGGGAGGCCAGAAGTGGTGGGAAGAGCTGTGTGGAGCTGCAGCTGTGGCAATTGTCTGCTAGAGAAAGATGGGGTGTTGCCTGACCTTTTGGAACAGATTTCTTTTGGAAGCAACATCCACCTCCTTCAGTCTGATTTTCTTTATCTGCCACGATTTCCCCCAGAAACTCCCACCAGAATGATCATGTGCTAAGGTGTCCTGTTGTGTTTGTACAGGCCTGTTTCTCTGTATATATGGTTTGTAGCTGGATGCATGTTTAAATTATATGGCTTCTGCTCTTTGTACAGTGTGCTTATTTTTTTATGTGCATAGGCTGGGTGAAGCGGTACAAAAAAATGTGGAATGTTCCCTGAGTGACACAAGAGCTGCCTTGTTCTGAAAGGAGACCCCTGAGCTGTTTGTGCAACGTCACAAATCCTCCTCGGGGGTGGGTGGCACTTGGGCCCCTGTGTTTGGCTGCTGCCCTGAGGGGCCTCACCCCCTGTGCCAGTGGGGGACCCCAGGGCTGGGCTGGGCAGTGGGGGAAGGAAAGCTGTGGCTCAGTGTGTAAAATAAACCATTTCAGTTGGATCCACCATTTCTTCCATCTGCTCCAGTGTTTTAACCCACGGGGGCCGCAGTGTGAGGAGCTGTTGATTATTTGTCTGCTGCAGGATTGTTTTTAAAGGCAAGGAGGGCTACATGGAATGTCTGTATTATCATTACTGACCTAAGTAAATGAGACTTTGTCTTTTTTTTTCTTTTTTGGTCAGCTTTTCTTTTACAAGACTTTCTGGAGTAAAACATTTCAGTTTTTTAAAGCCCTTTTCTTTAAAGTGCCAGTTGAAAAGGAAAGAAAATTTTTCTTTCCCCCTCCACCTGCTTTCATTGAAATCTGAGGTATCAGAAAAGCTTATTGCAGCTTCATATACAGTGAAACACTTGCCTGAAGGTTTGATTCTGGCTTCTAAACCTGCAGCTGGAAAGTGTTATTGTTGACAGTAACGTTCCAGCTGGGGCACATCTGTGGCACCAACAGTGCCTCAGCTGTTTGGGAGAGCTCTGGGTCACAGCTACACCTCCAGCTCTCATAAATGGAAGGAGAAAGTTGCCAGGTTGCTGTGGGAAATGGTAATCTGCTCTCTAGAATTGTAAATTAATATATTGAATCACTGCAAGGCAGACAAGCCTCTATAGCTTTAAAGCCCTTGTGCCTGGGGAGAAGGATGAAACCAGTCTGTGAGAGCTGACTAATTACACTGAAGTAACTGTAGAGTTAATTAAAACCCTGGTGCACAAGGAACAGTAAAATCCTTATTTGTGTGTGTCCTGATGCAACAAACAGCTGGGGGGATGAAAATTAGCCCTGATAATTAACAGATAAGGGATTTTTCATCAATGGGTTGGGTGAAAATGGAATGAGTTGAGCAAACATTTCCCTTGAGCAGCTGGGACCTGAACTTCCACTAAATAATAAACTGATCTGAAAATGTTCTGTGGGTTTTTTTCCAAGGGACAGTAGGGAAGGGTTACCTGGGCAGAGGAAAAGGAGGAGGAGCTGCTGGCACAGAGCAGGGCTGCTCCTGTTGCTGTGTAAACCAGGGACTGGTGAGAGGTTTGCAGGAGGGGAGACAGCGTGTTTAGGTGTCCTCAGCAACCCTGGAAATGAGGAGCAAACACTGCAAAGCACAGGGAATACCCCTTTAAACTGCAGAATTCCATCTGTGACACCACCCCTGCTCTGAAACCACGACATTCCTGCCCCCATTTTCCAAGGGAGTAGTTGGGTGCAGCTGAAAAACAATGTCCAAATTCTGCACATTTACCTGCTGAAAGTCAAGTTTTCCACAGTGTAAATGCTTTTTTTTCCTCCCCCTCGAAAAAGACTTTGTGTAAAACATCAGTAAAATGTAATGGAATATCCAATTAAAACGTTATAACAATTATTGAAGGTCTTGTCCTTTTTGTCCAGTGTATGGCTGTTGATCCCATGGAAGAAAAGGGGGAGAAACGTCATAAAGGATCAGGTCAAGGACAGTCTTTGCATTGAGCTCCTGGGCTGCTTTATCTGGAAGGGGATCAGGGAAAAATCGGGATACTCCCGACAGGTTCTACCGAGATTTGAACTCGGATCGCTGGATTCAAAGTCCAGAGTGCTGACCATTACACCATAGAACCGGGTGATGCCTTTTGGTTTTGGGAGCCTGGAGGATAAATCCATAGCCAACAAATCCCACTGGGAAAACCACCCTGCTCCTCCTGCCCTTGGGCCTGCAGTGACTGCAGGAATTTAACATGACCTAAATATCCATATTTATCCCGCGTTTCTGCAGGATTGTCTTCATAGAATCACAACATCGTTTTGGTTTGGGAGGGACCTTAAGGATCACCCAGTTCTACCCCTCCTGCCATGGGCAGGGACACCTTCCACCAGCCCAAGTTGCTCCAAGCCCCATCCAGCCTGGCCTTGGACACTTCCAGGAATCCAGGGGCAGCCACAGCTTCCCTGGGCAACCTGTGCCAGGGCGTCACTGCCCTCGTAGTAAAAGATTTCCTCCTGATCCCTACTCTGAATCAACCCTCTTTTAGTTTAAAACATCACCCCTGTCCTGTCATTCCATACCCTGGTCCAAAGCTCCTCCCCTCTCTCTGTAGGTACTGGAAGGCCACAAGAAGGTCACCCCGTAGTATAATGATGGCAGGAAGCAAACACGGACAGTGGGAGAACATCTGTTTTTAGGGACACACGGAATCCTTGTACCTGCCCCGGAGCTCAGTGGTGCCTCTGGCTTTGCTAATGCAGAATTTAGAATTGTGTTCCCTCACAGCCTGTTCCCAGAGTAGAAATAAAAGGAACCACTGATGTCCCAGTGAGCTGTGATGTGTCTGAAGTTCTTCAGTTAATTCCTGTCAGAATATGCCAACCTGGCTGCAATAAGTAATAGATACGGAAAAAAAAATGTAATCAGGAAATTCTGTGATTGTTTCCTCTTCCTCTTTCCCTTTCCCTACCCTTTCCAGGTAGCACGGGACGTCAGTGTTCACGGCACTTCAACAATCCACGAAAAACTCCTCAAACTCGTTTTCCACGATTTTCCCAGCAAGGAAATCTGCCCACGGAGGAAAAATTTCAGGTTCCACCGAGATTTGAACTCGGATCGCTGGATTCAGAGTCCAGAGTGCTAACCATTACACCATGGAACCGCACATCCCCAGCTCCCGAGCCGCGCCTTCTGAGGGACACCCGCACAAAACACGACCGTCCCCTCACGCCTCACCGGGTTCTCCTCAGCTCACGCCGCTCAAACCCCCACACAGATCTTTCACCACCACGTGCCCTGGCTTTTGCTTCACGTTTGCGCTCTCGTTTTGCTGCCCTGCGTGTCGTGCTGTGTTTGAGAAGGAGCAGCAGGGACCATTGTCACAGCCACTGGTTTAGCTCGCCAGGTTGTTTCCTCTCTTGGTACTGACTGACCAGTGTGTGGGTAACAGAACATTCATTTAAACAGGCAAGACGTGGAAAAACTGCAAACGTACAGTGTTATGGCTGGTTACAGGCCTGGTGGAGCAGGGCCAGCCAAACCCAAGATGTTCCAGGGGCTGGAGCGCTTCTCCTATAAGGAAAGGCTGAGAGAGCTGGCGTTGCTCAGCCTGGAAAAGAGAAGGCTCCGGGGAGACCTTATATATTTATAAGAAAGATAAGGAAGACACATTTTAGCCTGAGGGTGGTGAGACACTGGCACAGGGTGTCCGGAGAGCTGGTGGATGCCCAATCCCTGCAGACATTCAAGGCCAGGTTGGACGGGGCTCTGAGCAACCTGATCTGTCCCTGACCCTGGCGGGGGGTTGGACTGGATGGCCTTTGAGGGTCCCTTCCAACCCAAACCCCCGTGTGAGTCCATGAGTCCATCAAATCTCGCTAGAAGAAAAGCTGTAAGCATCACACCGTGCCGCGCCCTGTCCGTCCTTTCCTCGCACCCGCTCCTCTGCATGTGGCCGAGATGGTTTAGCAAAAATAACTCCTCGCTCCACCACCGCTCCGCACAGCCAGAAATAACCACAGCGAGGACGGAGCCGTCAGGACCCGGGGAGGGGAAAAAAGAAAAATTGTAGCTAGCAGAGGATGGTTTCGATCCATCGACCTCTGGGTTATGGGCCCAGCACGCTTCCGCTGCGCCACTCTGCTGCTCCTGACAGAATTCTTTCCCACACGGTGTTACAACCGTGACCAGCGCTCCCTCCTCACTCCCACAGCCCTGGGATTCCCGCTCCAGCTCCCCCGTGCCGGAGAGACGCCTGAAATACGCCAGGAGCAGTGGCCATAAACTAAACTACCAGAGGTTCCACCTCAACAAGAGCAAGAGCTGAGGGTGGCAGAGCCCTGGAAGAGGAGCCCCAGGGAGCCGTGGAGTGTCCTCTGCGGACGCATTCCTGTGTCACCCACTCCAGGTGACCCTGCCCTGCCAGGGGGGGTTGCACTGGGGGCGATCCCCCACAGGTCCCTTTCAACACGAGCGATTCCGTGAAATAGCAACAAACGGCTTCAACTACCAGCGTATCGCCGCAGGGGATCGATGTGAACTAATTTAAGCACAAACCCCCGATATATCACCACGGAAAGCTGTACCATTGCCGGCCGCGCAGAGCCCACCGCCGCCTTCAACTCCGCCGCACGTCACGGAGAGCGGACGAGCCCTGAGGAGCCCCCCGGGGCCGCCCCGCCCCAGAGGCCTTTGCGCTTATTTGCATACAGCGGAAATATTTGCATAAATTGGGGCGCTGAACTTGGGCTCTGTTTTCCCAATTCCTACGTCCTACCGCCCCTCCCGACCCGAGCCACGGCCCGGGGGGGTCCGTGTTACAATTACTCCACCACCACCCCGTTCGTCCCACTCTGCCGGGCTCACCCTGTCCTTGCGGGGCGCGGTTTCCCGCGGTACAAATAACGGCGGGGCCGCTAGCAGAGCCGTGCTCGCTTCGGCAGCACATATACTAAAATTGGAACGATACAGAGAAGATTAGCATGGCCCCTGCGCAAGGATGACACGCAAATTCGTGAAGCGTTCCATATTTTTTTTTCCCCACCCCTCCTCCCCTCATCCAGCTTCCCGACTGCTGGAATTTCTCGCTATTTCCTTCTCGTCTCGCCAAAAGGCTTCTGTTTTCGCGCAGGTTGTCTTAAGCAAAGCCAACCATCTCGCTGGCTTGAATCCTTCACCAGAAGTTCAACCATATAATCTCTGCTCAAACACAAGGAACAGATGGAATTCCTGCAGGTCCTGTAATTCACCTTCTTTCTCCACACTGTGGGATCTCACGCCGTGGGGTTCAGGGCTGGTTACCAAAAGATCAGGGCAAGATCTGGCAAAAACAGCAGCGCTGAAGGCACAGGTACAATCCAGAGCCACCAGGGGCCAAACAAATCGAGCTCCTTTGTCCAGAGGGGGTGTGTAGGAAAGCGCTGAATCGATACGGGTTCTGTCTCTTAAACACCTGCAGCTATTGCAAGGAAAAGGAGAGTTATTTTTAGAAGGCCTTTTATGAAGAGGCAGTGCCTTTTGTGGCTTTGCCGTTGGGAATTTTGTTTCTATTCAGCCTGAATCCTGTGATGGAGTGAGTGAAGCTGAACGAGGTGGATGCTTTTTGAAAGGGAAAGCAGAACAGAGGCAGATGGTGAGGGGGAGAAAATAAAAATAGGAAACACGAAACAAATATATTGTCAGAGATGCCGCTTTTCTCTAGTAAAAATGTATTTGCTTATTGGTTTGTTTCACTGTTCAGCTTTTTTTTTTTTTTTACTGTGTATTTTCTGTATTGAAAGCTTTATTGCATGTTAGGTACCACAGAGCATAACTGAGTTGCTTTTTAATATAAAAATTATTAATTCTTCGCAGATATGATGATATCTTCGATGAAAGACTCAAGCTACGAAGCTCCTGTGAAAGAATTTAAATGTGATGAATCATCCACAACAGTGATCAATAAATGTAAGGAATCCTACTTGGGTATTACTTGGTTTACATGGATCAAGGTGGAGTGAAATGCAGGTCTTGCAAAACTTCATTTTTCTTAAAATCTTTTGGAATAAAACACTTCCTGTGTTGTATCATGAAAGCCCAAATGACTGTGAGCTCATTTTGGAAATGAGCTGTTAGAAACCTGAGTGTCAATTTATCTTTTATAACCCGTTCTTAACAAATTGGCACCTTCTGAAAGTTCATTAAGGACTTCAACACAAGCAAAGACTCTTGCTGGAACTAATTCTGTTGGGATAAAATTTGTGGTTTGTAGCTTTATTATCATTTCTATTATTAAATAGTTCCTACTGATTCTGTTTCAGGTTAGAAACAGACTGGTTAAAGCTATGAAAGAGGAGAGTTTGTCTTTGAGGGGGGTATTAATGTCCCTGCTGTGTTGTGTTTTTAATGGGGTGTCAGTATTTCACTGGAACATGGAAATATGGGACTCTGTGCCAGTGTCACAAATCCCTTTTTGTCTAGAAATAACACTTTTGTAACAAATGGCTCAGAAAGCAAAGGGAAGACTCCCTGCAGGAGAACATTATGAAACCCAACATATCCAGAGGTGTCTGAAAGGGGTTCAGTTCATGGAGGGCAACTCTTCCCACTCCTGCCTAATGGAACGCTTTGGATTCACCCTCTTGTCTTCAAAGCCTTTAAATAACAGATAACTGGAAGCTGGGAGAACATCCCAGTTCCAGGACTGAGCTTCCCATGCATCCTGCAAACCCTTGGCTGGGTCAGCTTGGGCTCTGCTCTGCTGCACAGATAAATTAATTACAGTATGAAGAAATCTGCATTGGCATTGCCAGGGAGCAGTTCCTCAATCCCTTCTCACAAAGACTTCTAAAACAGGAGACAAATGGGGTATTTAAACACATTTCTGGGTTTACTGATGGCTCTTGTAGGAACACAGGGCATTTTATAGTGCAAATGATGCTCCAAGAGGCAGAAGGCTTGTGGAGTTTGTGAGGTACATTATTGCTGTGTGCAGAGCCGGGAGCTAAATTTGGGAGCTCAAAGATGAGATGTTTGCCCTGGGAACTAATGAAGCAACAGTAAAATATTCATCAGCAGAAAGGGGGTAGCACAGCCAGGATTTTCAGCTCATGGAAGAAGAGAGAGTGAGTTAAAGTAATGCAATGATTTCAAGACAAACAGGAACTTTAAGCACACAACAGCTTTTGGTGGTTCACAAAGTTCTGTTATTTGGAATGTGAATCTATTTATACAGACAATAACTATATTTGTGAAGGCAAACAGAAGAAATGAGTGTGAAAAGCCTCTTAATAGTCCTGTTTATTTGCAAACAGTATCAGTAAGTATTTTACAGAAATAATGGGAAATGAGAAGGAATTATCTCATATTTCAATGAAAGAGTGGAGTGCAAGGTATTCTTTTTATATACATATATCACTGAGAAACTGGGCTATTTTGAGAGAAGCTGTAATTATGCCACAATAATCTTTTAAAACTAACTTATCTATTAAGTCACACGGTAAACTGTGCCATGAAAATCTGCTCATGTGCCATAGCTGTAAATGAAACAAAGACCGAAATAGATTTCAGGTCATGATGGCTTTTTTTCTTCAGTTTTTTATTTTCAAGTTACGTTAATGTTGGACAACAAACAAAGCCAAAATTGTTTTGGTTATTCAGCTCACTCAGCAGATTGAAATAAATGTTTCTTATCAGCCTTCAGTCACGTCCCAGTCCTTGAGCCAACTGTGACTCTACCAAAACCAACAGCAGAAATGAAAACAAAACAAAAAAAATAAATTGATACATATGGCTTTCCCTCTCTTGTTTAGATAAAATTATCCATAAATATTGCCAGCTACTGGTCTGCGTTTTTATTTGTTTATCCAAAAATGCAATGTGTGTGCAGGAGCTGGTGCAGTGCAGCCTGTGTGCACGTCACTGCTCTAACACACTCTGACAGCGGGGACTCCACACTTACGCTGCATTTCCCTTCTCTTTGTGTCACCGATTTAGTATTTTAACAGGTAAGTCGCACTTCAAACTTTTTTTTTTTTTTTTGCTCTTCAGGGAACGATTCCAATTTTGTCTCTGACTTGGCCTTTAAGAAGGTAAGATAACACAGATAACACTTACAGAACTCCTGCTGGGGAATTGTTGCTTGGGGAAACTTCAATTAATTTTTTTTTTTAAACTGTAACACATTTACTCCCGTTTGATATCAAGCGGATATTAAAAAATACCTATCGTGTCACCTCTTCCTCTGAGCTTCAGTGATTTGCAGAGAGCACTTTTTACCTGCGCACCGCTGACCGCTCCCTCAGCAGATGTGACCGTAATTAGTGCCCCGTTTTAACATTTTAAAAACCCCTTTTAAACCGTTTTCCTTAAAGAAGGGGGGTCAGACCCCCCCCTTGCCCTCACGTGATTTTCGCGCCATCAGCGCGCGCCGCCGCCGGTCACGTGTCTACCCTCCGGTCACGTGGCCCGTGTTTACCTCGGTGGGCACCGCGGAGGGTGAGGGACCGACTGAGGGACCGACCGGGGGGGAGCGGGACGGGCTGAGGGCTCGGGGGACGCCGCCGGGGAAGGACTTGTCGCCTCTCGGGCGTGGTGCGAAGCGGGACTGTTCCCCCTTGGGCGGCGTGCGGGGCTCTTCTCCCCGCCTCGGTGGCGGCTGTGTGAGCGGCTTTTCCCCCCTCAGGGGCGGCTGTGTGAGGAGCTCTTCTCCCCCTGCCTGGCGCGGCGGCGTTAGGGTTTCGTCCCCACTTCAGGGGCGGCTGTGTGAGGGGCTTTCCTCTCCCCTCAGGGGCGGCTGTGTGAGGGACCTTTTCTCCCCTCAGGGGCGGCTGTGTGAGGGACCTTTTCCCCCCTCAGGGGCAGCTGTGTGAGGGACCTTTTCCCCCCTCAGGGGCGGCTGTGTGAGGGACCTGTACCCTCCTCAGGAGTGGTTGTATGAGGGGCTTTTCCCCCCCTCAGGGGCGGCTGTGTGAGGGGCTTTTTTTCTCCCCTCAGGTGTGGTGGCATCAAGGGCTTCTCCTCCCCTCAGAGGGGCTGTGTGAGCAGCTTTTCCCCCCTGTCGGGGGTAGGTGTTTGGCATCCGAGGAGCCAAAGATGTGTGGCTGTCACCCTGCTGTGGTGGCTCAGAACACTGAGGTATTACCTCTTCTTCTGAGCTGCTCCTCACTAAAGCCCCTCCTTTATTTCCAGGCTCACCATGTCCCTGCCAGCAAAGAGGTGTGGAAGGCCCCCGGTGTTGTCCTTCCTGGAAAAGAAAAAGAGAAAGCAAAGTCTTGATAGAAGAAGGGGGAAGACGAGGATTTATGTGGGCAGTCACATTGAGCGATGGCTGACACTAAAGGAGAAGTTGGATTTCAGGAACGATGCAGAAGTTGCAGGGTTTTTATTGGACTTGTGAGTACATTGTCACAGCACTCCTCTGTTTAATAATGTCAAGTAAATAGTCCTGGGTGTTGATACCAGTTGTGTGTTTCCTTGCTAGGTATGACAGCCACGACCCATTGACAAAAGCCCCGCTCTGTCCCCTCCCTGAGGGTGTCAGAAGGATCACTGTGAAGGAAGAAAGAGCTTTGTCAGGCAGCACATCTTTAATAGCAGCAGATGGAACGTTAGTACTGTCCTCTCTTTATGTGGGAAGGGTGAATGAAATGTTTTTCTTGGTACTACTTGAAAGACTGCAGCTGATATTTAAAAATAATGGGGTGAAAGTTATGTATATATATATAAAAGGAAAGTGTAATATAATTTAATTAAAATTGAAGATTTTTAATACTTTTTGTCAAAGAGCTTCCGTCAGTTTTGTTGTTTGCATTGTTGAGCACATGACACTGGTGTAGACGAAACAGAGACAGAACTTTTTTTGGCAGAAGTGTTTCAGTCAATGATCTGGGTTGTATTTGCAGGTATGACAACGCTGACCAGCTGCCTAAAGAATCTGCCTGTTCTGGACTGGGGGATGTGAGAGTCGTGACTGTGAAGGAGGAGCGAGAGGCACCCCGGGACTGCGTGTTGGCAGGGGCAGATGACACGTTAGTGGCTCTCTGGTCTTTTTGCATGTTTTCCATTTGAAAGTATTTTGAATTGATTTTATTATCACATTTAATTTTGTGTATCGGAAATTCATGTCATTCATGCTCTGATTCATTATCTAGAAACGTCTTGGTGTGTAAGAGGTGGTCCAGTTCTTCTCAGGGAAACATCACAGAGATTTTGGAAAAGCTGTGAGAGTACACACAGCAAAAACACTTGTTCAGTGGCTGCCTTCCCTAACTGTGTCCAAGGTTCAGGAGTGAACAAGGAAATAGCCAGTACTTTCCATGTGTTGGGTTTTTGCAGTAGTACAGTGTCCAGGCAAGTGCAGCTGCCTGTGCTTGACCCTTTCTCAGAAGAAACTGTTTTGTTGTTGACTGAGTGATGTTGCACACTGAGTGATGTGTTAAACTATCTAAAACTAGTGCTGTGCTCAGCGAGGCCACCCCACCATCGGCTGCTGGTCTGTGTTACTGCAGTGTCTCCAGTAACTGAGGCATTCCCATTGAGATCAGAGGAGCCTCCAATAGGTATGCTTGTCCATTCCTCTTTGTTTAGGTTTTGATTATCCACAACAGTGTTACTGAATAACTGTAATTTCATCCATGTCTTAGTTTTCTGACCTTTATAAAACTGTGTTTTCTGATGTGTGCAGGGACACAGAGGCCGTAGGACACTGCAGTGCATTGCATGGTGTGCCCACACCCCTCGCTGAGATGGTGAAGTATGTCAAGTACCGTGTTTGTCTGTCATCTCCCATTGTGGTCTCACTTGGGACTTTGCTAATTCGTCTTACTCTTGATTCTAGTAGGTGAACAAGCTGGGGTTCTGCAAGCAGTTCTGTGGCCCAGAAGAATTCTTGGAGGCTAGGGCAGGAGAAAACAAACACCAGTGCTGATGAAGCTGACAAATTCAAGTCCATTCTTCAAAAGAGCATTTTTCACTGGCAATGTAATTTTAGTCTGGAGTGCAGCAATAATTGAATTCCTGGGACTGATTTGACACAGGTGAGACAGAGGGGTTGTGTTTCATTGATTGCTTATGTTAGCCTCCTGAGATGGGAGAAGTATTTTGAAAGGTGTTTTGGTATGAGAAAAACTTTCAGTTCCCCTAAAAGGTAAAGTAATGAGGCTTTGGAACAGTCTCATGTCTGTGTGAAGATGCTGTATCCCCTGAGTACATGAAATGCTGGACAAGTGATCAGGCACATGTGCAGTGCTAATTCTGTAAAGCTAAAGGACAACAGCTGTCCAAGGATGAGGAGATTCACAGATAAGAACAGACATCCTAGGGCACACTGTGTGATTCCAGGCAATATTTACCTACCAGGAGTAGTTGTATAACCTCACTATGAGGAAAATGGGGTTTGGCTGGGTTTGGTTTTCATTCCCAGTAGCTGAACTTGGGTCTTTAAAGTAAGGCCAAACTCAGTTGCTTGCTCAGTGTTTTTAGAAATCTGGGTAAAATTCTTAATTGCTGTAGAAAATAGTGGGGTTTTTTTCTTCAGAAAGGAGCAGTGGTTATGTTGTTGTGTATCTTTATTTTCTTTTTGTTTTCAAAGGCGTGGTACTGCACCTCCTATTGAAGGGAGGCAGTGAAGGCAGGTATTTCCTGCTCTCCAGGCACTTGGGTGTCATATTTTCCTGTTGCTCTTATTGTTTTGGGCTTTACCAAAGATCTTTTTTTCATTCTGTGCTGCCTGCAAGGGCCAGGAAAAGAACAAGGTCTTGTTGTAGGTGCTTTAGTAGCACACTCTGAGTTAACAGTCACAAAGCAGCTCTTGTATTCTTACTATCAAGTCTGGGTTTAGTCTGGCTGAACACTCTTAAGGAACTGGACACATCAAAGACAGTGGAGCAAGAACACTTAAACTCAGCTTGATCAGTGGGTTAATGTTTGGTTTCTCTCATTTTTGGAGTCCTGCCCAATGCCATTGACTTCAGCAGTTGCTCTTGTTGTAGAGAGTTAAGTTGGTGGAGAAACAGTGAAGGAGTCAACAGCAGTGACTTCAAGACTCTTGCCAGGTGAAAGGGGATGAGTCAAAGTAGTTGAGTTGAATGGGTTTTTTTTTTGAAGAAGCTTTGGAGGATTTGAGGTTCTTTTAGTGTTGGAGTATTTAAATGATAGGGATTCAAAAATTCATTTACTTGTACTTGTGGTAATGAAACAGATTTTCATGATAGAACAGCCCATAACAGGGGGTTAGAATGAGATGATCTTCCCTTCCAACCCAAATCATTCTGTTATTCTGTGAACTGACTTTGCTGGGATTTGTTTGTGGACTGTATCTTTTTTGGCCTTGATTCAGTAAAAAATGAAGAGAAATACAAAATAGTTACTCAGAACTGTCACAGCAGTTTGATGAGGAAGATTGAAACTTGTAGGATGAGTGGGTGTCAGTCAGTAGTAAATGCTGATTTGGGAAAGCCACAGCTTTGAAGGGACGCCTCAGCTTCAGTCCCTGGCTCTCCTGAAGTGAAATTCCCTTGGAAAGCAAATAAACAGTCTTGAGGGAAAGTCCAGCAGGCTGTTAATGCTGGAGACTTACCCTGCCTTGACAATGGCATGGACAGCTGAGGAGTTTCTTAGCAAGCAGGAAAGCAAAACTTAGATTTCATTTAAAAGAAATTTGGGGGGGGAAAAAGCCTGATAAAAAATAACCTGCTTAGTAGGACAACTTCCTGTGCTCTCTCTGCCCAGACAGACTCAGTGAAGCAATGCAGACATCTCTCATATTGGGGTACTTGAATGTCACCTTGTAACTGTTCTCATTGTGTTACTTTTCAGGGTGAGCAGCAAGAAGAAAATCCAGCTCTTGCATAACAATACTGGGGCAGTTTTTGGTCTGGTTTGATTTTTGCTGTGAGGGTGTTGTGAACTGTAAGTTGTATGAAACTCCATGTTACGTGTTGAACAGCACATTAAACTTAATTACCCGAAGTTTTACTGTGTTATGTTCATGTTAATAAAGTGTGTGGAGTGGATCATTTCCCTTGTGAGAGTCTGAGGGGCAACAAGAAAGGCCAAGCCAAAATGCTCATGGTATTGCTCAGAATTCATTAACTGTCTGTAGGTTTTATTAATGACTAAGTTCCTCACCTTTTATTTAAAACTCAAAAGGTTTAAGATGATAGAAACAGTGTTCTAGTGGCAGTTGCAGCATCAAGTGCTTCCATCTGAAAGTGTTTCTTGGAATGCTTTTTCTTAGGGAACCAATTGAACCTATTCCGTGTTTGTGCAGTTTATTAATTATACCCTTAAAAATGATGGGTAAAAATACTGGACTGTAGAGTGTGTTGTGTTGGTGCCTTCGAGAAAAGGAGTAATTGAGATCAGCTGCTGAGTAATTTATCTAAATACATTTTGTTACTGAATAATTTGATCTTTTGCTTTAGTTTTTGCTTTCTGTACCATGGAAGCTGATACATGAGCTGATATGTGACACCCCTTAATTATTTTCTTCTCTAACAGAGATGAAATAAGTGTGGAGTGCTTTCAGTAACTGAAGTTCAACAGAATAGTGTTGGCAGTTCTGAATTTGTTTTGTGGTTACCAGGTATGAGTAATCCTGGAAAGGTTTTTAGCTGAGAAGCTGAGGTTAGTACGGCTGTGTTCAGTGTGTGTTTGTCACAAGGACAGAAACTTCCAGTCTTCTGATCAAAGTTTCTTTTTCTTCAACCACACACTTGCAAAAGCATTCAGGTCTTGATCTTACAGTTTTCAAACCAGCTGGGTTTTCCCCATCATCTTACACTAGAACAGCCTCTCTCTGGGGAGAAATTCCCCTAATTAGGTCATTACACTCCACCTTCAATTTTTTTTAAATGAGCTACTTCATTGGCTGTAGGAAACTGTTGCTCTGAAATATTGTCTTGGTGCTCTTGAAATACCCAAATCCAGTGTTGCCTTATGAACAACAGATCTTTTGCCAAATGTTGCACAGACATTTAGCTCTTAGAAAAAAAAGAAAAGTTGAGCAGGTGATTTTTTGAAGCTTTCTCAGAATGAAAATGCCACTTCCTTTGTGTTTGTGTTCTCCCTTTGCTCTGCACCTGAGCAGTTTTTCCTTGACTACCAAACATTCCTTCACGTGAGTAACTCTGGCTCACAGGAAGGGTCTGGTGACACTTGTGTCTTTCAGTGCTCTCACATTTTTGGTTGTCAGTGTCATCAGAGGGAGAAGGGAAGAGGACTCAGCCTTCAGTTATGTTTTCTAAAGTCTTCAAGATCACAGGAATCTGCAGGAGGAGCTCTGTCCTTCTGGGGCACGTGGGCACCGTATTCTCAGCCTGTTCAACCTCCTCCTTGTGCTTCTATAAATGCACACTGCAGATGTGTGTATTAGTGAACAACTTACTGTTATGGAGTAGATTAATACTGCAAATGTGTCGTGTTGAGGGGCACTTGCTGCATAAATGACTGATAGAATGATTATTGTGGTTCATAGGACATGAATATTGTACGATGCAGCCCCTCCTGCTGCTTCCCCCAGACCTCCCATTAGACTGGCACTTCATGCTGAAGAAAAATCAAGAGGCAGGAGACTCTTAAAACCTTCCTTTTGTGCTGTTATGATGTGATGGATGATATATTTGGGTTGCTGCATCAACATATGCTTTAGAATACCTGACTTCTGTAGAGCAGAATATTATCCTCAGTATTTTCCAGTGAAGTTTGCAGAATGGTGAATGGAAATGATTCTGATTGTGCCAAGAATAGGACAAGGACAATGGCTCTGCTTTGGTCAAAGTGAGGTTTTCCTGCACCTGTGGGTCTGTGGGAATTGTGGAACTTGTTCAAATGTCAGAACTAAATCTAAAGGAATTATTTACACTCTTGTTCCAGTGATACATTAAAAATTACTCTGAGCAACGTAGTAAGTTTGTTCTTGGCAATAGTGAGTACTTAGGGCAGGAAAATACAGTATGAAAATGAGAAAAAATTCTATATAGGTTTATAGAAGTAAAAACACTGAATTTTGGTTTTGTTTTGTGTTTGTTAAGTGGTTTTACTGTGCCAGTTGGTTTCCTTGGAACTGCATCTATCAAACCTTTTGAAATGTGAGTATTTTAAGTATGGAAACTGGGAAACTTCCAAATTAGGACAGGTTCTGTGTTGAACTTAAATTTCAGACCATTACCTAAAGAACTGAAGTTACAGTACACCAGTTTTCATAGTACTAACTTAGGCTTCCATTATTTTGCCTTTACAGTAAATTATTTTCAAAAATCACAATAATTACAATTGTGCTCTTAGCTCAAGTAACTTTGTTATCACTTGAGAACTTCATGCGTCTTGTGGCAGAAAGGCTGTCTGGCCTATAGTTGTAATTTCCTTTTGTAGTAAAAATATCTACAAAACATGAGGCAAAAAATTATTTAAACCAACTCTTGCAGCTTTCTTGGTGAAATAAGGAATTGTGTAGATCATCACAGACACCCCTGGAGAGGGGACTAGAACTGAGGTGAGAGGCTGGAATAGGTTGCTTGGAAAAACATAGTTCTGAATTCCTCAGGCTTAGCAGATGATCTTGGGTTTTATCTCGTGGTAAAATAGGAATACATTTGAAATGGAAGGTTTTCTGAGGCACGATGGTTTGTGTGATTTCCCAGTAGGAACACTCCCATGGCTGGGCCAGTGCTCGGGGCTCCTTTCGGGAGACGTTTCCCTGTGCTGGGCCCGTCCCTGACGCGTCTCTGGGGCTCCCCAATCGAGGCACCCCGAGAGAGCTTGAGCCACGTGTTTGGGGTGTTCTCATGAGTCACTGCTGAAAGTGCTGAGCAGTGGATGGCAGGAGGGAAAATGCATCAGAGGAGGAATTCCAAAGGTAGGAGTAGTGGAGTTTCAGTTGGAGCTGTGTGAGTGAGCCGTGGGTTACAGAGGAATGGTGGAGCTGAGCGTTTTCTGTGGTTGGAGTGGTTACCTCTGCCAAGACAAGCCTGCTTCCTTTCTTTTCCCCTGTCTCAGCAGGAGCAATTAATGTAATTTATAATTCCAGAGGGATTCCTCACCAGTAGAGGAGTCAGAGCTCTGGCAGTGGGGATTGTGTTTTCACTGTGCTGAGGATTCAACCTATAAATTGGACACTCCTGAGATCAGGCAGAGCTGATAAGTGAGAAGTCTCACATCTTCACCACCTCACTTAGATCAATACTTTCTTCTAAGTTCTTGTGCATAAATGTAATATTGGTGTGTATTTAACTGCCCCACTTGGTGCTGTTTGTAGTCCTGCTTTCCATGCAGTGTTCCCTATAGTTGTATCCATAGACTGCCCAGGGTGTCTGGAAAGGAAGAGGGCGAGTGTTTGTGTGTGCAAACACACTCTCATTCTCCAGTTTATTTTATGAAATCTTGAACTAACGTGGATTGAAGGGATCTCTGAAGGTCATCTCATCCACCCTGCTCCAGGCAGGGCTGACTCCAGGTTTGGATCAGGTTACCTGTGGCCTTGGCTAGCTGGGTTCTGAAAATAGGTATTTTATAGAATTTGGAAATGTTGTTTCATACAACATGGGATCCAGGAGGTTGGATTCATCTTGCATTGCTGTTTTCCATTTTCTTTTTTTCTTTTTTTTTTTTTACTGTTACTGTATTAGTCAAGATCCTGATTCATGTTTTTTAAGATACATGACCTGACAGTATGGGAATGCTTTAAGTACTTTCATGTGGACACCTAAATTATACAGCTACAGTTGCTGATTTGAATGGCTTTGTCTGTTCTAGGTAACAGTGTGTGATGTGGAGATGTTTTAAGGTGTATCCCAAAGACCTTTCTTGGGCTTTAAGAGAGGATATGTTCTGAAGGGAGGTGACCACAGATACTGTGTTAAGCATTCTTCCTTACAGGATTGCTGTTATGTGTGGTGTTTGTAATTATCTTGTGTTTCTAGGGGCAAAAATAGTTTGGTAAATGAGTGTTCAGGAGGTAGAGACACTGCAAAATCAGGGTCTCTTGTGTGGACATACAGTGCTATTTAATTTGGTTACACTGGTTTATTGGCTTCAATCAGATTAACTGAAGAACTGCATATACTTCCCTAGAAAAATGGTTTTTTAGGTATTTTAAAGCTAACTGAAGAAGTAATTGTTTTTCAAAATAGGCTTATTCTACTTCCCTGATGTCAGTGTGTATTCCTGCTCTTGATCTCCACATCCTTGACATGTCTATGGAATGTCATTCTTGCTCTTCCTGGTTCTCTTCACAAATCCCTTTGCTCTCCCTCTGTGCTCCTTCCTGGCTGATCAGCCTTGGTGCAGCCCTCAGAAGACATCCCAGCAGAAGAATTTTATCTGTGTTTGTAAGCCTTGTTTAAACAATCATTTCAAAGCACTTCTTGACGTGACCTATTTTTTTCAAATGCAAACATTCAGCAACACTAAGACAACAAGTGTTACCTTCAGTGGCAAAAAATAAACCCCTACTTTAGTAGGATTCCGTTGGAGTTTAAAAAACTCATCATAGGGTAAACTCAGCCTGGCTTTGGGTGTAGTACAGTCATGTTTAGCTTGTGATTCACCTCTTGATGTGGGATGACTTAAAACTGAATCTCTGCACAGCAGCTCTGATACTCCTTTGTGCTGTTTTAAATCCCCAGTTAGATAAATCTACTTGTGGATAGTATTTATTTTGCAACATATTTAATAGATCCAAATGCCTTGTCTTTCCTTCTCCGAAAGGGCAGCTGAAAGTACAGGTTGCAGAGGATGATTCCCTAGAAGTGAATTTCTTGCCTTGAACATCCTGATTGTGGGTTGGTTTGGACTCACAGCTTTGAGCCTGGGCAGGATTTGAGCACAAACACCTCACTAGGCTGTACTTTGGGAACTTTGCCATAAATCAGGACAGCTGCTGGTGTGTTTTATGAACGTGTACAAAAAAATAACTGGTGAGTCGTGTAGCTGTTCTCTACCTAAACTAGTCCTAAATCAGCATTTTTGGAA